TTTTTATTTAAAATTATAAATTATTTATTAAAATATAATAGATATTTTTAAAGATTTTATTAATAATAATTTATAGCTAAAAATATAAAAAATAATAACAAATAACTTAACGTTTAATAAAAAAATTTTAAATTAACCTATTAATTTACTTAAAATAAATAAATATTTTGTAAATTACTAATATAATAAATTATTAAATTTAATATAATTTGGTTTTTAAAAAAATTAGCTTTAAAAATAATTTAAAACTTGTTTATATTAGAAATTTTATTATTAACCAATTATTAATTAATAAAAAATAAATTTTAAATTTTTACCTATTTTTTTACTATTATATTATAGCAAATAAAAAGAAATTTTAAATATTATACAAACCTTCCGTTATATTATTTAAACGCATAATTTACTTAAATATTAAATTTTATATTTTACTAATAAATAAATATAAATTTACCTTTATTTTAAAAAAAAAACGTAAAAAAAATAATAAATAGTAAAAATTTTAACCTATTAAATTCGTTTATAAATATATTACAAAAAGGAGGAAATTTAAAAAAACCCTATCGAAAAGCCTTATTATATTACTAAATTTCCTAATAGAATATATCAAATTTAGCTTAATAAATTAATATATTAAAAATTACGCTTTTTTTAAAATCGTTTATTATATTTTTTAAATCGTTATTCGTAATTACATTATTTATAACATTTTTATTATTTATAATAATTATATTAATTAAATTATTAAATATATTCCTATTATTAAATAATTAAAATAAATGTTTATTATTTATAAAAACGTTTTAATAATTAAGATAATTAATTTTAAAATATATTAACTACTATTAAATAATTTTGCGGTAAACGCAAAAATTACGTTAAATTTACTGCTATAAATAAATATTAATTATTTTAATAATAATATAATTAAGTTTTTACGGAAATAGTAGTAATTAATTTTAAATCTTATTAACGTTATAAAAAAAATAGCAAATATATTTTTAATAATAATATAATATTTTATAAATTTAATAAATTTTAATATAAATATAAACGTAAATAATTATTATTTCTTTTATTTAAATAAATTTAAAAAAACCTATAAAATAATTATTAAAATTTATATTGTTAGTAATAATAAAAAAATAAATTTAGTTTTTGTTACTACTAATATTTTTATTACGGCATTTTTTATAAATATTTTATTAAAGTTTTAAATTAAACTATTTAATTTTATATTGTTTATAAATTTATATTTTATATGTATTTAACGTTTAATAAAAATTATTTAAAAAAAAGATATTAATATTATAAAGAATATTTTTTAACATTTATTTTCCAATATTACCGTTTTAATCCCAAGCAAAATCAAACCGTTTAAACTTTATTTAAAACCTATTATTAATTGTAAACTCCGGTGTAAGCGTTTCCATATAATAACGCGGCTTACCCCTAACGTTAAAATTATTAAATTTTTAATTAGAAATATTAAAATTTAATTTAATTTAAATTAATAAATTATTTATGTTTAAATTTTAAAAATAAAATTAATAGTTTTATTCCTTTTTATATTTATTTTTATTAATAATATAAACTATAAAATTATAGCGTTAAATTTTATATCGATTTAAAAAATATTATTTATATTTAATATTTAAATTGTTACCAATAGTACGGCTAGCGTAATATATGCAAATATTATAAATAGGTTTAAGTAAATTTTAACGGTTATTTTTACGGATAATATTGCAAAATTTATAAATAAAATAAAAACGTTAAATAAAAAGATTAGGGTAAAATAAAAGGTTATTATTACCATTATTATTAAGGTTATTATTAAAATTATTATTAAAACCTTGATAAAATTAACTTAAAAATGGTATATTAAGGAGATTATTACCGTAACGTTTATTAACCTAATATTTACAAAATATTATTATTTATTAGCATTACGCAACGGTAATATTAAGTAAATTTTAATTAAATTAACTTTGTTAAAAAAGTATATTAAAAATTTGTTAATAATTTTACCAAAAAACATTATTATATATTATAAATGTTTATATAGGTTTAATATAATTATTAAAAATATATAAATAGATTTAAATAAAAAATAAAATTAGAGCAAATGTTTAGAGGTAGGAAATATTAAAAAATAGGTTAATAATAATATTTATACGCTTAAACGTTGGGTAAATAATAATAAAAATAAATATTTATTTAATTTATTATTTTTTTGGAAAAAAAACGCGTTAATATATTATTATAATAATATTTAAATTTAATTTATTTGATAAATATTTTCGCGGTAATCTACGCAACTTATAACCTTTTTATTCTTTTGTTTAAAAAGAAAATATTAAAGAAATAATTTATTATAATAAACGTTATATATAATTATAATATTAAAATTAATTGCCTAATTTAAATAATTAAAAAAAGGTTTATGTTTTAAATAATATAAAAAATTAAGCAAAGGTATACCCTTAACTACGGTTATAATAACTATTTTATTTAAATATATAATATTAAAACGCTTATTTAATTTTAATTAAAAAATTTATATATATTAATATTTAATATTATAATAAATTTATTTATATTTAATTAATTAAAAATAAGATTAATAAAATAAAAAAATTAAAATTATTCGAAATAAAAAAGAAATAAAAATAAAAGGTAAAAAAAGATAAAAGTTAAATTTTTTTAAAATTTAAATAAAATGTTTATATATTTGGTAATTTGGATAAGTAAAAATTAATTTAAAAAAGATTTGGAAAATAGTATTTAAAGGTGGAAAATGTAAAAAAAAGCATTTAAAAAGTATAATTTAAAAATAAAAAATATAAAAGAAAAAATTTAAAAAGTAATATTTAAAAATAAAAAGTATAAAAAAAAAGATTTGGAAAATATAACCTAAAAATAAAAAGTATAAAAAAAAAGATTTAAAAAGTAATATTTAAAAATAAAAAATATAAAAAAAAACATTTAAAAAGTAATATTTAAAAATAAAAAATGTAAAAAAAAACATTTAGAAAATAATACTTAAAATTAAAAAATATAAAAAAAGGCATTTAAAAAATATTATATAATATATATAAAAACCTAAACTTTTATTTTATAATTGTTATATATATAAAATATATAATTATAATCATAATTAAATAAAAATTAATAATAATTATTTCTTAATTATTAATAATGTTAATTTTAATTTTAACTATTAAATTAATAATAGTATTAACTTTAATCTTAACTTTTTAAATTATTATATAATAACTTTTATTTTAATTTTAACCTTAATATTAATCAAATCTTAATTAATTATAAAAAATTATAGTAATTTTTTTAAATTTTATCAAGTTTATAAAAAGGTTTTTAATTTATAAAAAAAACTGTTTTAAACTTTTTTTAATTTCTTCTATAATAGGTTTAAATTTACAGCATTTTAGTAAAATATTAAAGTTATTATAAAATATTAAAATTATTATAAAATTATTATAAATTTACTATATACGTACTTAACCTTTTTAAGATACGTACCTGATTTTTATAGTACGTACCTAATTTTTTTTCAAATTAAATTTTTAAATTAACCGTATTAGGAAAATTTTGGGTAAACTTTAGCCAATAAGGTAAATATAAAGTTATAAGGTTTTATTAACGCAAAAATCTAATCCCTTTACAAATTAAATTTAACTTTAGAAAGTTTTACAAGCTAAATTAAATTCGTGTAGTTAAAAAAAGTAAAACTTTCCAATAATTATATCTTCTGGATAGATTCCCGAATGTTATAGGAGCATCTCAACGTGATGGAATAACGTGAAGAATCTTCATGGCCCACGATTTGAGGTTCATCTTGCGTATGACCCCCGCATCTTGGCTCTCCTTCAGTCTCGTTTCACCTACTACAGATGCAAGCGAGTGATAATCATTTTGAATCTCGAAGCCGCCGAGGTCGTCGTCAGACCAATTCTGCTCAGTTGGGCAGCGACCGCGAAGGATTCCGCCCCCACAAACCCCCGCTTACGTCGAGGTATCATCAAGGATTCCAACACTATGAAGTAGTACGGGATATGCCTTAGATTCGTTCATCCAACTTTGGTGGGCTGAATTCTATAGCCCGCCTTGCTATTTGGACAGGCTGAAGGGGCCATTGAAACGCCCTATTTACACTACACACTGATGCGGATTGCCGGACTATTCTGCTTTTAATATTTTGATTTTGAATTGGAGAAGTTAAATCCGAATGCGCTGGCTCGGGAGTAAATTGATATTAGCGAATCTTAACCCGAAGTCGAGCCTCTTAAACCACTAGGTCATTCTCATATGACTCCAATCGTTACTCAACGTCAGTTAAGCCAATAATCAGTACTGCCAGAGAGTGCTATCCACTATCGATTGGATTGCTTACGCAATTTTCCGTCGTAGAAGTCCCCCATCGATTGTTGGAACCGGTTAGTTGCTCAGCACTATGCAGTCTTGGTTGAGATTTCATCTGCGCTGTGAACGAATCAACACTTTGGTACTTATCGTCATCGTGCTTATTCCAAATGAACTGAAGAGCCTTTGGCGTAATTCTTGATAGCTGATTCAATGCCAACTTCGTATGACCTATTGTAGATTCCAAACCCATATCAGTTCCTACGCCATGTCTCACAAGAATAGTAGAGCCCCTGTAATGTCGAACGTTGTACAGCCAACTTAGAACACCGTACAAATTGCTTCGGTGTCTTCAGTTGAAAAATTCGACTCATAGTGCTCCACGATAAGGGAAGTCTCCCTGCTCTCATTTCGTTTTGATTTCGTGACCATTCTCATGAGCAGACAAGGATCGCTCCACTGAAGAGGCTTATCGAAGTAGCTTTACAGAGTCGCTAAGCTAGAGCTCAACTAAAAAGTCCGCAGACGACGTGACGTGCCGTAAAATGGTAGCACACGCATCGTAAAAGTTCCCTAGCATTTCAATAAGTATTCAAGGTCGGCCGTCCAGGTTATATTTATGTCGATTTCCATAGATCTTTATATATAGCCCACTTCTGAAACCCTATAAGGATATTATGTTAAGATTGGGAATACTCATGATTGGACGACGGAACTTACCCATTGATTGAAACCCCTCATAACCACCTTTTACAGCATCGAGAAACACGCGTTTCATTCCTTGGTCTTTGAGTATGGTGACGCAAGCATCGAGTAATCTAATCATAACAGTGTCCTTACTGATTGTCATCGCCGCATTGCCGTCTAAAGTCCGGGTCAGTTGAGAATCTTCGAACAGTTTTGATGAGCTTTGACTGTTACCAACCTGCAATGCAGATGCACGCTACACCCCCCACATCAGATCCAATCGTCCGTGCCCAAGGAAGGTCTTGTGCCAATGAACTAGCTTCATTCGGTGTATATATTAATGCAGAAGCAATGATTTCCGATTGTTCCCATCCTAGGACAATATCACTGATGCGGCCATCCTGAGCGAGATTCACGTATTGGTCATACCAACCCGTATAGTCTTTGCGAGCAGACTCCTTTTCTACAAAGTCTGCGATTAAGGGGAAATCGTCGAATATGCCCTGTCGGAAAGTCAGCCCGGAGGAAGGCGCTGACAATCCACCGCTCGGCCAATCATCAATCCTCAAGAGCCAGTCGCAAATATCTTGACCACGGCCTGGAGCCTGCCCATCCATTTGCCAACCCCGCCTCCGAAACCAGCCCTCAGACGCAGAAGCGGCAGGAATACCGCTTAGAAGGCGGGGGAACGTAGAACCCAATTGAATTCGATCCACTCCCCGTATTCTTTTAAGTTGTCTGAGAGCGTGCTCATAAAGGCTAAGCCCGATCCCCCGCCGCCGATATGCTGGCTTAACAATAATCATAGCCAACGACCCAATAAGTCGCTCACCTTCTCTATCAACAAATGTAGTATAAGTCGCACAGAACCCGATAACTTCACGGTTCTCAGGAAGTCTCACGACGAAATGCATCGCGTAACCATCCCGCTGGAGTAATGACTGTAGGGGGAATTTCTCCAGGTGAAACTGATCCGGTAGACACTGATTCCAAAGCTCATGTACTGGGGCGACATTAAGAGCATCCCAATTCTCCGGCGGCCAGAATTTCGGCTCTATCATCAGTGACTGCACATCTAACCCCGCGGTACCTGTAGATGTAGCTTCACCAAACAGAATAGCAGCCGCAACCTGCAAGTCAGAAGGTAGATATCCGGGCAGCTGGACAATTGTAGGGAAGTTTGCTTCCATGAGGCCGAGATCATGTACATTTTGGCATGCCATGATAATTTGCGGGCGTTGCTCTCCTATCTTCCGAGCCATTAGAGCAATCTCAACCTGCGAAGATTGACCGGTGTAAGGAAGCCCCGAGATAACGAAGACGACAACTTTGGCTCGTTTGATGAAACCGACATGCGTGCTAGTTAACCCGTTCCGTGAGGTGTACGGAACATGTCGAATCCACGGATGTCTCGTGGCCAAGGCTCGACCTAATGGCTCAAACGGGTCATCCTCTTTACCAACATCTAGTTGGGCAGGCGGAACAACTGGTGTGAGAAGAACGACAATGTCACTGTCGCCGAGTATCCTAGTAAGGGGGATGCAAGCCTATAGGTCATTTGGGTTAGCGTATTTTCATCTAGTTGGCTTTAGGAAACCATTATGAGTGAGCTACGATATAACTCGAAAAGCCGTCTTTATGGATATATCCATTTCCTGACTCGAACCAGACATAATAGAACGATATAGTAGGTTACTGACCTGGTGGTCCCTGATGAGGGTCACCTGAGACCGACGTGAGCCTCCACGGTGTCCGGACGTAGTGGCTGGTTGACCGGGAAGCATTTCTTAGAGCTACCAAATACCGAGCATGCACTTCATCCCCGATGAACTTTGGATATTTCTGGGTTATATATTAGTATAAGTCAGAAGTAAAACTTGACTAGGATTGGCCTAGGCTGTCAGCAGACTATGCCGAAATTACTCACCAGTCTTGGTCTCACCGAATAGTAGAAACTTTATGACATAAGCATCATCAAATACCAAGCGTCTCTTATACTATATTATAGAAAGGAACCTATTGAGGCTTGTAACGCATGAAACGTTCCACACTAGCCAGGTGAAAAGGATGTGGCGCTGTTCTGGTGCCGGGGTTAGGAGGATCTTTCAGCTACTAGAAATTCTAACAGGTCAGTGATGAGAGCCAGGATAACGGCCGAAATGCGAAATGAGCCTTTTCAATGATACTATGGTACGGACAACCGGGACCCGGATACAGGGGAAGGTAAGCCCACTATAGAGTGATGCGATAAGAGAGGTAAGCGACTCGCCGCCACAGAAGCAGAAGCAGAGCTCCATTTACCGCAGTAAGTGTATTCCTTAGTATTACATACCTGTACATACAGACGCCACGCCAAAGGTACATGTGTATAAACTGCCTAATCGGATGCAATTAATAATATCAAAGCCGATGTCCGTTTGTAATAGAGAGCGACCAGCGGTGAAGAGCGTTGTTCCACTAGTCTCCGCTCTGAATTCCGAACAGTTAAAGGAAGCTGACAATGTATACGTTTTGATATCACTACGGTAGTGGTGGTTGTACTTCCAGGGTCGCTATCAAAAGCATCAGCGTCAGACAGATGCAACGCATGAAAATGGTGCAAGTAAATAGAGACACCTGGTAACACGGGCACTCACCGGCTTTATTTGTTTGTACTTAATAATATTGATGCTAAGTTGAAGGGGTCTTTTGCTGAGGATGGTAACGCAAAAAAATATAACGGACATTAGACATGAATAGCCAGCCCAAGAATAGCACGGCATATGTCCTTCACATTTCTATACAGCTAGGGCCCAATCGTATGCTTCTAGAGTCGCATGCGCATAGTATTGTCTATGCTGGACAGTACCTAATAGTTCAAGGTTTTCAGCATTGCTCGGGGCAATGCTAGTTGTGTGTGGGGGTAACATTGGGTAATATAACGTGCAGAATACACACTAAGTGCGTATAAATGAACGTGCACACATGCCGCTGATTTTGCGACATCATGACGACCATGTTCGAGTCGTACATACATACTAAAAGGAGAATATTCGTAAGACTCTGATGATGACCTTGATAGCGAATTCGACATGTACTAACTCCCCGAAGGATACGTCTATATCTGCACGTTGGAGCGTGACCTTTGAATATAGTTGAATGATTGGGAGTCTTTTTCCTCCAAGGCGATCTAATCGAATTGAGAATTGGGAGTTGGTAGTACAGATGCAATGCAACATGGTAAGAAGTAAAGATTGGAATGATAAGCGTTGGAGGTTCTAGGATATGGGTTGTGGGTTATGGGTTATGGGTTATTTTTGCTGAAGATTTAAGACCCTAGCAAAAACGACACAAGCATCAAGGGGAAAGGCCGATGGGTGTTCCAACTCGGGTACACTGAACCATGCGTGCACATGGTGTTGTACCTTACCTTACCTGCCAAGGACGGGAACTACCTACTTGACGTAGGTACCTAACGCTCTTATTGCCGATAAGGGCAAGTCCGCGCTATACTTACTTATGTACTTACATCATTTTACCTATGTAGGTAGGTGCGAACCTAGGAATATGATGGTGTTAGTGATTATAACGTCCGGAGGAATGTACCTACACTATAGCATCGGGAATGCCGAATATTTATACTATTTCTTTGAGTATCTAACTTACAGCTTCTTCAATGCAAAAGAGGCCGAGTTGATTCTCTTATATTACTCGTACTAAATACATACTTATCAAAAAAAGATACATATATGACGTTGCATCAACGAGCGCGTGTCTACGGAGATGTCTCCTTAAGGCACCAACCACCGTTCTATAACCCTGATCTCCCTATTATTGTCTACCGCGGCTGTTGTTGGACCATATAAATGTTGGAAGGCATGATGATCTACAGACCGTAGCAGTCAACTACCCCACCTCGCTTATAGCCGCGCTGAAACCAGTATATTTCCTAATTAGTCGCTCCACTTGCTTGTGTTACCTACTACCTGCTTACTTCCTTTAGTTGCACATGTTCCTGTCTCAATTCCGACACTTGGATTGCGCAAGGTTAAAAAAGCTAAAAGTAACAAGTAGGTACCTACCTACATGTAGATATCACATCTCTTTCAAATTATCCCGATATCTTGGTAAAGGTTGAACTTCGCGATCAATAAGTATTTCGATATTCAAATCTTCGGGTATATAAGTTAAGACAAGTACTTTATTACATTCATATGTAAATGTTCAATAATATCACTTAATTGTAATAGTTAACCCAATCCAAACTGGGAAGTATTTGTTATATTCACTTAACCGACTTGCACAGTGTGTTGTTTATAGATAGAAAACATATCAGCACTTATACGGCTTCTCACAGCTTAACACCGCTCGGTGAACGATACTCCCGCAACAAAACCCGCGTAGTACAGATAGCTTATTATGCCATTTACGTCATCAAAACGCTGACTAGGAAAGCACTTACGTTGCTTGCTAGGTAATGTTCGTATAATTGCTCACGTTACGCAAGCACTTATTTGGGTACTTAAGCTTGTCGTTCCTCCTCATAGAAAATGGCCGGGGCGGAGCCGATTGAGGCTCCTTCGAAAAAGCAAGTTGCTGCAATTCGTACTTACTTGCCTGTTAATAAATCGGTAATAATCCCTATTCGCTATTCATTGGACCCACTCATATAATAGGCTTCTATCTTTCGGGGACTAAACACACAAACTACCTGTTAGTAGATCGCATAGGTTGCTAGTTTGCTGAATCATATCCGTACATAAAGCAGTTTACTTATCTCGGCCGAAGGATCATGTAAGACGGATGGAAGGGGTAAGAAGACGTAGGAGTATCATTTGCTTGCTTTACGGAATTGGTCAATGCGACTTATTGTTGGTTATTCTTGGGGAATATAACAGGTACGCATGATGGACTATCTAGATGACGTTGGTCCTACGTACATAGATCCAAGTAACAAATTTAGAAAGACCAGGATTTTGACAAGTTATTTTGAAAGTATAAACTAGGTTACTAGGTTAAAGATGTACGATGTGAAGCACTGGCTTAGGTCTTCGGTGTAAGTTGTTAGTTCTCTAGAAGGATTTCCGAGAGCAGCCGACGGCACAACTGCAGATTACATGTAAGAGCCTCGACGTCGTAAGATAGTTTGTCCAATCACGGCGCTTCGGGATCCCATTCTAGAAAAAAATCGTTTATAACCTTGCACATAATAAGCAAAGCGAACTAAGAACTGTTGTTGGAGACGCGATAATTAACGCGTTCCAAAGTTAGCCATTTACTTAAGACCCATGGTTACAAGTTCGTATGGGGGTTATGCCTGCTAGTCTTGGCGATATTAGTGCCTTTTTTAAGAGTAATGTTATTTCAGTAGTAATGGTATTTCAGTAATACTCAATTTTAGCCCCATTCTTTTAAAAAACCGGCAGAAAAAACTAGCGCTTACAGCCTTTATTACCATATAATTAATTAAATAATATACATTACATTTTACAAGGTTTTATTTTTTTAATAAAAAGCTTTTTTTTTAAATTAAATTATAACTTTTCTTTTTTATTAATAACTACGCGGTAATAGGCTATTATTAAAATTTAAAAGTTTTAAAAACAAAATCCTTTTATTAATCATTTTTTTAATATTAAAAATATCTTAAAAAATAAAAAAAAAGATAAAAAAAACGTCGGTAATATTAACGTAATTAATTTAACCAATAAAAATTAAAAAGCTTTAAAAAATTAAAATAGTTAATATGCTAATAATTATATATATATTTTAATTTAAAAAAGTTTAATTAATAAATTTATATATAAAAAAACATATTTTTTTAATAATTTAAAATAATATAAATAAATTATTTTAATAAAAAATAACAAGTTTAAATAAATAAAATTTAAAAGTAAAAGTATATTCAATTTAATAGGGATAAATTATCCGGAATGCCAAGAAGGCGGTCACCCCTTTAGGCAAACGGTAAGAGAAGTGGGGCTAAAATTGAATACTACTGAAATACCATTACTACTGAAATAACATTACTCTTTTTTAAGGCGTCCGTTCGCAAGACCTCTTTATGCCCCAGATTACATAATAAAGACCCCACATTGTACCACAAGTACTTTTTATCCAATCATTCCCCTTTGTGTTAGGCGCGTCTAAGCCTACCAACAACGCGTAGGATCCAACAATATGATGATGCTATGCAAGGCTGAGACATAGCATAAGGGGTTGATGATATCTAAATTACCCTAACGAATATATATGCTAGCTAAATCTCAAGGGATAATTAGTAATCATGTCGGGATATGAGGAAGAAGATACAATTCATGGCGCGGAAGACATACGCGAAGTCCTGACAGATGTGATTGAGGGTTAGTACGCCCCTTAAACAATTATCATTATTAAAAAATAATACTTACTAACTCCAAAAGCATCTAAACTGACGGCGAAGCAACGTGGAAGCAATGTAAAGCTATCCGTAGAGAAGTTGGCTTCATTATCGTATGAGCAAGGTCTTCTCCCGGACGATCTAAGCCAACTCATAGATTTGGTCACTATTCCAAGTTTTCTTGATCAGGCAAGCCTCGGAAATCTCATAAGGAACCTCTATCCGGTGGCTATCGTGAACATCGAGCTTGTAGTTAGGATCATTGGGTGTCTCGGGCATGGAAAGCTGAAACCATCTCTTAACATTCAAGGAGCGCTCCTGAGATGGCTTGTTATGATTCATCATATTATAGAAAACCAGACCATCTTATCGCGCGCATACTCGGTTCTATTCAATCTGCTGGAAACTGCCGCAATTAGGTACGTCTATCGACATATCATTGCTCTTATATTCCTCGCTAACTGTCACAGAAAGCAGCTATGTCATCTACTAGCTCTCATCACTCGGCGTCGGCATGTACGACCCTATCGAATCCAGAGCCTGTGAGTTGCCTTTAAAACCCTTTGGTTTACTAGATAACTTATACCTCTCAAGTTTGTCCTTGTCTAGACAGACGGGGAATGATCCTGCAGTCACCGGCCTACTCCGAGTGTATAAAGACTACTACCCCGAGATCATTGTAGGGGAAGCGACTCGTGCCAAGGCGTCGGCTTTCAAGGTATGTCCTCTGCGGTCTTATTTTTGACGCAAAATAGCTTATTATTTTCACAGCATCCAGATCCCCAATGGCGCGAGAGACTCGATGAAATTCAACAAGCCCATGCGGAACGAAGTACAAATAGAGCAGAACGCCCGCCAAATGCATTTAGAGTTGCCCGAAGTCGAATAAATGGCAAGAGCTCCGGTCCATTCCCGGAGGTGCACACGTCAAACGCGACGGAGGTCTGTTTTACCCCGCGTCTTTGAAGGGATAGTTCTAAACTGACGATTTGCTAGAACTCTATCACCCTAGAGGAGATTGAAAACGTAGATGGCTTTGTGAGAAATTTAGAAAAGATCGAATTGCCAAACCAGTTAATAGCGGTCTTGGGAGACCCATTACTACAAAAGCTACTCGTTTTGAAGCCCGACGCCGAAGCTCATCAAAGAGTGAGCAGTTGGTTAGCTTCATACGGACAAGACCTCATAAGTGGGGAATCCAACACAGATTCTAGCGATGGCTTAGAAATACTGAATAACTATGTGTCAAGTACTAAGGTATGTGAGAAAAGAGCTTGGGAAACAAATTACTATTTAACTAACTTTTGCCCAGACTTTTCCCCCTATATTCTTGGCTTTCTTCATCGAGTATCTTAAGATCTGGAATGGCCATGATGGACGAGGCTCGATATTCAATATACTGTCATACTTGCCGTTGATTAATTATCAAGGTTAGAAGCAAACTCCCAATCGCGATTGTTATAAGACTAATGAAATAGAACTCTTCACTGGTATTCTCCAGACGCTTGAAACTAAGGTACTCGACGGTACCACGGTTTCCCAATTACAATTACTCGAGTTTTATACGATACTGCTTCAGCGGTGGGCGATCTCCCTAGCATCGCTCGAACAAAAGTCGGCAAATGCGTCAACTATCATCGCTGACCTGGTGGGTCATGTCAACAATCTCTGTCTCACTCTCGTTCAGACCTCACCCACCAATTCTACCTACTCAAAGGTCTTGGATTTCTACGAGCAAACTGCAATTCTGTCTTCAGATCCAAAATTGCACCGCCACACTCGGATTATGATACCGTCTTCTCCGTTGGTATACATCCTACACTTTAGCTTCTGCCCGAATACCCTCTCCAGACTCTGCTCCATATTGTCGAAATATAAGGCAGGATTTCAGATGGCTATGTCGACATCCCGCTCCCAATATACTCCAGAGTATATCAACGAGTTCAATGGCTTTCTAATGGACATCTGCAATTGTATCTGGCGATCGCGCGCCTTCAATAGCAACGATGTGAATTCACATGGCTGCTTAGTCCCTCGGCCACTTGCCGAAGACCTCGCAGCATATGCCAGTCGCCTTAAGACGAGTGCACCCCTTTCAACACTCTTCTCTCTTTCTTATTCGCCGGTCCTAAGTCTCTCAGCAATCTCGTACTTCCGGGAGTTGGAAGACGAGGCGTTAGTACAAGACGAACTCGACACTAGACATGCCGGGCCGATAACTCGTGCCAGTCTCAGTTCTTTAGCTCATAGTCGTGGTTTAAGAGTTGGTTGGGATGACTATCGCCTCGGCGTGCTAAATTATCTGGAGCAGAAAGGCATGGCTGGTGTTGGGGAGTTGATGTACAATACTATGACAAACGTGATGAAAAGGAGGTCGCTAATGGCGATGACGGATGCTACATAGTAAGTAATACAATAATACTTTGGTCAGATTATTTATTTAAATCGACTGTGATCATGTAAATGTTATGTCTCATCATCTATTTTAATCAACCCCCCTAGTACTACTATTCTAGGTCTATCCTGTTGAAAGGGTATCTCAAATAACCCACCATCCCGCAACAACTACAGTGGTCCATCATTCTTTATGCTAGTTCGTTGATTTTATTCCAATCCATCCCTAAACGCCCCTATCTCGGCACAAATACCCCTTGAGTCCATTTACCATCGCCATGTTGAAAATACGCCGTGCCATGCAAGTTAAGTGCATCCACCCCCTAGCCACCCAATTTCTCCCAGACCACCGTAACATAGACTCATCTCCCATCCGAAATCTTCCATCCACCAAGCAATCTACTTTTTCTTCTCGCTACTCTCAAGCCCATACCCGCCAAGACCCCCCTGCGAATACGTCAACCCCTCCGTCCCCATCTTCGTCTGATTCCTCGGCCCCCTCTCCTTCAAATCCGACCTCAACCACCCCAGCACCAATTCCCCAAGCCGACTGTTCCCCGTGCTCGCGCTCGTGGCCTGGCCCAGGAACTGCTCGGTAGGCCCCCACTCGCGCACGGTGCCCAGGTGCATGTGGACGAGGTGGGTGGGCCAGCCGGCGAGGTTATCCAGGATGTGGGTGGCGTAGACGATAGTGCACTCGCGGATCTCGGTCTCGTGCTTCAGCCAGCCGAGGAACTCGGCGCGGCTCAGCACGTCCAGGTCCACCGTGATCTCGTCGAGCAGCAGGACGGTCCACGGACGCACGAGCCCCATCGCTAGCTGCACGCGCCGCCGCTCCCCGTCGCTGACCGCGTGCATCCGCCACGCGATGTCGATGTCCAGCACCCCGATCAGCTCGTCCCGCCGCTCGGGGTACGCGTCGCCGCCGACCGAGCGTAGGAGCTCGGCTACCCCGATGTCCGTGCGCACGATGGGGTTGAGCACCCATTCTAGCCCAAGGTACGTCACTCCTTCTAGCCCTTCTTTGAAGGGGTCGACTCCTGACACGCTGATGGTGCCGCCGGGCGCGAGACGCTTGCCTGCTAGTAAGCGCAGCAACGTCGTTTTACCTGCACCGTTGGCGCCAATAAGAAGGGTGCGGCTGCGCGGTGGGACGTTCAGCGATATGCCCCGGATGCCTGTCCTGTAGTCGGGGAAGGTGTATGTCAGATCATTGACGGCGATGTCCGGTGGTTGAGTGGGCGCCATGTTGATGAGATGGGCTGATAAGTAGTTTATTCTTTGGACTACTTATTCTATTTGCGTACAGATATTTATAAAGTGAATAATATATAAGGTTAGCCGCTAAGTGACGATACTGGGAGTAGTTGAGGAGGATATTGACGGCCTTATGACTATTCTTTTCAAGTGCTGTAATTGTGGAGTCGATTGACGATGTTGCAATAAGATCTAGATACAGTGCGTTCAGCTATAATTCAACACGGTGCTTTCCGTCGGAGTACGCAGGAAGCACGTAATTCTATCCAAGACTAAGGACTAAATATAGGTACTTAACCATAGGGCGCGTATTATTATATGTGAGCGCATGAATTAGTAGGATCGGTAGTTATATTCTAATACCATTCGTTCTTGATAATAATGTGTTATTATCAAGATTGGTTGACAATATTTGAAGGATTCTTCTGTTGGCCTGACCTATCCATGAAGTGTGAAAGGTTTGAGAAGTTAACTTTCATTACTTCCCAGACATAAACTTCTAATTAGCGCTCGTTAGTATTAAAGGTTTGCTTAAGAGATAAAATCAGTAGGTTATGTTGTTAGCATATTTAAATTGTGTATAAATTTAAGACTATAATCTCTCAACGAACAATGTAGCCAATGTCATATAACCTTAAGTAATAGAGATGCCTCTAGTGAACAATGAGTATAAGATTCTCATAACCACAATCTTTCTCCGGGGTTATAAGGCAACTTTACGTGCATAATACTTAATATCAACTAAGTATTAGTAAAAGATGCACTGCAGCCGTGTAGTTATTAGTGTCGCTACTACTAATTTAGCTACATAGTAAAGAGCTCTGGGTCTTTGTTCCCCCGCGTAGAAATATCCGCCTCCACGGAGCGTCTCGGCATCTAGAAGTGGGCAAGCTTACCTTATTAAAATTCCAATGCGTTCCAATGATGACACTTCGGCGTTTAGTAATAACGATTGCCACCATACCCTACATAGAACGGCGACAGTTAAGTCGGAGATAAGTAATTAACTAACTTAGACATTATTAATTTGGCGGGGTCATAAACCCCCATAAAACCCCCATCCCGAACGTATATTTATATACGATGTCAAAAGTAATATTCAATATATTGATTTGATATAGACTCTTAGAACTGTGAACTATTTAGTCCATGACCTTGTTATCAACTACCGCGCGACGAACTTTCACACAAGCATTGCACCATAATTCAAAAGTTCTAATAACCCCTAAATTCTCACAGGCAGTCAACATGACAACTGCTATTTTCAAGCATATCGATGCATCAGCAATCCCGCAGGGGACAAGGCCATGGGCCAAGGTCGATATCGAAGCTACTTCGTTTAAGCTAGGTGACCATACCCGCCCAGTGAACAACATCCGAGGGAAGGAAAGCGAGTTTACCACAGACAACTCCGGCTTTGCGGTTTACAACGAACAGTCAAATGAGAAGTCGTTTACAGACGATGCCGCTGTGCGTGGTCCGTACTATCAGGAAATCGAGGATCTCCTAAGGAAGCGAATTCCTGGTATCAAGAAGGTGGTCATATTCGACCATACCATCCGGAGACGTACACCGGAGGCTGCTCGGGCTCCGGTACAGCAGGTCCACGTCGACCAAACCCCCGCCGCCGCCGAGGCCCGTGTGCGCCGTCATCTCCCAGCAGATGAGGCCGAAGAGCTATTAAAGGGCCGCTTCCAGATCATCAACGTGTGGCGGCCCATAGAAAACCCAGCAAGCGATCACCCCTTAGCTGTCATCGACTGGCGCTCGACGAAGCCAGATGATTTCATCCCGGTGGACTTGCTCTATCCTAAGCGTGCAGATTTCTCAACGGACAAGGACGATAGGGGCAAGGAAGTGCGTCCAGATGATTCAACCAGATACTCGGCGGAAGGATACGAGGTCAGGGGTGAAACGATGTCAGTTGCGCCGAGCGACGCGCATAAGTACTACTACCAGAAGGACATGACGCCGGATGAGGTTATTCTATTAAAGTGTTATGACTCGTTCGGCGAGGGCCAACCCCTGGGGAAAGCGGGAATTGCGGTGAGGACGCCGCATACGGCTTTTATCGATCCTCAGACACCTAAGGATGCGCCCCCGCGGCAGAGCATAGAGGTGCGGTGCTTGGTCTTTTATGAGTAGTGTTATGTACTGTCCTAGCTCGGCGTAGATATAATTACGAACGGCTCTTCCATAATACAATATTCCCATGATGAATTTACACGTTTTATTTAAGACTAGCCCGCTTCCAACTATTTCGAGACAACTTTATGTAAATGAGAATACGTACACTGTTTAATCCTTCGAGTTTGACGTCCCTTGCGTTTACCCCTGCTAAGTATATCATACCCCGGTATGTACATGTATTCCTACCTTGTGCCCGAGGTCAGCTTCACTACTTCTAGGTCAATTTAACAACATGCTTCCCACCAGCCAGCCACTCTAGCCATGCTTCATCCCTTCAACGTAGATAACGGCATGCCGGCCGAAATTTTGCAGCTGATCTTTGACAATTTGGTAGGTGAGACTGGGACTCTGGCTCGGGTCGGGCTCGTCTCCCGCTCATGGCGCACCCTCTCCCTCCCCTTCTTACTCAAGGATGTCGACCTCAGCAGTCATAATAACGGCCGACTTCCTGAGTACGAGACCCCGTCTTTTCCTCTTCTTCGTGGAATCACCATGGCCGATTACTCGGACGAGTACCGTCCTCGTAGCCTGATCCCACGCCAGCGCGCTTTCCTTCGCCTCATAATAGACCGTCCCGAACTCGCTATGCACGTCAAAGCCTTTACGTGGACTCTCGTGTGGATAGACTTTGAAGAGGATGGATTAACGGACATGGACTTGCGGGCCTGGGATGTCTTTAGTCGCTTGCAGAATGTCGCCCGTCTGGACCTCGCGTCATTGCATAACATCAGAGACCAACCATATATCCGCCAAAACCCCGCCAGGCTCTTTCCCGCCATTACTCACCTCCGTCTCGTTGGTTGGATGCACCGTGGACTAGTCAAAACCATATTAGCCTCTCTAGATGCGAGTAAACTTAGTTCTCTCGAGCTTGATCACTTGCAAGACGAAGGTGCTCTGCCCAGCGGCGAGCCGATACCGCAGGATTTGGCCACGAAACACTCTCACCACCAAGGTGACCCGTATGGCGACGAAGGCATTGACGAAACGCTGTGGGCACGCCAAGAGCGAGGAGACGCAGCCATCTTCCCTGGACCCATGTGGTTTCCCTTGCGCTTCCTGCGTCAACGCTACTTGGGTTCAATGAAGCATCTTCATATTAGACTCGGCCCTTTCACAGATACCCTTGACCAGCGCAATTGCATAACCATGTTTCACGAAACGGCCCAATTCATTCGAAGGTAAACAGATAATCGAAATAACACCACTCGTTCGTGGGAAGAGCGAGGGTGCTGTGAAAAGACCCAACATAATCGCTGACGTATCCATAGCACAAAAGACACGCTGAAGAGCATCTCCATTGGACTAGGAGAACATCCTACCCTCCACTGCAAAGACGAAGATCTGCTTGGCTCGTGTGGGACATCTCGGATCAGAATCCGCCAAATCTACCGTCCCTTTTGTTTTGACCTGACCTCGGCCTTCCTCCACCGCATACTTGCGGTACTGACCGAGGAGCAATTCCCACATCTCACACGAGTAGACCTAGAGGGGTTCCGCATCATACGGAGCGGAACTTCGCGACTTGCGCGACCCCCAAGCCTTGATCTGACATGGCAGTATATCCGCGACTGTCCCTTTGTCGACGAAGGGTTTACGAAGACGGCTAATGTCGACTACCGTCAGCCCTTCTCTGGCTACGATTACTATCTCTCGGAGATGGACCAGGACAAGCTCGACGAATTAGAAGAAATACTAGAAAGGAGTTAAGACGCTCTTTTTGTTAAGGAGCTTCTCCTTTATAATTATTTTGATTTTAACCTAGCTTACATGCACACCGCTCCTCGAAGCAATAGGTAACTTCGACTAGTAAGCGCAGGACTATCAGTTAGGGATAGTAGTGTATGGGGCCCCGTACATACTGGATGAAGAAGCCGTCGGATTCTTGTAGCTCGTGCCCGACCCGCTCCGATTGATGCCCCTGAACCCCTGAATACCTCATTGACTCTGTAACGTTATACTGACGGGCATACGATAATAACGAAGTTTTAGCAACCATCTAAATTTTAGCTTGTCTTTTCCCAGTGACCGGACATTGTTTCTACATCCTTTGTTGTTGTTGTTATTGAAATAGATATACAGAGCAAACCAGGCGATGTTTACGCATGCACAATACGTCAATGACCATCCGCACCACATAGACAAAAGGGATGGGACGACATACTAGTTGTCTAGGCTGACTTTTATGGAACCCCAAACAGCCTTGTTGGCGTAGTCGGTGGTACCGTAGTAGCCGATGTAGTCTGGCCTGTCGGGTATGTTGCGAATCCACCCTAGGTGCATCGGTGCCGTAGAGAGTCTCGTCGATGCAGGTGTTTTCAAGAAATGAATAGAGCACAGAAGTAGGCTAAAAACTAGTGTAGATCTTACAAGAATTACGGACACAGACCTTATCCTTATTGGTAATCTATTGCTATTTAGTATTATATGTTAGATTTTCTGATATCAAAAACTATAAAGAGCGCCTTGTGAGATACCTCGCTTCGCATAATCTTCTTCTCGAGATATAAGAAGATATCTATCAGTCTTCCCCACGGGCAACAATATTTGGCACCGACCAAGCGTTTTCTTCCATATATGGGACACTCTATAGTGATACAATATCGATGTCTAACAGGCTTCCATAATTCAAGGATAGAATACTTCGGGCAATAAAAAACCTATCTATATGCCTTTTAGACTCACTTCATGATAGATATTAAACCTTGACCTCTTATAGATAACACTCTTGCTGTAATTATTCCAAGTATCTCTATACAAATCAAGTTTAAGCTTCTCTAGTTTTTTCGAATCATTTAGTCGTAAGAAGTATAGAACAGGATTTGATTTAGTCAATGCAAGACATAATCTTCAATATCTTCTTGACTTTAAAATAAAACATTTTCTCCTATAATGCTTTAAAAATATAACATTGCCCATAGTTACTGAAAATAGTATGGTTTGTTTCTGTCAACAATAGCACATACATCATTGTGGTCAAATACAAAAAAGGGGACAAGAATAAGCTAAAGAGATCAGATGATCTGCAATAGGAAAATTCCGATGTAATACGGCTAGGTGTTCCGGATCTACATATAGAAAGGCGGTACCGGCCGACCCCCACTTCACGACCGAAGTTCCGGGGCAAGCATGTAGAATCCGATACCGAGGACCGTGGCACAGTTTCAATTAGCCAGCAGATGTTTCTGGCTCGCTTTACTTGGAAGAGGGGAAGTTTTTTTTTTTTCCAATTCTTTTTTTCAAGCATATGAGTGCCGTCTAGAAAGACTTTATTAATCCGCATTGCTTAAACAAAGCTACCGGAAAGAAACGTATCTAAGTACCTCACCTAAGGTAGTATAATTCATATGTGGAAAAATCTGACTGTTAATTGGCCGATCTATTGACACCAGCCTTAATTCTCTCTACCTACACAAACGAATATTAAAGATGAGGTACCTGGGTAGTAATACAAATTATTATATTAATTTAGTGAACGGGCCCAGTATCTATTATACTCTATCAATACTTGTTAGTTAATTGACTTAAAAAATGAGTTTGAGTATAGGTTGCACATTAATAGGTATCACGAAGGCATAGATTTGACTTGGTAATACGGCGTCCAGTGACTGCACTAAGCCTCTGATTATCCAATCAACTTCAACGTTGTATATCCAAGAACATGTCATCTCGGTTGAGAAATATTTTGAATTTGTGGCGTGAATATCCCGAGAGTTATGAATGACTTCGACAGTCCAACTCGAGACTGTTGGCACTGTATGATGACTTTTGACACTTTGGGATTTCGATAGTAAGATAGCCAAGGGAAATGAAATCATAGCAACAGGGTTACCTTTAATCCACAGCAGTGTTGAGGAGCGTCATATCAAACTTGGGAGCTGAGCGTTGATGATAACATTTACGCCACTTTACGACAATCGACACTTTTCATAGCACGTAGATGAACACATAGGTTATTATTCAATATTATTTTGACAATATTAATTGTCTAAGCTAGATAGTTCGGCTGTGATCGCACGAATTAAGAATCCCAGATCTCTTAGTTCAGATAGGGGTAATATGAGGTCATTCCCAGACGAGGGTTTGCTAGCTTAGCCGGTGACGTAGAGTATCCAAATTTGGCCACGGTGTCTAAGAAATTATCGTGATCACCGATGGTCAATATCTTCTTTATGTGACTGGTAGATTCTCGGTTCATTAAAGCGGCAGGAAATTGGCAAACTAGGAAAAGAAGAGAACGTATAGTTATCGATGGGCCACTCGATATTTCGATCTCAAAACTCAACGCTTTTCAAACAACCAACGCAGTGGTACAGATACGAGAGTGAGTACCACGTCTGATGTCAGATTCATATGTCATTGCCGTTCCAGGGTAAACGCAAGCGGGAAGCTGGCTGGCTGTCTGCATCATTTGGGATGGAAATCGATGGTGGTGAGAGTTATACATGAAGAGTTGATTCCAGAATACCTGAGGGTTATGATTCGCCTCGGGTTTCGTCACCACGTGGGATCGCTGGGGATGAGTGAGGTCAGCCTTTCACCGCGAAGGTTCGGAAAGGGTTTACTTAGTGAGTTTAGTGGCGAGAGGGCCGAATCGAGACTGCAAACCCCTGCTACTACATATCGACGGATGCAGCCATTCTGGTTCCTCCCGGCGTTAATCTAAAGGGGAATATGTGGAGATCTGATGCGTGGTAGACAGAGCCTCGTCCAGCACATTTGCTAGCTGGATCGAGAAATAAATAGTAGTGTACGTGTTCGAAGTGTAGTAACTAAAAAGAAAAAAAGTATGAGTTTGTTGTTGTTGGTAGAAATTAGCGACGACATTGTTCGGTTGAGTTTGTAGCTGACATCATAAGGCTTTGCCGTCCACTCTGACCTCACAAATCTGGGGGACAGGGGGGCAAACCAAAAAAAAAACTGACAGCTGACAAGATCTCTTTTTACACCTGATAACTAAGTATCTAGGTATTTATTCATGTATGCACTACGTAGCACAATTTTTCGTATTACAAGATTACAAGATTACCGCCTGGCGGACGTCACCCACTGTGTTTGCCCAATTACATAGAAAATACATCAGATATACATTAATATCGAAACAGAACTTAACCTATCATTTTTATCTTTAGTGTCTAGATGAGTCTTTTCGAGGAAAGAGACATTTTGACTACAACATTACTTTAACCGATATTGGTAACCAGTAGGCAGATCAATGAGTCCCCCTTGGACCCCTATTTTTTTTTTTTTTTTTTTTTTTTTTTTGCTCGAGGCTACCTAAATCGACCTTTGCTTTTCTGCATATCTAATTAGACAAGCAAGCGAGTTCTGTCGTCGGACTTGACGTGCATCCTGCTTGGCTCGGAACTAATCCTACCTAGCATTGCAATGCATGGCTGAGGTGCAGCAGGTTTCCCAATTGTGGCCTTTCCTTTTAAACTCACGTATTCCGTACAACCTTCACGTATGTATTACCTCGTCTGCGCGTCCCTACAACGGAAATCCTGAACTTCTACACGTTTTGCTACTAGTTGGTATGCGTAAGACATGCATCACCAATTGCTGTTTGAAAAGTATGCTTAATACAACGCCAAGAATAGAAATCTTGGTAAGAAAAAATCCCATAGGATAGAATAGACTGGATTTCCCTCTTGTATTTGTACTTTCGATCCGTACTAGCGGCGTTAAGAGTTAGTATCGAACCAACAACTAGAGCCGGCAGATCCTCGTTCCAAGTCTAAATCCGTTTAGAATTCCAAGTCGAGGTACCTGCTTTGCTTTTTTGTATGATGTCTGTGATACTTGCAGACTTGTTAGATGACCCTTACAGGCAATAGAAGTCGTACAAGTCTGTTTCTAGACCCTTGTTTTAAACAATCGGAAATGGAAACAAGCATGTTTGTAGATTTCTAGCGGGGTTTTTCCATTTGCATTTGGAATGAAGCGAAAATGTAAAGTAACTTACACACTTGTATGCTGGGAGTTGTTAATTTCGATGTTCATATATGTAGGTACATAGGTACTTATGAAATTACATTTGTGTTGCAATGACCGAATCCAAGTACATAGGTACCTAAACTAGATTATCCTGGTTCACTGCACGTGCTTATTACTTTCGGCGAAATCTTATTACAGCAGTCATATGACGTCACATTAATATTTTATTGACTAGTTCCGCAAAAGCTTAACTAACAGGTTATTTTGGTTTAACTATTAACATCTTCATTACAATCGACTGATGAGTTATCAAGAACTGAACGAGATACGGATATTCCGATAGAAACCAAACTTTATTAAAGCCGTAAGAAAAATATTGTATTGGAAACACCCGCCAGCCGGGATCATGATTGTAATACTTACATATTATGCTGTGCTAGTGCAGGTCTTTCCGTCCGGCCTCCACTTCGCCGTCGGTACAGCAGATGGGTAGGTGAGTTTGTAGCCAATAGGATGACATATGCCATGTCTTCAAAGGTGACCTCAAAGGTCGAGACAAGATCGCCAGGGTCTTTCCCAATCGTCAATAGGTGGTCCACGGTGGAGGTGTGTTTCTCACGGGTGGGGGGGAAGGGGAGAAGAGACATGAAATACATAGGAGATATGGGAGACATGGGAGAGACATGGGATAGACGTGTTACTCCCTCCTCATGTCCCTCCGCTTTCTTTATGTCCTCACCCGTTAGCGGCTGACCGAATGCAGAATGACATGCCATTTTTTCCCCCTACAATGCACAATACCCCTTTCCGCCGTGCCCGCCTCCCAATTCGATGGTGTGGTGCTTATTAGTGGTTTATGGGGTGGTATGGCATATAGTCAATCAACTACGTAGTAGCGAGTCTGCAAGCCTAGTACAAGTCTGGAGACTTTGGAGGGGACAATGCATCATCAGCCTTGTTCGTGGCGAAAGTCTAATGGCCCTGGTTCGGTTATTGGCTTGTCGCCTCTCACTTACGACATAGCCTGCAGGCTTGGTTTCCCATCCCGGCACTAAAACGGCGTCCCTACATGTCGATCAACCCCCATCCTGAACCTCTTAGCGTTCTGTTTGTATGTATGCAGCAAGGTGGTGGCAGTAAACAACCCAAGCCATCTTCTGACTAGTTTAGAGGTTAGAGAGGGGGACTTACCTGACCTACCTAGGTAGTCTATTAGTTCCCAGCCCCAACATAGCACCTCTTCTTTGAAGTATGGTCCATACTTCCTCTGAGGTCACGGCCCGCTCTAGTTCAATTCTTGATATCCCCCTCTTTTCTCATCTTCGTCCTTACATATAAAACCTCGAGACCTCACCTCTCTTATTACTCCGATCTAACGATACCTATTCATCATAAAGATATATACTGAGTTACGAACTAGCTTCGGTCTTGTACTACTACCAAACAAACAACCTGATCATCTGAATTATCATATTCAACCCGGCTTGACGCTATATTATTCTATTAAACACCACATCGCCAATCCTACACCATGTCTGCACGAGGTTCCTACAGCATGGCCATGCCATCGTCTATCCCCCCACCTGTAGATCTTGCGAGTTATGCTCGATCAATGCACCAACACACCAAGAGGCAAATGGAGGCAGCAAACATGCCCACAAGTCGACGGAGTAATCGGTCGTCGCGTTCCCACGTACCCGGTTTACCCAACGGCACATCAGCGACATCATCGTCGAGGAGTCCAGATGAAGTCGAGTATCACGATTGAAGAACATGTACGAATAAGTTGAGTCGAGAAAAAACACCATTTTATAACACAACGTACACGAATATGTCCATGAAACAACGGGACATTGGCGGATAAAAGAAAAAACAAGAAACACGAATTGGCTCAGCTCGGTTGAGTTTAGCAGCCTAATATGAACAAACTTGTGAGGCGTCCCGGATTCTATTAAGGAAGCGAATACACACGCATATGTATGAGAAGGGGGGAATCCTTGCATAGGTAGCCACCAGCGTCAAGGATCTACGACGACGGCAGACCGTCCCGCGAGGGAGCGCGGGTTCAGGTCGCGGCTGGGGAGTTTTTAACATTACACGGGAAAGCGATTGGGAGTGAGTGTACGTTTATCAGCAACGCAACGCGGCGCAACGCAAAGCAAAGCAAAGCAGTTTTGGCGAGGGGCGTCGGGCAACAAAGTCATCGTCGGGAAGGAGTAGTTGTTGTGTGTTAAGTGGTTATTCTAGGCAACAGACGAGAGAGAGAGAGAGCCACTGAGCGACCGTGATAGACGAGTCGTACGAGAACACGAATCTGATTGATTGATGATCTCCGGATACCCGGGATGATCACAAACATATCCATCTCAAAAAACTTTTTCTTGTCTTTCCCCTGTTGTGCCTGACGTGTGCTGTCGTGTTGTGACTATTGACCGCTCTTATACATAGTAATCTTGTGACACTTCTTCTATGGGCCAATTGCTTATACCTTGTTGCCTTCACTCTTATCCTCGTTCTCATTCTCATTTTATTAATCATATTTGGCGTTATCTAATTGTCTGGTTGGAATTTCATATGTTAGCGAAATTTACTCTGATCTCGTTGTTATGAGATGGAACACCCTTACATATATCTAATTTCTAAATATAAATATTTATATATCATTATCTCCCAAAAATGTGTAAATTTCTAAATTAAATCTACTCTTCATACAATCAATCATGACTGGAAATTACAGACGCAGATTTCGTTAGATTGCGGAACCGATAGATCCATGCGGGACGTGGGATACGATGTCGATCTCTGCACGTCCCTGGGTAGCCCGGGGTGGAATGTCGGTAAGATATGTCGAAGCACATCACGTTGTCTAACGATAACCGCTATTGGGGACCCCTCACGGAATTGCCATAGTTTTAATTCGTTTTTGGGAAATGCGTGTCGGGTTGGACGGGACAGGGGTTTGATAGAAACGGAGACTTCTCCATTATTTCTGTAGAAGAGTTGGTTGATCATCGCGGCTTGCCGGCAAACGGCCAAGTATGGAGATATGTTTGTTATACCTATGCTTAAGATTATCTTCGTTATTGGACGGAGTCGTGGCTCCGTGTTGTTATTCGTAAACCGGCCTAATATCCGTCGCTATGCTATGTATGCTGTGCTATCACATGCCACCCAAGCTGTCATAACTAATTACAATTTCGACTCATCTATACGAGAGGGGCCTTCTTCTTAATACCAAGCGCTGCCGCGTGATCCCTTTTCCTTTTTACAACCCGCTTAAAGGATGGGGGCGGCATGTCCTTGGATGGCGCATTTGCCGACGACGACGACGCTGTTGCCGGTTGTGCTTGAGGGGCACTGCTACCGTTACCGTTACCGCTACTTCCAGGCGTGAGCGCCGACGTCGAATCGGACGCCACGTCATCCATCTCCTCGTCTATAACGTCTTCAGTCATACGGTCGACCTGCCTCGCGAACTCAAAAGCCCTCCTTGCCGCCTCTGCGTCTTCTTTCTCTTGCCGCTCCGCCTCATTATCGACGGGCAGTTCGACACCCACCTCTACGCCATCCTGGTTCGCACGTTCTAACCGGGCATTCCTCGTGCGTATCTCGTCTAACGCGTCCGCGACCGCCATCTCACGCTTCGCGTCTACAGTCTTGGCTTCGAGTTCTACCATGGCATTGCGTTCCTCTTCCTCCTTCTCTAACCTGTCTAACCGCTCTTCGTCCGTCTCGTCGACTCCTACCCGCCATGGCTCTGTACTCCGTTTTGCTCCACTCTCGCAGGCCTGTAATTGAGGTTAGAGAACGAAGGGAATTCATGGTGTTACGTCAATAGGGACTGGGACATACGTAGTCTTGGTTCTTGGGATCTGTCTTAAATGTGATTTGTCCGCTGCATCTTGTACATCGAATGTAGAATCCTATCTTATATTAGTATTATGTGGGGATACCTGGCACTCTAGTACTGGAGTAGATAGGTGAAGAGGATGAATAAGTTGTAACATACTGTCAAATGGTTAGCTTTATCGAGGATAGCGGAATGTGAGAAAGGTGACGATTAGTATGTACCTGAAAATCTGAATGCCTAGATATTTTTCATCCAGGGGCGTCTCTTTTCGCGCGTTGAACTAAATTTAATATTAACACGAGTGTAGTTTAGAGGACATCCTGAGGTTAGACTTGTACCTTTCTGCCTTTGTAGATATACTCTCCACATGTAGTACATTTCATGGAACTGCTAAGTGTTAATAGATAGCTCACTCTTGAGGCATATCCATTCAAAGAACATTACATACTGTGACATTGTTAGTTTCTATACAATAGGAATATAATGGGGTCTAAAGAGAATATAAAAACAGGGACTACAAAGACTTCACATACCAATGGTGCCGCCAAGCGGACAGTCTGAACTTTTGGGCCGGCATTTTTAGGCCCCTTAACTCTCTTTATCTGACTTGGATCGAAGTCAGGGGGGTAGTATTTGGCTGCACATGGTTAGTACTGAAAGCTGACAAAGCGATGGTTATTATTTAGGGGTTGAAGGTTGAGATAGAGGCCATCGGTGGAGGAAAACATACTGAGAACTTTTCGTTCAGACATGGTATTTTGCTTTACGAGATGAACGGGGAAGTTAAGCTTGTAGGGCTATTTGTTCCTAATGACTTCGTTTCGAAGAGACGCGTCTTATGGCGATGCGTTGAAGACGTGAATAATGGTAAGGCGATAAGATACAATGTATGTAGTACCAGAATAGAATGCGATCCTTGTGTAGCAGTTGATTGGTACTTCTACTGTAACGTAGTGGGGATGTGGCGCTAATCACGTGATAGTTCAGCCTCACCTACCTTGATGTTCACTCTGTCACTTTAAAGACTGCGGCTGAAATTGGGGCTTTTAGAACCTTGAAAGATACGAAGGTACATCATATCCGGTACTTTGATAAGATTTGCTCCACTTCCCCGTGCGGGTATGATGCATGCCAAGATTTAATAAAATGGGTCCAATCTATAATTCAAGCCTCGTTGTCGGGAAAATTCCTTCGGGTAGATATGAGACGATTAGGTAGAATCTAGCCTCTAACCCCTGCGCTACACTAGATCTGGTTTTGGTTGTATGGGTCTAACCAGACATGCCCCCCCGTCATACTAGGTCATAAATTTTGGACAGATCTGAAGAAATGACTTGCCATCGGTGGTAGGACTATGAGGTATGTATTAAATGGGATTCGTCAGTCATACATACAGAACTTGGCCCCAGTACCGTACCATACTCTAGGAGAACGTCACTAGATATCTTTATTGAAATCCTATAATACTACCTAACTAGAACTTAATAGATCTTACGCAAGTTTATTACTACGCTCAGTTGTGACTATGTATTACACCTTCAACAAGGGGGAATGTACGTAAACATCAGACTGTTTCATTAGTTAACCCTATGTGTATTATTGATGATCATATAATCGTCCACTACGTAGCAGATTCATCTTCGATCTCGAATTCCAGCTTCAAACATTTCTGCTAGGGTGTCCCATTTTCCTGCAGCGGCGTCGCCACTGGCCCTTGCAACTCCTCTCAACCCGCTACAAATAAATTTCAAGTGGCGATCCGTATCCGCTCGTATGTCACGTAGAACTTCGGCGAATGTCTTTTCCTTATCTTGCATCATCGAGGTCTTGTCTTGATCCAAGAGAAATGTTTCGTCCTCCTCTTCGCCACTCCCCATATACCGTCGACTATGTTTCATGGGTGATGACATTACTGATAATCGTGATAACTCCTGTTCCTCTTCCTGCTCCCGTTCGGATTCTAACTGACGTGCATCCTGAAGCCTGATAGTAAGATCAAATATGTCTAGAATGCATTCTCGAATAGGATCAAGTTTGCTGCCTAAACACACTTCATTAATAATCTGTTTTATATACGCACTGTGTAATGCGGTCATCGCAGTTATATCCTCTGTATCCCGAAGATTATGGTGAAGCTCAGCCGTGAGTGGTTCTATGACTAGCGTAATCAGGTAGGATCGAAGCGTATTGCAGAACCACAAGAGTTTCGCTCTGAGACCATAATAGGTTGTTTGGTCCGATGACGTATTTGGTGTACCCGCAATGCTGTCAGAGACTAAGCGGTATTTGTGAAGAACGTAAGTAGCCCGACGGAGCTGCAGTAAGAAGGTAAAGACTGCTTCATATTGGACAAGACTCTCGTCTGATAAGATAATCCGGATCGGCCAGGACAAACGATAGAGGATCCTAACAAGGGGTAAGCCCTTGCGAACCGATCTTCGAATATCTTTTACATCATTTGCAAGGTTATCTGCGGACACACTGACGACTAGCCGATGAGCGTTGGTAATAGTACCGAATGTTTCGTGCGCTAGAGCAGTCAAGTTGAAGTGATCATGCCAGTTTGAATTGAGGAGATCCATATTGTTGAAGATTGCAAAAGCAAAGAGGTCGGACTGTGCCCCATTGGACATAAGGTATACTTGCTGAAGCGCATCCAGAACTGACCAGAGGCTGCAAGACTCGAAAAGTGTCCGTCGAAGAGTTGTGGATGCGGCATGATGCTTACTCTCCATCCATTTCTCAAAAACATCGCCAAAGACTTCAGAAAATGGTGCGAAGACGCCATACGTCGATATAAGGTCTCTGTTAACATCTATGGGCGAGTCCGTCATATGAGCATTGGTTGATTGGTACTTTCCAAGGAGCTTAAGTACAACGACGCTCTTGCCGGTGGTGAGTATCCTCGACGCCGCTGGTCGTAGAAATCGTGGTACATATAATGTACCGTCCGTTGTTTTTCGCAATGTATACTGATTTGACCATACTTGGCTCATGGGAACTTTACTCGGCGAGCTGGAGATGAAGAAAGCTTTGTCGTCACCTATCAGCTCTCCAGCCTCCATCCAAAGACGAATAGATCGAAGGTAAACTTGGAAGCACTCGAAAAATAGGGTAGCAATAAACTGATATACCGCATCGTGTCCTTCCAGTTGGGCAAGTTCAGCAGCCTCAAAAAGAAGTTCCAAGTAATAAAACGGACGAGGGTATCTCGATCGTTGGAGCTGTTGGATAATGTCTGATAGGCTAATAAGGGGTTGCAAATGAGGTTTTATATCACCTAAAATCCGGGCTAGACTAATAACGACATCTTGCTGAATATCTACGTATCGGGCTTGGAAATTCGAGATTTCGCGATCGAATGATCGAAGTCGTTCCTCAATTGCCTCCCGGAACACTTGCAATAGCGGGATATTCTGGGGCTGCTTTATAAATTCGCGCAGGATAGACAATTGTCGGCCAGCTTCGCTGAAAGAGCCTAGTAGCGCCTTATAAAGTTCCCAGGAGGTATGCTTCAGTTGGAACTGTAACGAGGGTACCCCTTGTCTGTCGAATAGGGTATTTTCAAGACCATTTAGCATGAAAAGCACCTCGCGCACGACGTGAAACTCAGATAATGTAATCTTATGAGATCTTCCTGTCGATTCCTTCGATAGCGTAGCATTCCTCCAATGCTGAGTTGCTCGTACTTGTTCTAGTCGGTTCCCATCTTGAGATTCGACAAGGAAATCGGCGGGAGACTTCTGATATTGTGTCTCAACGGTTGATGCCGAGGTGAGCTCGGCGTTAGAGGACAGATCAGATACACTTTCAAGATATTCATCTTCCGAGCTATCTCCACCATACTTGACATTTTTCCAGAGGTCACGATCTTGATCCCAGCCTTCTTCCTTAGCAATGTCTTCCCATTTAAGAGGGGGCCCAAGATTTTTGCCTGACTCTTTGAGTAACTCTAGGTCAGCTAGCTTAGATTTCTGAACAGGCTGGTCCTCAAGTAGCAACAAGAAGTGGAGGACTTCGGGCGTCAATTTGCTAGAAACATGTGGAAGAGCGTCTAAACGTTCTCTCAACGCATCTGCTAACCCATCCTTGTTGATGACACGAAAATGCTCTTCGAGCCCGTTGAGTTTATCCTCAATATCAAATTGGTTCGTGCGTAGAAAACTATTATTACGAACTCTTCGCAAGCTGGACTCTTTGAGTAGATTAAAACGTCCGGGATCTGACTATCGATATGTGTAAGTGAGGGTGAAATACCTAGGGTAAACGGTAAACGATGGACTTTCTACCCCTACCCACCAGACTTGATGTTGAAGTAATAACTTCGATTAATTCCTCAGTTAATGCGCCTAATGTCGCGGCGTGTGCCATGCTGAGTGTTTTATTCGTATAAGGCTAGAATGAAATATTATGAAGCTGATTCATTAATCCGACATTTTCCCAATTGCCCGTAGTGGACGTCGTCTTATAAGATATACATGTACACATGTATCCAAGGCCTTAGTTAAGGCCCATATTTAGAGGCTTATCTAACAAAACCTTATCATATTGATACGCGTCGACGCGATCTGTAATTGCCGGGGTTATGCCAGGGGTATGACAGGTTTTACAGTGCGGATGATACACTATTTCATATATCACGTGCTTTCAACACTGTAGCTCCCCCTTTCCACTTGCTTATACGGTATCCACTTTCGATTTTATGTACAACAGATTACAACGTAACCAAGATTTTCCGATGCCTCATATCTCTCTGAACATTCTGAACATTCTAAATATTCTAAACATGTGCCATTTGGGCCACGACTCCTGACGAAAAAAAAACCTTCTAATTCACCTGTACATTTCCCACCACTTAATTGATTCTGTTTCTTTGCCCTATTATGGTCGCTTCTGCGATATTCTAGGCTATTCATTCTTTGACATCATTCTCTCGAAGTAGACACGAACTTGAGGCAGTAGACCTTTTGGTGAAGTTAATGAATATAAAACAGCAACTACCATAATGGCCATCGCGAGGCCCGTCCGCGCTCTTGCGCTAGCTGTCTTCATAGTCTGTTGTTTTTTCCTGTACACGATATGGCGTCCAGCTTCTGGCGTGCCCAGCATAAAGACTTCTGCCGACTTCCACGGTACCATCGAAAGGGATCCTAATTTAGATCGTGAGTCTTCCTCAGTTTATTGTCTATTCGTTGTGGGCTACGTCTAACAATATGAATAGCCACAGGAGAGCCCGAAGGTAAACTCGTACGCGCAATGGAAGGGGGGTACGCCCCCGGCATCGCTGGCACCTCGAGAATCAATGCGACAATCCTTACGCTGGTACGAAACGAGGAGCTAGATGGAATATTGCAGTCGATGCAGGACTTGGAACGAACCTGGAACTCCAAATTCAATTATCCGTGGACATTCTTTAACGACGTCCCCTTTACCGAGGAATTCAAGCGAAGGACACGAGCGGCGACCAAGGCTGAAACGCGATATGGTAAGTGTAATGCAACTATAAGCTTCTCGATGGGGCTTATACTAATTTAGCACTGTAGAACTTATCCCGAATGAGCACTGGGATACACCGTCTTGGATCAATGACGACTTGTACAAGGAATCAGTTAAGATTCTCGAGGAGAATGAAGTTCAATATGCTGACAAAATCTCGTACCACAAGATGTGTCGATGGAACAGTGGACTGTTCTACAAGCATCCCGCGCTAAAAGACATGCAGTACTACTGGCGTGTCGAACCCAATGTCCATTTCTTCTGCGACGTGGACTATGACGTATTTCGTTACATGCAGGACAACAACAAGACGTACGGTTTCACTATCACCCTCTATGATGCTCCCAAATCGATCCCAACTCTGTGGCCGGAGACGACTAAATTCATCACGCAACATCCCGAATATCTACACGAGAACAGGGCCGAGCAGTGGTTGACTGATAAACAACGGCGTCCTATCCACTGGGAACAGGCAAATGGTTATTCGACATGCCACTTCTGGACCAACTTCGAGATCGCGGATATGAATTTTTGGCGAAGCCAGGCATATGAGGACTATTTCAACCACTTAGATCGTGCTGGTGGCTTCTTCTATGAAAGATGGGGTGATGCGCCTGTGCACAGTATAGCACTTGGTCTGTTCGAGGACAAGAGCAAGGTCCATTGGTGGGTATACTCGTCCTATAGTAATGAATTCAGTATGCTAACCTCTCCTAGGTTCCGCGACATCGGATACCAGCATATTCCTTTCTTTAACTGCCCCAACTCGCCGAAATGTAGAGGCTGCGTTACCGGTCGTTTAACCGATGGTGAGAACTGGTTGCATAAAGAAGACTGCCGACCTAACTGGTTCAAAGTCGCTGGAATGGGTTGAATGTGACCTTGAAAGGGAGGTTTTAGGATACGTGAAAAACAATGGCTGCACGATATTGTCCGATGCTGTACTAATGTCTGGGAAATCCCATTATGGATAAGGATAGCATGGCGGCATGCGGTGTTCGGCGTAGATGGAGAGGGCGCTTCATAGAAGGAGGGCTGTTTTCTCAGGTTGGCATGGTATAAGCAACCGACTATTTTGCCTAGACTCGATATTAAGGATCGTCTGTACTAGGTGTCAAAGTATGCCGTTTGATACGTTGGATATCCTTTATGAAATCGCAAGTCTATTTGAATGATCTAGGGAAGACTCGTATCAATTGTATCCAAATACCGTGACAATACCAGATGTGCCACTAACACAATATTGATCCCCAAGTCCGTTCTCCCTCCAAGAAAAGCAACTTAGAATATTGCTACGTTCCTTAGGTTTACCATCTTTGCCAATGGATTTCTTCGGTTCAAGACCAGCAGGTCCCCAGGGGACAACTACTTTAGCTTTCAACTCCCCCGTGAGAACATCCCATGCCCACATTCTCCCTTCTCCATGCCGACCAGGTGCACCTGTCATCTCATCCCCTGCCAGGACGAATTGCTCTTTCCCACCAAGGATAGACTGGACACGTAGATCTTCATTCTTCCATTCAGGATCAGAGTATGTTTTTAGACATCCTCCACTCTCCCTATCCATTAAGCGGAGTTTGCTATCCAAACTGCTCACCAACACAGCCTTTCCGTCTTTCGTCAAACACAGGCTTGTAACGCTAGGACCAATGACATCAGTGGTACACCGCCCCATACGCACATCGTACGTCCTAACGCGTCCATCAACGCTACCACTAACGATTTCGGATCCGCGCACGGCAACAGCACTGATGGAGTCGCGGGCTTCGGTTAGGACCTGAATTGGCTTGAGGGAGTTGCTCTTCACGTCCCAGATTCGCACGCTGGTATCAAGACTACCGCTCACGAGAAGACTGTCGTCCTCACCGGCGAAGACCACGCAGTTGATACGTGCGGTGTGGCTTTGCTGGGTGCCGCCGAAACGCCGCAACGTCTGCGCCGACGCTACGTCCCATAGGAAGACGGCGCGGTCGCCGCCCGACGATGCGAAGCGCGCGTTGTCTGAGGCGACGGTCAGTGATAGCACCTCGTACCCGTGCGCCGAGTACGTTTGGATAAGGCGGCCTTCCGGTACGGCTAGGGGCCCAGGGTTGCTCTTTTTAGTGATGTGCGAGTTTGGGTGGATAGATGTGCTGGGCTGTGGGTTGTACAGCCTGATAGACCGGTCTGCGGAGCCGGCTAGGATGTACGTCCCCGGTGAGGCCGAGTACGCGAGCGCGTGGACGGGGCCTGTAAGTGGATGCTTAATTAGCGAATTATAGCTGAGCTGTCTTTAGAGAGAGTTGAGACTTACCATTAGAACCTAGTAGGTGAGCGATTGGCTTGTCCGGGAAAGTCATTGTTTGATATCGCGTCGATATCCATGACCTGGTTAGATTCTAACCACTTATACGCCGGGGATCGAGGCAAGTCACCTCTGCATCGTATAAATTATACCCACTTTTACTTAAAGCTTAGAAAGCCCAAGAGGAAAGCGATAGGGGTGAGTCCCGAATCTATTATTTAGTAGTTCGTTAATTAAAATATAAAATTAAAGATTTCGTTATAATTGAATGAATAAGTGCCTGGTTGAATAAAGTCTATCCCGTGCCGCCGAGTGACGTCTTATCTTATCAAAGACGCCGCCACTAACAATGTACCGTCAAAATTGAATTCTAGTGCTTATCGATAAAGATTTTTTAGCTTTACACCAGCTCCAGAATCCAGAATTTTTTTTGTAAAGCTTCAACAAGTTACCTACATTCCTTTGACTTATATTAAAGATTAAGTGGTTTTTTAGGAGACTATACTAAGGCTTGACGCAAAGCGTTTGCAATGCTTCGATTGAGCAGCCGAAGCGCACGCCGTATCGGAACCTCTTACATATGCACATCATGTCTTACTTGTCATTCGACAAGGTCACTGACATTCCGTCCCACCTTGATCCCTAGTCATAATGGTCGACATCTCTCAAGCACATCTCGCCTGCTTACGCCCGCGACCGAAACCTCGACACCGGATTCTAATGGTTCCGAAAATATAGCACCCCCACCACCAGAAGCGCCGAAGAAGAAGAAAAAGAGGAAGCCTAAAAATGACGAAAAGAATCTCGCTGCCCAGGCCGAAGGTGAACGTCAGCTACAAGTTCTACAAGGCGCGCTCCAAGCATTAAAGAATGTTCTCGCTGCGCAGAACATTAATGTTGACCAGATTAGCAAGCTTGGGAATCAGATCAGCCAAAAGGACTTAGGGTCAGAAGGAACCCCTAAGACTAAGGCTAAGGCTAAGGCTAAGGCCAAGGCCAAGGCAGAATCTGTAGGGAACGACGAAGGAACTCAAAAGTCACAAGGTTCTCCAGAGAAGAGAGAACCAAGGAGGAAGTCAAGGCGAAAAGTACCAAGCGAAGAAGGTACAGCGGCGGCTGAAGGTGAACCGGCTGATGGCACACCGGAACAGGCTGCAAGTTCAAGTGGCCGCTCTAAAAGGGCTGCTGCGAAGAAGGCGGCGGGCCGCGAAAAGTCAAAGCAGAAGACGGCTTCTAAGGGGACTAAGACGCCAATTGTAAAGGTTTCAAAGGGACAAGCCAGACCTAAAAAGGGAACCTCAACCAATGCTCTCCGCGAGCGAATGCGAAACATGGATAGCGGTGATGTTTGGGGTAACTATAAAATTATCGGTGAAGATGCATCGGCAGCACAAGAGTCAGGAAAGGGGACCAAGTCGAAGAAAAGACCGCCTTTAGATATCAGTACTATATCCGCCAATGATCTACGACCAGAACCTATTAAGACGATTCATCCGTCAGTCCCAGGATTGTCCTATGGTCTTGATAGGGTCCTGTTCAATCCTGGTGTCTATCACTTACAAGATCCTCGTTCCCGAGTCTACAATTTCGACCCATATCTTTCAGAGATTATGCCAATTCAAGAATTTGACTTCAACGCTCTAAAACAATATGTTACCTCTTCTAAGGACTCTACACTTATTGGCATCGCGAAAGAGCATGGCAAGAGATACACGGGTTCGACCTCAAGTATGACATCCATGCTTTCTCACTTCCACTATCTCCTATCGTCTTGGCGAGAAATCAACACGTCAATGCTGTCAAAGGGTTTCACCACAGACTCTCTTCAGTTCACGAAGATTATGAAAGGTCCGGCGGCAGTATTCTTGCATTGGAAAGATGGCACTTACGCCATAGATGCCGACAAGGAATTTGATACGGCCAATATCTTGAGCATGCTTGGGAAATCCATGGAGAAACTTCTCACTCTCTCCAAAGAAGAATACGAAAGGTACAGACATATCAACTCTGACCAGATCACCGAGGAAGAGCGAAACGCCGAAGAAGCCTTTCACTATACCAAATTCCTTGATTTCATGATGCGTTCACAACTGGATGCGCACGACCCAAGGGTGCCTGGGTCAGGTATGTTTGACCTTAAGACCCGTGCAGTTGTATCCATTCGTATGGATGCCAAAGGGTTTCAAAAAGGTCTCGGCTACGAAATTCGTAATCGATTTGGCCAGTGGGAGTCATTCGAACGAGAATACTATGATATGATCCGTTCCGCATTTTTGAAATATTCTCTTCAAGTCCGTATGGGTCGAATGGACGGTATATTTGTCGCATTCCACAACACCCAACGCATCTTCGGCTTCCAATACATCCCAATAAGTGAAATGGACCTTGCATTGCACGGAACATCAAACATCACTCTCGGTGATAGGGAATATAAACTCAGTCTTGCCTTGCTTAATGATATTCTGGACCGAGTCAGCAAGAAGTTCCCAGAGCAATCTCTACGATTACACTTCGAGACGAGGATGTCAGCGAACGCACCGTTCATGTATATTTTTGCGAAGCCAGTGTCTCAGGAAGATATTGATGAGGTTCAAAATGCTAATAGGGCATCTATCGACGCGTTTGAAAGGGAGGTTCTTGGTTTAGCTAAAGAGGAGGCGGAAGCAGAGGCAGAAGCCGAAGCTGTAGCCGAGGCTGAAGTTGAGGCTGAAGTTGAGGCGGAAGCTGAAACGGAAATTGAAGCTGAGTCTGTCGATGAAAACGAGAACATAGCTCAGGGAGAGGCTGAGGGAATTGAAAAACCTGCCTCATCTCAGGAAATGTCGAGTCTGGCTGCTTGGAATGAAGTACGTCAGATGGTTGAAGATGCTGTGGATGACGACGAAGTCGGCGTCGGCGCTGTGCGGGAAGCAATCGAAGACGCTCTGGAACAGAGCGGACTCCTTCACGCGAAATCATCCACTGAAGCGCGGGGGTACGTTGATGCTTTACTTACCGCCATCACCAATAGCAGATCTGTTAAACCAGAGTCGACATCGAGCGCGCCAATCGAAGGAGAGGTAACTGCCGATGAGGAAGACCCTACTTCCACTCAAGAGATACCGGAGCCGGAATCAGATCCCAGTAGTGAACAATCCGTATCCGAACCTGAACTTGATACAGAACAGTTGCAAATCGAAGAAAAGTCCGAACACGCCTCTGGCGAAGGTGAGAATGCAGATTCTCAACCAGAAGAAGCAAGCGTACAACAAAATGATAGCTTAGAAACGCAGTCAGAGTCTGAAACATTTACATTACCTGCGTCTAACGATGAGCCTAATAATTCTATATCTGAGTTAGATAGTTCAGCCTCCATCGAAGAGACGTCGTCACAAGTACAAGCTGACGTTAGTACAACCAGAGAGGTTGAAGAAGAGGAAGAAGACGAGGAGGAAGAAGACCAAGAAGAAGACGAAGACGAAACTGAAGATATTGACGACGAATTAGAGGAAGGGGAATCTAAGAGAGATCTCAATGCGGCTTCATCTATGTCGCCTTTGAAAGATCTCATTGTGAGAATGGCCCAAAGGATTGACGAGAGAGTGCTTTCTGATCAAGCCGAGGGCTCCATAGACGATTCGTCCAAACTTAAAGAATTTGAGCGGATCCTCGGTCAGCTCATTGCCCGCTCCAAAGAAGAACAGATCGAACCTCGAACCGATGGCACTAGTTCTATCTCAGGGGCTCCAATAGAACCGGGGATCGAAGGCCAAGCAGAGATCCTTGAGTCTGGGGCAGAGAAAACAGAAGATACACAGGGTGCTTCTCCAGAGTCGGCCTCAGAAGAGACTTTGGAAGATGCTACATCAGCTGAAGAGGAGATCGACCAAAATCTACTAGGTCTGATCTTAACAATCAGAAACAAAATTAATGGGGAATATGTAACACGGCCTGAAAAAATAGTTAAGACTGATGATTGGGTTGTGGAGTACAACGTCGAGGAGATCCCGGCCAAGCGTGCCAATATCATCTACCGACAGTGCCAAGCAAGGCGGCGCCAGGTATTTGAGGACACGGGCAACAAAGAATCGCAATGGTACAAGATGTTCCGCGGCAGCCTCGAGCAACACACGATGGCAGGCCGTAGGTTTAGAGCCTCGGAGACCAGGAAGGCCCAGAAGCGCCCCGTACATGTTGTTGGCCAGGAGAAGTCGTTGCAATGGGAAGAAGTGTTTGGACAGCCGGAAGCGCCGATGCCGGCTGAGGATCTGGTCGGGGATCCAGTCGAGGATTTAGTCGAGGATTCGGTCGAGGATGAGATAGAGGATGAACATAAAAAAGAGGAGTAGGTCGACTCGGGAAAAACGAGTTAGATATTATGACGCCACTACAGAGTCTATTGTATAACATCCGGCCCACGGCGCTATGAATTTATACGATGATGGGTGGGTGATTTGGCATAAAAGTATGGGTTCGCGAGGGGATATAAAAATCATCGGCTATCTCCCGTGGTGGCTGGTATGCTACACTGCGCGGGAGCAGACCGTCTCAACTCTGTACATTTATCGCTGTATATATGATGTGTATGAATTCACCCTCCCGAGGACTCGTTAACGATTAGGTGGTGGTAGGACGATCATGATTGTTTACGCCTCACCTCTATGTCTATTATGCATTTTAGATATATATATATTTATCTCATCTCTCAAAATATATACTTATCTATATCAGAGTTATCAGCACATATCTATTTCAGTGGTGTTGTATTGATATATTCTTAGTACTGCGGCCCGTATGTGAAGTCGTCGTTCGTATATCTACTTGCGTGTTACCTAGGATAAATCTTCATGGTTCAGCCCAAAGCACTATCACGCTTTTGTAATCCCTCTCAGGTAGAATATTTATTGCCTCATATGAGGTAGGGTCCCTGTTAAAAGGCCACGAAGGAAGCATTGACCATCTAAGCTTTGAAAGGCATAGGGAGCAGAATTAATAAATTCCCTAGGGTATCTACATGTAGCCAAGCCTCCCCTCCCCTCCCGTATAGCAGTCACCCTATCGTGCTGCCATTAATGTCCAGGCGCATCACACATACATCCATGTAGGTAGGTACATATCTACAACACCACCACCACCACCACCACCACCACCACCACATACATTCACGCCCCAAGATCATAGTAAATACACTTGGTCGTCCTAAAATTATACACAAACGCATGCCGACTAGCCCCATCCGTCTTCTCCCACTCGGCGCGCCACGCCAGCAGCATCTCGTGGATCTCGCGGAGATACCTGCGCTCGTTCTTGTCGACGGACTGCTCGGCTCTGCGCCAGGTCTCGGCTTCCGACAGCGAGGTCTCGTGTATCAGGTCCAGGACCACGTCCGACGTCTCGACGGCCGCGATCGGGCCCTCGAGGAACGTCTGCAGGAGGCCGGCGGCGTTGGCCTGCGCTTGCTCGATCACGACTAGGCGGTTGAATTTCTTGGACTTGGTGCCGGCGACGAGCACGCTGACTTCCTGGTTCGGGTTCGCGGATACAGTGCCGCTTTGGGCGATGGGGGCTGTGTTGCTGCTGCCGCCGGCGTCGGATTGCTTTGCGGTGGTTCCGCGCTCGCGTTGCGCGGCGCGGAGCCAGGGTAGGAGTTGGGATGTGGAGATCTCGGCGTCCGGGACGTCTTTGCGATCCATCGTCCTGACTTTTAGTATGTTGTCCTGCTTTATAATGACGATCCATGAATACGTCTCATCGCGATTCCTCGACGTGAGCTCTTCCGGCGACCGGGAATCCCGAGCTAACTCGGCGTTGATGTCGTGGGACCATAGCATCGAGAGGATTTCGATACCTACCGTACGAAGAGTTTGCGCGTCAAAACTGGCTACCAGTACATCACACTAGGAGATTGTTAGGTCGTGTCGAGGTATGGTATAGGTACAGTAATATTGATGTTAGACTTACTCGCTTAGTATTAAAGATTCCGGATGTTTCTTCCTCGAGCTTCTTTAAGAATTTCCCACCAGATTTCGGTAGCCGTGCTAGCTTTTCCCATGCCAAGCTGAAACCAACTGCGTGAGGCCCTTCTCCTATTTTTGGCCGATGTGCTTTGATTAAACTATCATAACGACCACCAGCGGCAAATACATCCTTGAACTTTTTATCATAAAGGCACTGGAATAGTATTCCACCCGAGAAGAAGTTCTCTTTAATGCTGCTTAGGGGGTTAATGTAAATTTTCGCATGGACGCCGAGACGTTTCGTATATTCGACTACATCTTTCAGGTGGGCAAGGGTCGGTTGTAATTTTTCATACATCCGACTTCCCTCGAAGATTGCCTTGAGCTTAGCGAATGCCTTAGCTGGGGTATCTAGCATTTTATTAATTTTCTGCTTGAACTCTTTGTTGGGGTTTGGGGGTTAGACGCTTACCTCGGAAATCAAATCGTCGGAGATCTTCAATACTAGTTACAGATATTCCGATCATAGGTGAACGAAGCTCCGCCCGGATCTTTTGAAAGGTGTAAGAGTGGATGTTTAGCTTGCTGAGAGACTCAGCTGCCAATTGCCTTGCGGTCAAATCCACGTTACAAAAGTCAAATATAAGCTGCAATAAATCAGAATGACCGAGATGGAAGCACATTGGTGATGTCGAGGGGAACGCGTTTATAATCTCGTCTAGCACCTTGATAACCTCGGCTTCTTTCAAAGCTAGATCTAAAGTGTCTGTAGAGACGATGTCAAAATCAACTTCGCCAACCATGAGAGGCTGTCCGCCGTTCCGCCTGTCTCGGTAAACATTACCGAAGGTGAAAGATTTCCGAACTTTTGAGATATTTGTATGTTTAGCCAATGCCCTAGCATTCCCAAGCATGAGGTCAAACGGCAGCTGGACTACCGTGCCGTTCTGATCTAATAGTTGAACGATATCCTGATTCGGGGAGTAATGTGGAGAGCGGGGATAGAGCGAACTGCGAGGTGTTTCGACTGCGCCATGACGGCGAAACACCGATACCAATTCTTGCTTAACCGCACTTTGATGCAGTAACTCTGCCGCCGTAGGATTAGGTGTCGTCATATCCCACGCGTAATCTTTCGTAGGCTCTAGGGGCGCCGAAAATAGAGCCGAAACGACTTTTGGATAATAAGGAGAAGCAGAACTGGTAAGACTCGCAAGCGCCCTCCGTGTCGTCTCATTCTCCATTTGGATAGGCAACTTCCCACTTCGTAACAACTCAAGGCTGCTTGGACGCTCTTTCACGTCGTGCGTGACCAGAGATAGTACAATATCTGATTTTACTTTATCACCGGGCTGGAAGTCGTCAGGAAGGAGAGAAGAGGTTCCTAGTTTTCCTAGCTTGTCCGCTCTCTCCATGCCTAGAATCGGATGATAACACATTTCGAAGAATATGATCCCAAGAGAATACATCTTGAATTAGGTCAGAAAGGAAGGCTAGAGGATAGAATGATCGGGCGACTTACGTCGACTTTTGAGGTGTATGAACCCCCGCCAGCCCTTCGGACTTCAGGGGCAACATAATAAGATGTTCCAATGCTTCTTGTCAAATCGCCCGTATCCAAGCTACCAGCGGCTGATTTATCGACAGCAAAATTACCGGCGGTAGCCAACCCAAAGTCGCCAATTTTAACATTATTAACCCCGTCAGGGCCAAGGCCGATGAAGACGTTTTCTGGTTTAAGATCACGATGAACTATATTCAGGCCGTGGATATGAACTAAACCCTCTAAAATCTGGCGAAATAATCTCCAGACCTCCTCGGCTTCCTTCCAGAGGTTCCTCTGGATAAGATCCCGGAGCGTCTTACCTATGAGGTCAGTAGTCTACAACCAGTTAATAAGTGGTAGGATGAAAAAGCTTACCCTTTTATCACAATACTCCATGGATATATACATCACAGTCCGATAATGTCTTTGGCTACTCTTCATTCTCGTAGGTGAAGGCATGGAATCATGTATTTCGGAGTTCACATCTGACTCATCATCATCTTCGTCTTCCTCCGTTTCTTCATCGTCCTCGACTTCTGAATCATCGTAGCCAAATTCTATATTGGGATGACTCGATGATATGAAGTCCAAACCACCAGTACTAGCGGCGAATTGGATATCAATGCCTTGAGAAGCGGTACCCTTGGAATCAGTGTTGGCATCTTCAGTTGATGTATCTCCTTCAGAATCCGGCATGTCAAGGATTTCTTCTAGCCAGGTATTGTAGTATCTCACGACTGCTGGGTGACTTAGCTGAGAAAGTAGCCTAACCTCTTTCAATATTTCAGTAAGGCTTGCCTGGGAACGTTGGGTAATCTTCTTAATAGCGTAAATTTGACCATCGAGCTTTTTCCGCGCCTTAACAACTTCACCAAACCCTCCCTTACCTAGCCGTGCTTCTTCAACAAAGTCTTCCTTATACCTTGAAAAGGTCGCCCCGCGAACAGAGGAGTCGCGCCTTAATCTTGTAGGCAAGGCCTGTGTCAACGAGCCAAGAGACTGCGAAGGGGAGAAAACGGCAGAGGTATCGTCGATAATGATAGGGGCATCAGTTGCTAAAAACTCACTAGAGCTCAACTCAAATGCACGAGGACGCTTCTTAGGATCAAGTTTGAAAAACCTAGCCACTAATTCGTGCAATGATCTAGATAGAGAAAGCGATTCCATTAGAGCAGCTGGAGACTGGTATTTCTGAAATACATCTAGGCCAAATATCATTTGTAAGAAAACGACGCCTAGGTCCCAGATATCAGTTTTTTGAGTGAATTGTGGTCGTGAGCTCCCAGCGACCTCTGGTGGCAACCAGTAAGTAGACCTTGCTGCATTCGCTGACGAATTCTTTTGAGATCTATGGGAGAGATTGTGCATTTCTCTCTGATATGCCACATCTGAAAGCTTGGGAATGACATCACCAGTTGGCTCTCTAAATAGGAGTATGTTACCGGGATGGATGTCTTGGTGGGTAATTCCATGACTATGCAAGTATCCCAAAGCGTCGAGAAGGTCTGCAGTCCACGAACGAACCTTTCCAACATCAAGTCTTCCTGCAAGATCTAACAGCTCACCAAGTGGTCCTTTATCTGCTAGTGGAGTTAAAAGTCGGGCGGTCCAAGTCATTGACGCCGACTCGGTCTCTCCGTGGTCTCGGTCGATCCGGAAATTCAAGAGCTCAAGAACGTTGCGATGTGATAACTTCTTGGCCGACTCTAATTCCCCTTCGAGAACCTGTAACTGCTTCTTGAATTGAGAGGATTCCTTAGAAGTTGATCGTAATTCGAATTCTTTGAGAGCCAAACTTGGACCGTTTCGTTCGCCAGAAATCTCCGGCCAGACGATATATGTGGTTGCTACTTGCCCTTTTCTAAATTCGCTTCTTCCAGTAACGATATTAAAAAGAAAAACATTACCAGAGGCATCGGTAACTTCGCATGTCTGGTCGAATTCAACTTTTCCAGCTTCTAGGATACGGGAGTCTTGGGTATGACTTGAAGCAGTTAGAGTTTTGTTTCTCTTTTTAGATTCCTTGATCTTCGTTCGTTGTCGGTCTACCTCCTTCTGTATCATATCTTGCATCACTCTTTCCTCTTCTTTTATTGCATCTTGTCTCTTACGATCCTCCTCTTCTTGCTGCTCTCGAGCTTGCCTTGCCAATTCGGCTTCGTGAGCTGCTCTCTCTTCTTCCAATGAGGGCAATTCCAGTCCTTGAGCCTTGGCCTGAGCAGCATCTTCGAGAATATCTTGAAGGCCTTGTGCTAACTCGTGTATCATAGGCTCCGGCTGCTCAAGTGTAATTAAGGATTTAGGCTTTGTCTCGATGAATTTTTGTAGCTTAAACACAGTAGACTCTTTTAGACTTCCCTCATCCTTAAGGCTGAGCAATGGCACTGACTTTGGATATGTGGCTGTAAGTACAACGCTCAGAGTAATAGCCACCTCTTCATCAGATAAAGCCCTAACACGAATGTCAAAGGACGGCTCGGACTTCATCCACGCACTATTGGCAGCTTTATGCTCGATATAGTCGTCGCCGTAGATGGCTTGAAGAACCATGATTTCTTCATTTTGAACGTCAGTATACGGTGTCTTATGACCTACGTCCGGGCTGGCGGGCTTCAGCCCGGGGTAGTTTGAATCATTATTGGTTTTGGTTGTGAGCTGCTGGGGCCCTTTCCATGGAGTAGTTGACTTCCAAGCCATTTTGACATTTCAGTATCATTCGTGGATAGTGTAAACAAACGAATGGAGACTCATACAGCCGGAGCTGTATGCCGTCTACTGAACTCTGGCCATTTTACAGCAATACTTATAATATAGAAATTTGTTATATTGATAATTGATAGCGGTGTAACAAGTTCTAAGTCTAAGTCGAGGCTGAGATTCACTGATGGTGGGGTGAAATTCATACGTGGTAACCGGCCTATGATTTCCACGTGCTAGCAAGGTTAGGTACATCCTAGCCTTTATTATAGGGACATGTACATCTGTAAATATTTTAGTGGATACATTATGGGGCTGGGGGGGTCTATTGACATGGTGTCAGCAATCATGATAAGGGGTGGACATAATGTCGGCCATGCGCTTGTCAAATGACTGTTACTACTGTGATTGGCTAGTATATGTAATATAGTCACCCTTGGGGGTGGTCATATCTAAAATATAAGGATGGCCAGGTCTGAAATAGCTACCCTACGTACACGATTATATCTTGTTGTAATTGTATTACTTTCGAAATACTGATATATTGGGAAAGAGTCATCCCTTGGATATAGTTACCAACGGTAGTCACGGTTATCTAATCGACATATGTCACGTACGAGACTATGTCAGGCCAAGACACGATGTCAGCCCAGGTAGGTAATATATTAAAATAAAATAAAAGAATAGAAGGCCCTATATCAAATTACAGAACCTTGAAGATATATATATATATATAAGGTAGGTAGGCATATAGCACAGGCACAGGCACATGTAAAAGTCAATTGAAAAGATTACGTTGAAATATCACGAGATTACGGGCTACGCATTTTACCATTACACTACGAGGTTTACGAATACGATTAAGGTTTATTTTATTGCAGTATATATGCATACTATGGGCCCTTATTTAACCTGTATATACCCGGGGCTGACATTGTGTCCTGGCCTGATATAGTATTGATATTGACATTATATTGATACTGACATCGTGGCTTTACTGACATTGTGGTGGATATACTGGCTACCTGGACATCGTCAACAGGCCTGGTAATTATGGCGAAATAGACAGTACCTCTGACATAATAAATACCTTGACATACTGTCGATTAGTACTGACTTGTAAGTACCTGTAATGAAGTCGGTACAACAAGCCTTGCAGACATCATATCGACCTGTTGACATGGTCTTGACACAATGTTGGGGCCCTGTAATTATGTAATTACACCGACACCTTTGCTGACATAATGTCAATAGACCCCCCCAGCCCCATAATGTACATCAAGCAAACATTACATTAGGTACATTAACCTCAATCTTATGTAAGCTTATCTCAGCAGTGCATCAACATTCAATTGTACATGAAAGTTTGGAGCTTAAAAAGACTTTTGATTATGATTGAGGAAAGTGCGCATCTTAAAGAAGAGAAAGTTTCAATGAACGAAAAACTGTGACTAATTTACATAGCTTCTGTAATATGCACAGATAGCTCTTGAACTTAGCAGGTGGTTTAGGTTGGATTTTAAGCACATGTGCTAGCGTGTTAGCGCATTAGCGTATCAGGTGGGTCAATTGAAGTACAGCGTCGGATGCGTTGCCCCAGATCTGCAGGCTGGCAAAGTAAACATATAACCTTTCTTCCTATTGAAATTCACATCGACTTCAATTCTACACTTACACAAGTACTTATCAAATATTTGGCGCAAATTATTAAATCCTTTCGCATCGAGCAAAAATGCTCGGGTGGGCTCTCAAAAAAGGGTTCCAAGGTGCCACTGGAGCGAAGGACGCGTCCGGTGGTAATGGTAAGCCGCCTTGTATTTACTATATTGTTGACACTCGCTAATTTCCTATAGAAGATACAACACAATTCGAGGCTCCAGATACGCCCGCTCCTGTATTTGCCGCTCGAGCATTCAGGAATGCCCTATTTGGAACATCTCGCTCCGAAACAACTAATAGCAAATATACGAAGAACAAAAATGACAATTCGACACCAAATGACATAACTTCCCCGACCAAGCAGTCCCCAAGCAAGCAACCGACTAGTATTCTTTTAACTCCTGGTACAGGAACTGCACGTCGGAAACGTGTCTCATTTAATCATGATGTTAAAGCTGGTAGTGGTGGTAGTGGTCCTGATGCTAGCCCCCTTGCCTCAGCGCGTCTACGAAGGAGATCAACATTACAGCAGGCATTAGAAAATTCTCGCTCGGCAAGATCTAAAAAGTCTATCGAGAGAGAACAAGAGGAGCCCCCTTTAAAATCAGTTGACGAGGAGTCCGAAGAAGAATGGGAAGATGATATTTGCGACCGTGATATAACAGTGGATCTTAACGAGCCACACTCAGAGTCTGGCAAATATTGGAAAGCGGAGTTTAACAGATACCGCGATGAGGCAATGGCCGATATCGAGCGTATGGTGAAGTTTAAGGCTCTAGCCAAGTCCTACGCCCAGCAGAAGGATGCCGAGGCACTCGAACTGGCTCAAAAACTAAAGGATGAACAACTAAAGGTAGCCGAGATGGAGGAGAAGATTGCTGCTATGTCCTCCCAGACCACAGATAAGAGAAGACGTGGTAATGATCGCGAGGACGCCACTCTAGCGAAAGATTTAGAGAAGCAGACTGCCCTTGCTACACACTATCGGGATCAAGTGAAAGAACTCGAATCACTCATTCAGGAACACAAAGGCGAATCCAGTTCCAGCCAGTCCGATCGCCGGCGTATCGATACGTCACCTAAGACTGAAAATACACTTCTTGAGGTCAGCCGAGAACTAAGACGAGCGCGATCCGAGTTAAGGCAGATGGACAAGCTTCGCAAGGAAGTCAGCAAGCTCAAGTCAGATCTAAGCGCAGCAGAGGAACGAGTGACAAAACTACAAGATGAGCATGTCGACAGAGGATCTACCGACTCTACGCAAGTAAAGAAGTTAGAGCATAAACTACAGGCAGTTAAAGAAGAGTCCCATCAAAAGGACCGTGAGATTCGGCAACTGAAGAAGGATTACGAGACCCTAAAGAACGATGCCAAATCTCGGACTGCCGAAGCTATACAGGTGTTGCAAGCGAAGAACGACAAGATTGCCGAGCTAGAGAGTACTATCAAAGCAATTGAGGTCGCGAATCCCTCGATTAAGGCGACCCGAGCTCTGAAGTTGGGTATCGAGTCGCTCAATAAACCCTCCAAATACGAGAGTGACAACCCTGTACGCAATCTCAAACGTTCAGCCTCGGTTGAGGATGTCACTCTTGATATGACTCAAAGATCTCTACTTGGGCACAAGGATGAGTTTGATGATACACCCAAGGCGATCAAACGCAACACTTTCCTCCCCTCTGATTGGGCGAACAGTTTTAAGGACATTAAGAGCCAACTGAGAAAGGACAAGAAGGACCAGGTAGAAACCAGCAAGCGTGAGAAGGACTTAGATATTACCCCGCCTCGATCCGTTACAAAATCCAAGGCTCCACTATCAACATTCGACTCCGGTAGAGCCATGTCCAATATTCTCTCAAACAGAATGAATCAGTCAACAACGAGGGATACGATGAATTCAAGAGAGCTACTCGATCAAAAGCTTGCTGAGGCACGTGCAGCTCGTGCAGCCCGCGCAGATCGTGCAGACCGTGTGGATCGTGTGGATCGTGTGGATCGTGTAGACCGCGATGTTGAGATGCATGGCTCTTTAGAGAGGCTAACACCACGCCGTTCGAGACCAAAGTCTTATAGCGGTCGTTCCTTTTCTTCGGGCAGCGAAGGGCTTGGTTATGATCTCGTCCAGGACAAATTCGCCCGTCTCGGAGGTCCCGAGGCAGAGCACACTTCGGGAAATACTTCTAGATGTACCTTACCTGCCGACCGACAAGCTGCAGCTCGAGCTCGCTTGGAGCAGAAGAAGCTCGAGAGACAGCGGAACGGTGGTGGTGGTCGCGACAAGGAGAATATCAAACCATGAGGCTAAATCTTATGTGGTGGTGGACGAAGACTGTAATGACAGGTACAAGCATATGGCACGGTTGGGGACAAAACTTGGGGGGTTATAATATGGCATTGCATTGGAGGAGTTTGGTATTTCTTTTTGGCGTTTTCCCTATCCCTTGTATTTGGCACAGGTACGGGATTGCTCAGGTTTAGGTCGAGGAGTTAAGTTAGTGGAGATACCAGCCTAGAGATAAGGCTTTTTGTAAGATTAAAGATTGCCATGAACTTGAATGCTAGTTAATGGAAATGGATTAAGTTATTCTTTTTCCTCGTTACTTCGTTACTACCTACTTACCTAATATTAATTATCCTAAGTGATGAGTAAATCCCTCTTCTAATAATGCCATTATGGACCCGACCTTGAACAATGAGTCTCAGGAGGTACTCGAAAATGAAATCGCAGATTTAGAACTCCGCCTCCAAAGAGCCAAACATCGGCTAGCGAAATCAGATACCGCAAATATCAACAAACCATCTCTTTCCTACCCATCATCACAATCCGCACACCACTACCTCCTCCTACTCTCAGACTCCGCCCTCCCACTAGGATCCTTCGCCTTCAGCTCCGGACTAGAATCATACCTAGCACACACGCGGCGCGGCCCCCGGCCCGGCGGCCCCTCATTCTCCACCTCATCGGCATCTGCATCTCCGTTCTCATCCTTCCTCCCGCTGTCCGTATCCTCGTACGCCAGCACCACGCTCCCCTTCGCGCTCGCCGCCCACCGCGACCCGTCGCCGGATACGATCGTCGGCCTCGACGACGCGCTGGACGCGGCGATCGTGTGCGCCGTCGGCCGCCGCGCTTCCGTCCAGCAGGGCCGCGCGCTCCTGGCTATCTGGGAGAAAAGCATTGCTGCGGCGGCGGATCCGCACGGGACGCTGGTGCCGTATGCGGAGGTGCTGCGGGCTGGCACGCGTATGGCTGGGGTAGAAGGTGGTGCTGGTGATGAAGTACTACTACCGCCTCCCGCGTCGGCGCACCTGGCGCCGCTTTTCGGCGCCGTGGCGGGCTTGTGCGGGCTTAGCTTGCGACAGACGGCGTACGTGTTCATGCTAAGCCATGTTAAGGCGCTTGTTTCGGCAGCTGTCCGAGCGGGGTTATTTGGACCGTACCAGGCGCAGCGGATTCTGGCAGGCGGCGAGGTGCAGGGTCTACTGACGGAGGTAATTGCGCGGGAGTGGGATACGGTGGTTGAGGAGGCGGGGCAGAGCGTGCCGGTGATGGATTTGTGGATTGGACGGCATGAGTTGCTGTATTCTAGGATATTCAATAGCTGATGAGTATGAAGCATGGGGAATAAAAAAGGATGTGGTTACGGTCGAGGGGGCGGAATTACGACAATTTGAGGGCGCTTTGGGCGCTGGTATCTATGATTAGGTATGGAACGGTAGTGCATGGTATTATATACAATTTAGCATGTGTCTGCTTGCTTATAAGAAGCAATGTGATCTATCCATGCGAAGCCTTATTCGTCGTCTTCGCTATCGCTTCCATATGCTACTAACGGTCCCGACGATGCTACTGCCTTAGCTTTCGGGGCCGTGGAGACATTCGATGTCTTTAGGGCTGCTAATGTGCTGTTTGAGAAGATTCCTCCTTCCTGTTCTGCGGGCTGTTGTCGTTCCCCGATTATAGCCTCAATGCCACCACCAGCTTCGCCATTTTCTAACATTAATCTTTGCTCTTGCTCAAGTTCGTAACCTTGTCTGCCCGCTGGATTAACTGCCTGCACGCCACGGGCGAAGTACACATCGTCGGGTGCCTCGTATCCTTCTAAGCCAAAGCTACTCTCGATCTTCCGCCGTTTCCTTGCCTCAGGGTCCCGACCTTCGATCTCGGCCACGAACGCCTCCGGCAACGCTCTTCGAATAGCTTCGGCAGCCTGTTCCTCGATGCGTCTCGCCTCTCTTGCCTGCGCCATGGGATTTGGGTCTGATGTAGCCCACCGCACGTTTAAAATCTCCTCGTGGTCTAGAGATTGGTGTGCCATTGCCTCCTTTGCAAATTGGGCATTGGCTTCGTTGGTATATGTTATAAAAGCCACGCCGCGGGTGTTCAATACGCGTATACGTTCGACCTGGCCCCATTCGGCGAAGTGGCGAGCAACAATCTCCTCGATATCGTCAGTAACGTGTATCCTTCCAACGTAGATGGTGCGGTTTTGACGCATAAAGCTGCCCACGCCACCCATGTCATCGCGATAATCGGAATGCTTGTCGCGGCCGAAGCAGTCGACGTTGGGGTTGAATAGGTCGTGGATGCCCGGAAGTCGGTGTAGGTACTCGCAATCCTGGCCTTTAGGACAGATGCCACGCGCGAAGAAAAGACAGAAGTAAGAGCCTGTAACTTTATCGGCGCGTGTGTAGCCGCTATCCTTGGCGATATTGCAACGACCTTTAGCATGGGTTTTAGAGAGATATTTATCCTCGCGGTCACCACCTGACCACTTGTTGTACCATATGTTGAAAATTGTACCAGTTTGCGGTGGAGGTTCGGATGTTATGAAGGAGGAGTCGACTTGCGGTCGCGCGGGACGTTTCTTGCGAATAATCTTTTTGACTTTTTTGGGTGCTACTACAGCTACCTCCGTAGATGGAGTCTGATCGGGTTCTCTTTCTTCTGACATGATGAGCAACGTTGGTTTGATGGAGGTTTGGAAGTCAGGCTGAAAATGATTCGAGTTATGATGCGAGGCTGTAAATTGATTGACTAGAAATGTTTTCTTGAAATGTTAGTATTCGTTAGTCGCATTTCGGATAATGGGGCAAACTAAATATTCGTTAAAAGAGATTAGCCTTAGCTTGATTTTCCCCAATTTCCCCAGATTACTCTAAGAATATAGGTCTTATCGATAACTCGGCTGTTCCTCTTGGCTCATGTCAGCTCTTGCAGCTAACCCTCAGGTAGAAGCCGCTCTGCTGTTCCTGGTTTGATCCCATCCAATAGACGCTCGTAACAGCTTTATGATGTTACGCGGACCCCGCTAGGCGAGGCGCGTACCTCGGTTTATCTACGTGAAGCTAGTATTTTATCATTCCATCACCTCGGAATAGGGAGCTTTCTCCAACTTCTGTTTAGATATTTAAATTCATAAGTTCAACAGCTTTCGGCCCACTTAGATATTTAAATATATCAAATTATTAAAACATCCAATTATTAATTGTATATTACCCAATTAATCTATACAATATGTCTGCCAGGATTCCTGATATTGTAAGAGAAGTTAACCACATATACTCAATATACAATGCTCGAGCTTACAAAAGCTCATAGGTAAAACATCGCGTTAGCGAAAAGGCGAAGAATACATTGGATATTGTCGCCAAGTTTGTTGAAGAAGAGTGTATACCGTGAGTTGTAAAACTCGCTCGCATTTGAACCATCGCTGATAATTAAACCGACTAGAGCGGACCCAGTCGTAGACGCCCAGATCGGCGAAGGTTCTTCACGATGGGAAAGCCACCCTCCTATTATCGAAGAGCTAAAGGCGAAAGCGAAGAAGTTAGGGCTGTGGAACATGTTTTTACCCAAGGGCCACTATAAGGAATCGCCAGGCTACACGAATTTGGAATATGGCCTGATGGCCGAGTGGCTGGGAAGATCAAAAATAGCCTCCGAGGCTACCAACTGCGCAGCGCCAGACACAGGAAATATGGAGGTCTTAGCTAAGTACGGCAACGACGCTCAGAAGGCCCAGTGGTTAAAGCCCTTGATGGAGGGTGAGATCAGGTCAGCCTTTCTAATGACCGAGCCCGATGTCGCTTCATCAGATGCGACAAATATCCAGCTTAGCATAAAGAAAGAAGGGAATGAATATGTCCTGAATGGCTCTGTATGACTATCCTCTATTTTTAGTGCTATATGTCATACTAACGAATTCTTAGAAATGGTGGTCAAGTGGCGCCGGTGATCCCCGGTGTAAGATCTACATTGTGATGGGCAAGTCGGACCCCAACAACAAGGACCCGTACAAGCAACAGTCGGTTATACTTGTCCCGGCAAACACAAAAGGCATAACTATTCACCGTATGCTTAATGTCTACGGATATGATGATGCGCCTCATGGACACGGTCACATTTCTTTCCACGATGTACGAGTCCCGGTGAGCAACCTAGTCCTCGGTGAGGGTCGTGGCTTCGAGATCATCCAGGGTCGTTTAGGACCAGGTCGAATTCACCACGCAATGCGCAGTATCGGCGCCGCCGAGCACGCGCTTGAGTGGATGTTGATGAGAATCAACGACCCTAAGAAGACTCCCTTCGGAAAGCAGTTGAGGGAGCATGGAGTTATCCTGGAATGGGTCGCCAAATCACGAATAGAAATTGATGCGGCACGATTGATCGTACTCAACGCCGCCGTGAAAATGGATGACCTTGGCCCGAAAGCGACGTTGAAGGAGATCGCCCAGGCAAAGGTACTCGTCCCGCAGACCGCATTGACAGTTATCGACCGCGCCGTCCAGGCATTCGGTGGAGCAGGCGTCAGCCAGGACACGCCTCTTGCGAATAGCTGGGCGCTTATCCGAACTTTGCGGCTGGCTGACGGGCCAGATGAGGTTCACCTGCAACAAATGGGCCGGAATGAGAATAAAAGGGGCAAGGAAGTCTCGCAGAAGCTACTTTGGCAGAAGGAAAAAACAGAACAGCTGTTGAAGCAGAACAATCTGAAGCGATTTCAACCCGGGTCGAACATCAAACCAAGGTTGTAAGATAATCACAGGCGCAATTTAAAGCCTATATGTATATTATAGTCATTCTATAAGTAGCTTACTATACTAAATGCCGATTATATATTTGGTTCCTCTTAATTAGTGCTGTTATGACCTTTTTCTATGCTATAAACGTAACCCGCTCCTTATTGTTTCTATTTCCTCTAATGCTGATATGCATACAACCTAGACTAACGCCATGCCTTAATAGAATCTGCTATTAGCTAGGTACCGTAAGAAATGTTTGTCCCTCAACCGTAAAGTGGAGCTTTGATTGACTTAAATCAAAGCATGATAAAAGAATTATAAAAAAGGCTCCGATACTAGAGTGGTTTGTATGGATATCCCTGATCTGTTCCGACCGATGACAGGGGCAGGATCCTGGCTCCCCTTAATCGATTGTTTTAGATTCTACACTAAGTGCCTAGGCAAGCTATGCGATGGCCTTGGTTTGCTATGCTTATTGCTTGGGGTCATCAATCAATAAAATTTTTCGCCTAGATTTGAAGCCCCTGTTCAAGGAAATTAGACACGTTGATGTGAGGATATTAAAGTAGTTTAGTAACCCTACAACACCCATAACACAACATCACTATCTAATAACTCTCATATACAAAGGGGGTTCGAAATTATTCTACACAATGGCGACCATAAATCAGCCTCAGCGAATAACAATCCGAGAGCAAATTAAACAGAAAACAGATAGTATCCTCGAGGACACATCCTGGAACAAACTCCCTAGAATCACAATTTATGATAAACAATACATCGCTAACGTATGGCTTCAAACGACTACCAACTCCAGTATCTTAGAGCATGGAGACTACCTAATTCCGATTGAGACGGAAGTCAAACATGGTGTCCATCGGGAAAAGAAAGGCATCAAGATATGGCTCTGTCATCACTGCGATAAGTTAGGTCGAATCAAGATATTCAATGGTGCTTCTACGAATGGCGCAAAAGCCCATCTGGAAACCAAGGGGAGAAGTGGCCACGGCTTAGTCGTAGGAAAGCGTGGGTATAACTCAATCGTTTCGGGTTCCCAGGCAAGTCCCTTTGGTCGTGATGTTCTCCAACAAGTTCAAGAGCAAGGACTACAAGGAAAAGCCGAGATATATAAGGCTATGTTGCTCAAACTGATCATAATGCATGATATCCAACTCGATACTCTTACAAAAGAGGCTTTCAAGACGTTAGCTTGCTATTTTTCAGGAGGCTTGCTTGAGGGATTCCTTCCTGACTCGGTCTCTACTGTTCAATCATGGCTACTCGAGGCTTTCCAAGAAGGTCGCGCTATCGTTAAAGAACAACTTCGAGGAGAAGCCCGGTCAAAGATTCACCTCTCTTTCGATACGTCGCTATCTCCTTACAAGAATAAAGGGGTTCTTGCCGTCGTGGCACACTTTGTTGACAAGGACTGGAAACCAAGGGCGAGACTCATTGGACTTAAGAAGGTTGAAGGAGCTTATAGCCCCGAAAACATAGCTTGTAGCCTCATAGACGTGATTGAGGAGTACGGGATCTATGAAAAACTAGGCTTTTATGTCGCCAATCACCATACCAGTTAGTGAAAGCATTTAAGCCGCTCTATAAACTTTTTAGCTAATCTTTGGTAGGAAATGACCAGGTTTTATGTCTGTTACTACGACATTACAACTCAGACCTTACTGAAAAGGATGCAATGAAGCTCGTTGACCAAATTCATGTGCGAAGCTGCGACCACGTCTTGAATACTACGGCGACGAATTTCGTATACAAAATCAAAGACAACGAAAAGCATCGATCTATTGCCATTGCTAGTATTGAAAACGGCTACAGAATGAACACTTTTATTCGGGGAACTCTAGAGCGGCGAAACGACTTCCGCCAAGAGGCGATGAAAACAGAGAGCGTAAGAAAGCTGGTGAAAGAGGGTAACGTTAGGGAATTGGACGAATTCCTCGACGAGGATGAGGAAATAGATACCATTGACCCCGATACGGAAGGCGATGAATGGTTTAACTCATCTTCCTCGAGAGGTATATGGGATATTGGTGAGGGGAAGATAGAAGTGCATAATTCTAATGTGGCCAAAATCGAAGGGGATACATGCTGGAACGGTGTGCTCAAAGGAGTTCAGAGTACCCTGACGTTTAAAGAGGCTATCATCAGTTTTACTGATAGGTATGACTCGGAAAAGGGACAGACGAAAGGACGGATCAATTTGAGTGAGAAGATCTGTCTACAGGATTGGGAGTGTCTAGGGGAAGTTGGAACTATTCTAAAAACGATTGACGACTGCACGATTCCATATATGGATAATGTGGTGGACCTACCAATGGTGATGTCTCTACTATATTGGCTTCGAGGTCATTTCCTCGAATACTATTCTGTATTCAGCATTTCGGACTCTACTCTTGATTCAGAAGTTTGTTCCCACTCCCGCAACCCCTCTGATCTTGGCTAATTGAATATTGACAGACTGACCCCGAGGATTGCTACTCTATTCCAACCTCTCAAGCTGCCTCCCAACAATCTCTCCATACGCCAACTCAACGTGGTATGAAACGAAAGAAGTCGATCGATGGACCACACGAAGAAGTCGCAGTTGATATCGACACGCGACAGAAGAAGAAGACAAGTGCAGAGAGGAAGAACGATGTCGGAGAGCAGGGTAGAGATGATATTCACGATGGTTTGAGACGTGTAAATAACGTCCTACAAGAATATTGGGATATGTTCAACGGGATGCCGGCGTACTGGGCTGCCGTTGTCTTGGACCCCAGCAAACGCCTCAAAAAACTTCAGATAAAGGGCCCTCAATTAGCCAAGGAGATCAAAGAAAAAGTCCTGGCTTACTGGAGAAGCCATTACGCCGATCCTGCAACCCTCACCAAATCTAACGCTGAAGCGGTAACGTCATCCTCGCAATTGCATAGTCCGAAAAAGTTCGCTTGGCTATCGCACTATGACAGCCCCGATTCGGACTCAGAGGATGAAGACGAGTTGGAATATTACTTAAATATGGAAAAGACTGGATTCAAACGCGGCCAAGAGCCCCTTTTATGGTGGAGGGATCACCAAACCGAATTTCCACGCCTGCATCAATTTGCTCTTGATATTCTTTCGATTCCGAGTACGTCTATGAAGTGCAAGCGCATCTTGAAACAATCGGAATCGGCAATGTTTGAGTCTCGACGGACGGAGTATAATATGTTGGAGATCACCCAGTGCCTGAAATCTTGGTTGGAAGAGGTAGAGGAGTGAAGATCGGGAGAAGCTGGAGGAAAGCTTCTAAGGAGCCAATTCAATAGGTTAGGAGTCGAAAGACGATAAAGGTATGGTTTATAGACAAGTGAGTTCGTTTTATTAAACAGTTTAATCCGTTCTTAAAGGGGTCCCGAGAATTGTTTGACTTGACTTGACTTGACTTGACTTGGGTACTTGTTAAGACAGTCACGTGCTACGGCGAAAAGGATCTATAGCCATACTTTTGGTTCTAAACATTGTTTTCTGAGGTAATACGAATACGTGTTGATGCTTAGTTGTATTATTGTGTGTGTATCTAAGGTTTAGAAAGGTTCGGTATTTATGTGTGGCCCAACAACCGCAACTTCCTTACTACTACATACATCCATCTATTTGGCAGGTGCATCCCACATTTCCTATTATAACAACATAATTACCCGAAGCCAATTGGAGGGGTTCTTGAAGGCTAACTAAGACATGCTGTTGGCATTTAGCAGGTACTATAAGGTATCTGCGCGCAAAAATATATGATTAAAACTGCTAATTAGAACCTGCTATCCAGCATGACTGGTAGGCAACTATGACCTCTTCACCCAAGGTTAGGCATTTTATTTTTATCCAAGAAGTCTCTAAGTTGCGCGACGCCTTGGATTCCTAGGGGAAAGTTAGTAAGATAGCTTGAACATAGGATTGCGGATATGATCTAAAGTAAAGACGTACTCTGGAAAGCCGCGTAAATTCGTCGAAAACTCGAGAAGCTGTTCTAGACGCAGTTCCCATGAAAAACTCTGTATCTATACCCCTTGAGAGGCAGAGGGTCGCCACAACAAACAGACGCATTATTCTTCTTCCTTATTAAGCGCCGCATTTGCAGCCACCCACTTTGGGAAGTCGTGAAGGAGAATGAAAGCATAAGCTCATGGTCAAGATATAGCGCAAGACTGAAATATTGTCGAATTCGCTTTCGTCATAGATGTTGAAGATGGCGTTACTAAGATTCGAAGAAGTCTCAAAAGAAAAGGTCTCATGTTTCCATTTTTAATAGTGATAGTGTTATGGGTCACTAGTTAGGAACAAGTAATTTGTCATTGTTAGACGCGTTGTTGTCTGTTGTCTGTTGTTTGTAGATGGTGGAATTGAGCGCTTGCATTAATCCGAAGTTCTTTGAATGTGGTAGAAGTGGTTTTGTATTAAGGATGTGTAAGGTTGTTGATTTTAAAAGTCTACGGGGGCCTCGTCTGTTTATATATCCAGTCCTAAGACCTCGTTCCTGCCGTTGATGTCTTGATTGCGACTGCCTTGGTTGTAATTGCCTTGATACCTAGCAGGTGACTTACGACAGCCGCAGCTGCCCACGACTGTAATCCATTCTGACGACGTGGACCACCTGCCAACAGGTATGTTACATAGTACATGTCAGATCCTGGAAAGTAGCAATCAAAGTTGCCATGTCCGGATTATACTTTTTGGTTGGACCTTGGCCGATTTGTTATTGTAAGGATTTCCTGGGTAGGTCATGTTATTAGTAAGTCGAAACGGTTAGAAATATGTCTGTTGATTGTAACAGTAGGAAATTAAGTAAATGAGTCATAATAGTCATATTGTTAAACCATGACTTTAGTATGTTGTCCGGAATGTTTCGTTGCTAGGATAATAAAGCACAGATGATTTGGCGCGGAAAGTTGTTGATGAGATAATGTTTGACGTAGTTGTGGTGGTAGCCGTGGAGAATGTTTACATACAGTAAATCAGCCCCACATGTGTGCATAGAAGCATTAAAGAATTTCAACAGTGTACATTGTACCTAGTCACAAAGCTGCAACCACTACGGGAAGCAGCCCGGCAGCTAAGAACAGTGACCAGGGATCCTAGCCGTTGCCAGGCCAACTCGCTTTATTTTCTTCCCGGCAGGTCCACAGTCGAACTTTTTCTCTACCATACCCCCACCTGACTTCTTCATCTTTCACATGTACACTCTTTCATAAAAGACTTTGTCGCATTCCTTGATTACACAAAATCTTTCTACATTTCCACACCACATCCTCAAACAATTGCAACTGCTACATCCAACGATCACCATTACAAGTACGATACTCGCTACTCAATCTTGCTACCTCTACAGCCTCATTGATTAGCTTCAACAAACATCTTTGGTGTTCCTATTCCTCACCTACGTCTTCGTACTTCGTACTTCGCAATCTTGCAATCTGAAACCTTTATAAACCTTTCAACAACAACAATTCGATCTCGATACAATGGGTGCTCCTCTAGCTATCAAGGACGTCAACGCTTCGGTCCAGACCCAGGACGCGGCCGCCATGGATAACGGCAAGCCTAACAGCGCCCAGACCTTGGAATACCATCGCCAGGTCCTGCATTCCAAGATGGAGGAAGAGAAGTACGGAGCCAACGTCACCAATTCAGCCACCTCCACCTCCGTAACTGTCACTGTCACCAGCGTCGACGCGGCTATCCCTCGTGCTATGAACCCCCAGTATCGTCGCCTTGCTAACTCGGATACCACCAATGGCAGACAGCAGGAATACGTCTCTCCGTCGGACAACATCATGAGCCCCTGCACCGCCAAGCTCAGCGCCTTCAAAGGACGAGCCGTCAGCAAGTAAGTTTTACAGTCCTTGCCATATCTTGTCTCCTTGGCGATATCCGGTATACTAATTATTACTTCTACGTAGGACCAAGCCCAAGTCTCTCTTCGCCCAAACATCCGCTAAGAAGTTCGATGGCAAAGATATCTTCGGCGGCTCCAAGACCGTCCTATCCCAGGCTGGACCCCAATCCGGAATCTAGCTGCCAACTAGCTACTTGGTTCCCCTCGGTTTAAGGGACGGCGGCGTTACGGATCACTCTTGTAATAAAATGGCTTTGCTTTAGGATGGCACAGAGACCTCACCACGGCGTTGGTGGAAGGGTACTATAGGGTACTATAGGGTATTCAGGGGTAATTCTAGGGCGGGAGTGTACGACGATACCCATTTTTTGATGGGCGGACATCATCAATGATTCATGAATAATTCACTGCCTTACTTCTTCTCATTCTTTACGTATAATTGCGTGACGAGATTGATTATGCTATTATACTATGCCTTGTAACCACTGACTATGTATACCACGTCCTCGTCGGCCACTGTATGTCCCAGACCAACCCTCTGCGGAATATGTCTAGCACTTGCGCCCCATACCAAAGCATACTTGTATGTATCCTTTAAGGTCCGATGAATTCGGTCGCAAACGTCTTCGATAGTAGCGTTGCTACGTACGATGAGCGCTTCGCTGAAGTCGGGGTCGATGCCTTTCCGCTTCGTGTAAATTCTGATCAATCGCAATTCCTTCCAACACCGGTCTACCACGTCTTGAATGCCCAAGTCTAACTCGCAACTCATGACGACGGTCTGCGGTTCGCGCGCTAACTTGTCTAAGAAATCGAGGGAGACGCTGTCTATCTTGTTGTAGACGTAAAGACACTTTATGTACTTGCGATGGTCTTTCATGATGACATCGATCAGATCATCGACTGTCGCCTCGTCGTCTCGAACCAGGACTTCGCAATTTAACATCTTGTAGTCTCTCAGAATGTTGAACACCATCTTTTCGTCCAGGTTCTTCGGAGATGACTGGAAGTTGATCTTCATGCCGCCGGCTTTCTTGGCTTTTAGATATATGTTCCTGTTTTTAATCAATATTATGTACTACAAGATAGGGGTATAAAAGCCCAGGCTAAAATCTCGCACTATAGTTCTTAAAGCAGTATAAAGATTTTAGCCTAGGCCCTTGTAGTCTGTTAGCTTACGGTGGCTCCCTATTTAATCGAATCCCTACAGCTTCCAGTTCAGCTTCTAGCAGGGCCCTTTGCTCCGCCCTCTTCGTCGCATCGAGAACCATAAGGATGAGATCACTCGTCTTAGCGGCCGAGATCACTTGTCGTCCTCTACCCTTACCTTCCGCAGCGCCCTCGATAATTCCCGGCAGATCGAGCAGTTGGATTTCCGCACCGCCGTACTCGAGCACACCGGGGATAGCTGTAAGGGTTGTGAAGGCGTATGAGGCAACTTCAGATTTCGTTTTAGTCACCTTTGATAAGAACGTCGATTTACCGACGGATGGGAACCCGACCAGCGCTATTCGCGCGTCGCCGCTCTTGCTAACATCGAAACCCGCGCCGCCTCCTCCGCCTGCTCCTGGACCGGGCTCGAGGAGCTGCGCTCTTAGACGTGCGAGTTTTCTGAAGAGGCGCATGGTTAGATTATCTCGCCTATTGATCTTAGAGGCGCGGAACTGTACCCTTTCAGAAGTCCAAGATGATATTCTGGTAACTAGCGTTAGCAACCGCTGAAGTATGATGGTAGTGGTAATAGTCTTACCCGTTGCCTTGTTCTCTATATACCGATTAATAAGTCAGAATATAGGCTATGCGACAGACATAACGATGTGCCCTTACTCTGCGTCCTTTTCATCTCATCCTCAATCCTAAACAAAGCAAGTAAGTACATGAAGGTTCACTACTTGTAATATGTTGATAGACTCACTCCTTAATCTTTTCCGTTATATTCACCATCTTGACGGCTTTAGATCCTAAGGATCTAGTTTATGAATTGGGTACAGTCAGTCTATAATCGTAAGTCGTTCATCGACGAACAATGTCTAATTTCCCAATCTAGGGTCGCAGATATAGGCAAGATTCCTTCTCAGAATTAAAGCCAGTAAGGTTTCAGAGCTAACAAGAGCCAGACCTGATAGATATTATATATATAGAATGTTGAAGTCGCGATTCTAGCCCGTGTAGAGTCTCACCACCCCACTTCGAACGGCAGAATTTCAACGTGGGGTTTCTTTAGCAAAGTATTATTTCTTCACCGCCTACCTTATTATCGCTTATACTCGGGACTAAACAAGGATAATTGGTACGATGATTGGTACGAATGGCTTTTCCAACTATGTGAATATGTGACCTGATAATAAATTTAATAAATATGATATGGATTCGAACAAACTTTATTTAGTAAATGCAAAGAATTTGGGCACTAAGAAGTCGGCTTCATGGGATACGGCGGAATGTGTGCCTAGTATACCAGATGTCTCCCATTTATAGGTACAAATTAAAAACGGAACAAATAATCTCCGTACAGCATCAGTGGTTTAGTGGTAAAATCCATCGTTGCCATCGATGGGCCCCGCGTTCGATTCGCGGCTGATGCATTTTAGCTTTTTGCAACCTTCTTCTAGAGATTGGTTGAGGAATATTTTTGTTTATTGACGAAGATGCTCAAGAACACTGAGGTCATATCTACCTCTTAGAGGTAGTCGACTTACCTGTTAGACTGCAATATTCTATACTTTAACCCTACGTTTCTGTAGTTCCTAGTACTGACGGTGCTCAACGTGTATAATTTAGTATTGCAATATATATCAGGAGTAAGATTACAAGACTGTACTCTTGATGATTCTACTTTTTTTCTACCTATGATTTATAGATCATTTAAACCAAAAAGACATCATAATTCAATATCACGGCGCCAAGGACTTATATAATCAGACCCGTTGAAAAATAGACGATCATCCCCATATCTAAAACCACCGCTCCTTGCGCGCTCAGTGATCTACACTTTGCCATTCCGGCTAATTCGTCTTTGGCCTTGGCTACCTTCATTCTCGCACCTTATTCAGAGACGCCTTGAGATGTTTTGATGTAGCAAGCTGTTAACATCAGGTGTCATGACTGCTTACAAAGAATGTTTACTCGTGAAAATGATGTGCTGTTCGCTTATGCTGCTCGATTCGAACAATTTCAATACCTACCAACCCTATCGCTAACACCACTGCTTTTAAGACGTGGCTATGAGGTATATTATACTGACTCTGACCCTCTGGCTGGGAAATATTGTTGCCGAGCCTCAGCCAAGCGATATACCGAACTGGCTTAAGAATTACAACTTCAATCCTCCTGGAGAATGCAATTCTAATCCTGCGGGTCCGTTGAACCCCCGGGAAACAGATTTCACGTGCCCTCTCCTTGTTGATGATGAGACCGCGTTTGAAAGGCGTTCATGGCTGCCTTGGACATTTCCTCCGGTATGCGCGGAGCCTGAGAAACAGGGTAGCTCAAAGTTGTGCGTGTTCACTTATATCAACCTTAGAGGAGAGGTAGGAATCAGTCTCGTCACCACACCGGAGATTGCTGCCGGTGGTGTTGGTATTCTTGGAGACCCGGACCCATTGTGGGATAACTGGGCGAGAGGCCGTCCACTTGTCGTATCCGATCCACCTCCGTACGAGGTCAGGGATCTAGAGGACAAGGGCATGGGAGTTATTGCGAACCGTACGATTCGTAAGGATGAGGTCGTGTTGTTGAGATATCCGGTCATCCTTCGGATAATGGATTACAGACCATGGAACACCCAGGACGTGATGAAATTGCTTCATCGAGCTGCTGTTCAATTACCGCAAAAAGAGGGAATGCAGATGTTGAAGCTGGCCCATTCTAAAGGAGGCTACATCGTTGAGGATATTATCAACACAAATGCATTTGGTGTGCTGCTGAACAGTGCGGATCATTCGGGTTTATACCTTGACGTGTCGGTAAGTGACAAGACATGAATCTAATGTGAGCACTACTAACTTGCATCGTTGACAGAGGCTAAACCATGCTTGTAAACCAAAGTAAGTCCCCCCTAAATAAGATACCTGAAGAGAACTGCCGTTAATACCCTTCTTAGTATGTACAGTCGGTTCTCATCGACTACACTAGGAATGGAGGTTGTGGCATATAGAGATATTGAGCCGGGCGAGGAACTAACGTTTAGCTGTAAGTATTTTCGATTTTCGACCTGAACCTAAACAAAGCATCTAACATAAAAATAGACCTGCCATTGAATCTCCTATCAGAGCAACGTCAAACTCTCATCAAGGAATGGGGCTTCAACTGCACATGCTCACTATGCACCTCCCCCGAAGCCTCAGCAGCCTCAGACCGCCATCGGAGTCGCCTGCAAGAACTACTAGCAGAGCTAGATCTCCCCGAGATACGGAACCGTGCGGCTGTCAGCAAGAGAGTCGACGAGATACTAGATTTGTGCGAGAAAGAGTCGCTGCAGGCTCAAGTCGGCGACTTTTACACCATCGTCGCGGAAGTCTACTCCGGTATGGGCGACGTGGATTTGGCGAGGAAATATGCTAAGCTGGCGATTGAGGAATTGTCGCATTATGCTGGGTATGATCATGAGCGTACTAGGAGTGCTGTTGCTTTCTTGGAGGTTTTGGATGGATGAGGGTGTGTGTAGAGGATGAGTGATATATTAAAGAATATATTACTACTTAGGTAACTAATAAAGAATAGAATCGAACTCCTTTAGATTACTATGATCACTTCATCTACGAGGCTAGGTCCCCGCTTATTAATACTCTCATGTATGGCTAGGTGTCACTATTTTTGGAAGACGTGGAATAGTTACCTAGCCAAGGTTCGTTCCAGCCTCCGGTCTCTCACCAGATGCCGGATCTGACTGGCCCAGCCCAAAAATGCCATAGCCCTTCTAACTTCTTGTCTTTTGCTAGAGATGATCTGCACAACATAAGTATAACCCATACTGAGCAAAATTATGATTTGGTGACGTATTCATATGGCTAGTTGGCCATCTTATAAATAGGTAATTATAGAAGTATATCCGATAATGCCTTCGCGATTATTGGGCATTTATATTCGAACATTTCGTTGCGTTTTGGCCTTTCTTACAATGTGACCTCCTTTTACGTGCTTTCGTATGACAGTTCTTACCCACTCACCCACCCAGGTAGGTGTGTTTTAAAAGATTCACCAAAATATCCCAATAAATTTACAAAGTGAGGCAACGAAGTGTTATATATCCTAAATTGACTCTATCACATGAACAAATACTTCAATGAGCGTCGGACTCATGAAATCGCATCCCAAAATCCTTTTCTAGAGTAGTTTTATCCTCAGAACGCCCGTATCCAGACATCAACTACTCGACGCAACTGCCCAAGGCCCTCACGCTTCAGCGAGTTTTCCCTCGACCTCTACATCGGCTATAGGACACGTCGTAGACTCGCCCACTTGCGACGGCTCGACCAGGCACGCCCCGGGAGACGCGTCTCTATTCAAAGTGACCTCGCCGGACGCCGAATACGTCTTCTCGTCCCCTTCACAAGTCCAGCTGCTCTGGATGCTCAAGACGAGAGTCTCCATGTTGAGCTGGACGGTGGTGTTTAGGGGGCTTGGGCCGAAGTTGAGGCATTCGTGGGTGGAGGTCGGATCGTAGTCGATGACCTCCCCGTCCGCGTTGAGGCGGTATTCCACGTCGCAGTCGGCTAGAGTGTTCGTGGGAACGTGGCGAGCGAAGAGCTCGACTCGGCCACTCTGACCGCCGGGCCAGTCCGAAGAAGCGGCGTTCGATAGTTTCCAGTTCGGTGTTGTCGTCGATAATTCGGTGCACTCAGCCCGTCGAACATGGGCAGGGGCGGCGAGAGCTTGTCCCGCGAGGGATAGGCAGAGAGCAATGCGTCCTCGCATAGTGTCTATTCGTTTCGATTTTGTTTTAACTAATCGAGATCGTAATATTTTCGCTTTAGAGTTTACGGAGATTTACGTGAGAGAGATTTGGGGATGCCGACGATGTGAAATTCTTCCCCAAGCTCTCAATTTAATATCGGGTCAGGATACGTATTTCTATTTAGCCTTTATTATTTGCTCGTTACATACGACTCACTTACCCGCTAGGCTGTATCTAAATTACTATAATTGTTGAAGCTTGATCTTAATTATATGCTACCTCTTTATCGTATTGCAACTGTAGGCTTGGTATCCCTGTGCTTGCCACGCTTCTTGAAGGGTATGTCTAATAATAACCCACCATATAGATTAGGTAGTGTGGCCTCTTTATTATAGTATTAAAAAGAGTCTAGAACTTATGTTATTATTTATCGAGACTCCTGCGCGGGCAAATGGGTGTGCAACTCTATTTAGACAGCCTCGGCGATGTTTGGCGGGCTTTTTTCTTGCACTTTACTAGGCGAGGTGAAAGTGTTGATAATAATATAGGAGTGGGGTTTAGTCTACTATTGTGAGATTACAAAGGAGGTTTTATATGGTATCTAGATCACGAGCACTTCAGTTACTTCTCTTTCACACCGAAAGTATTTGTTGATATTGTTGAAAACTCTAATATACCCTTTAAAAGCCCTTTTATACGCCTCCCCTAAGGAATCATTTTTATTACGCTCTATACTGGCGCCGGAATATGGCAACGCATCGGTCTCCCTTGATGATATCTAGGCTCCAGATTCTTCTTCCTGTAGCTTAAGAAACTGGATAGCGTGTTCATATCGAGCAAGCTCAGCCCTTTCCGTTAGTTTCGGCAGCGCTTGGGTTAAGTTCTTCAGTAATAAAATCGTCTTAGACATTCCATCGCCCTTGACACATGATGCCGTATTAAGAAAGTAAACAATTGTTGTGGATATCTCAATAAGATACTGACTGAGTTCATGGGCATGAACCCCCTTTCGAGCGATCTGAATACGCTGAAGAATCAGCCCCTTTAGAGTCTCACGACTTTCATTCGAAGTAGATTCTACAGCGTTTAAAATCGCTAGAGCGAAAGAGTGCAAGCGGTTGGGATTAGTTCCTTCGGCTATTGCGAATAAATTGACAGCAGCGTCAAAAATCCTCCCAATGTCAAAATCGCTTAGATCGCTCTGTTGGGAATTGTTAAAGTCTTGTGCTGACTGGCTTCCTTCTTCTTCTGATGACTCAAGCGATGCCGTCCAGCGAAATCCTAAGTTTATGGTGTCTAGAAGCGCTTGGGTTACCACGACAAATCCCTTCTGGATAGCCGCCCTGAGAGTCCCCATGGCCGCAATCGCTAGTCCGAGAGCTTTATCTCGCCTCTTGGCCGTAATATGTTTCTTATATTCATCCCATCTGTGGTTGAGTATTCCGCTAATCAGGTCGTCCATTTCAGCTTCAACTGCCAAGTTCCATAATTTCGCCCACTCTTCGTTAACCTTATCCATCAAGCTCCTTTTTGGGCTTAATGCCGCCCCTATTACGAATTCTAGGCCGGCTTGGCCGCATATCTCAGCGTTGATCCTATCCCTTGATCGGACGGCAGCCGAGAACCTCGTTGAAAATATTCTGATGATTTCCCTCACGGGTGCCTGTCCTTGTTCTCCAAGATCTTCTACGCCGTTGACAGCCGAGACCCAGAGCTTTGAAAGACTGAATGATAAATGTTTGAAAGCTGCTCCACGCCCGGCGGATGTTAATAACAGTTCTATACCGACACTGGCGAGTCCTTCAGCCCTCTTAAATCTTTCCGTTAACTCCAACTCAGGATTGATGAGGTGTCTTTTCAATTCCACCGTTCGGTTCTGCAGCACCTTTTCGAGTAAAGGTTCCCCAAAACCGGCGTGTGAGAGGAGGTGATTTAGTATATCAACCCAAGTATCAGCGATTAGCTTTATCACTTGGACATTTCCGATCAAAATAGCTTGCTGTAACACATTCACTCCCGTCTGTGTGAGTCTGTCCACCACATCGGGAAAGCATCCTTCCAAAGTATCCCCTGCGGAGAAGAGTTGCTGTCGTCGTAAGAAAAGAGATCCCGAATTAGAAAAACTTTCTGAAAGCGAAGATAGTCGCCCGCCTAATACTCCTCTTATCTGCGGAGATTGCCCCCGTGTCGTAGTAGGCATTACTGATGTTGACTGAAGTCGCTCGGAAATGGTTATTGGTAGGGATTGATTATTCCCGGCCTCAGGGGCAATTTGTTCGGATATTGGTTTTGGCTTTCCTACCAGACCACAGCAGCATGGGCAAGAAATAAGATCTCGAAGTAGTATCTTAACTTTATCCAGTAGTTTCTTCTCTCTTTTTCCTATCCGTGCTTCCTTTTCGCCTCTTTCTTGTACCTTTGATAACCTCCTTTTCGATCGTATTTCTGCTTCAGTATTTGTCAATGTAATCAATTTTATCACGTCGATAAAAACGTCCTTAGCAAGATTAATCATCCCTTCAAGGTGAGGTGTTCGGCCTTTTTCTATTTCCTCACTGACAAACATCTCATATTGTCCAACTAATCGGTTGATAAATGTCATGTTGCCGGCTTTCAGAGCCATGCTAAATACCTCCCATAGAAGCCGGCCAAGAGTTGGGAGTGAGACGTGAGTGAGGCCCCGACCGCCATAAGTTGCAGCCTCTGGATCGTATTCCAGTAGAAGGTCTTTGATCTCCTGATGGCCCCTGTCGTCTGCAGCTTCATATGCAGTACCCATTGGACCATTGGCGAGACGAACCTCGGCGCCTTTCTCTAAAAGCAACCGGACAAGTTCTACGCGTCCGAAGAAGGCTGCTGCGCGGAGAGCTGGCCCCCACATTCCATGGGGATCGTTGATATTCGCACCGCGACTAATCATCCTATCAATTATTTCGTAGAAAGGATTCGGATCCATGATCGGGTTGCACCCGGACGCCGCTGCTGTGAGGACACTTCCGTATGTCTCGTCCGTGGCGTGAATATCTAAACCCTTTTCACAGAGAAGTTGTACAATCCTAGCATGACCGTGAAACGCTGCAGCATGAAGAGACGTACTGAAAGGGCCTTTTCCTTCGACGATGGGTTCTTCTCCATATCGATCAATAATTAATTCGGCACAGGAATCACACCCAATTAAGGCAATAGCTTGTAAAGCAGTGCCATTTGGGCCTTGGACCTTGATGTCGGCGCCTGCGGATAGGAGTTTAGAAATAACTCCCTCATGATGCTTCCTGCAAGCAGCAATTAAGGACGTTTCGTTGCCATTATTCTGAGTATTCAATTCGACACCCTTCTCAAGAAGTAATGTTACCACATGTACATTTCCATAATGTGAGGCATAATAGAGCGGTGTACGGCCCTCATTATCTCGTGCGTTCATATCAGCCCCTAACTCAATAAGCTTCTGGACGGCAAGAGCAACGTCTTTCTTCCTCTCGTCCTGTTCAGCTTCGTTTCGAATAGCCCAATGTATGGCTGTTAAGCCTTCGTGGTCGCATTTTGTTGGGTTAAGCCAACCTTTCTCCCTGAAAGTATCGAAAAATTCCAGGAGCGCGAAGTAGCTAACAATGTGCTCAGGACAAATTCCAGACGTTATTGACCTTCCATGATTCAGTAGAAATATTTGAAACGACAACCGCAAATTACCCCATGTTTCCATAGTGGACGACTCTGTAAAAAGCTTCTCTAGATACCTCAAGATTTCTCTATGACTCTCTTGAATATTCGTATCTGCATTGATTTCTATACTCTTCCTCATACTTGCGGCCCAGTTACAGGAAGCGAACTCCAGGAATGGGTGTTTTTGAAGGACAGGGCGAAGACTACCGTAATTGAACCATTCTGCATCATCGTAAGACCCCCTTGAGAAGTCTGATAGGCATAGATGGGCCAAACAGAGCTGTGCAACTCTGCGATGGCTTATAGCTGGCTTGTAGGCTCTAAAGAACTCGAAGATAGACATATGGCAAAATCGGAAGACTCCGAGGTGTTCGTTAATATCAACCAGATGCTTGCAATCGCGAACAATCCTAGCTGGCTCGTCGCGTAAAAGTCTGTACAGATCTAAATTCGGTTTTCCGCTGTCTGTATCAAGAGAAAGAGCCACAAATAGTATCTCCTTTTGGATTGATCCTGTCGTTTGCGACAACAGTGCTATGGTTCTCACGGCAATCTGCTTCTCAATTGGTTGAAACTTTAAGGCTTCGAATCCTGTAGCGTACCTCTCATACATCTTGGGCATATCCCCAGGTAGAATAAGGGTTTCCAGGATATATAGGACATCTTGCTCGTAATTAATTCTGCAGATATTCTCTGCTTGTAGCTTGGCCCATAGGAACCTTGATAGTTGAGAAATACTGTTAGCTTAGGTACTTATACACTATAAAGAAGTGAATGACGATACTGACATTCCATCTGCCTTTCCGACTAACTCATAAAGGACTCTCTCACGAAGTTCAGGTTGATCCTCAAAAAGGTCTGAGTCGAGTTTCATGTTCAAGTACTTTTGAATGTCGTCAGTGTTATCACTAGGCTTGATCTGAATCGGTAATATGTGGTGTTCACGTAACTTGTCGTAGCCAGTGCAGTCCCGCGAGCTGATGATTACAGCAAGTCGAAATTCATTCTTCTCTTTCTTACGTTCTTGGACAAGATCATTTAATCCTCTTAGCAGCTTTCGTCGGTCCTCTTGGGGGAGCTGATCTAGGGCATCAATAATGATAAATACATCGCGTTGAGCTGTAGCAAGAAGACGATTGAGCTTATGCTGAATCTCATCGCAAGGGCGGCTGCCGTATACATCGGATGATCGTGCATCCTCTCCATCAAGAACTTGCTCGCAAAATGTCATCAACATGGTCTTGTAAAGCTGTTGGTTCTGCTCATCGTCGCCATAGCCAATGTAAAAATACAGAATATGGATTTCCTCAGCAACCCATTCCTCGTGGATGCTCTCAATTACACGGGACCTAGACGTAATAGATGGTCACCTCTTGTCCGTAGGTAGTAAGCTTTGATATACCCACATCAACGTAGTTTTCCCACATCCCTCTATTCCCCTATTAGTTTTAAATTTCCACCGAGGATGTAAATTAGTAGAAACCTACGGAAACCATGAACCCATAGAAATGAGTGCGGGTTATCCAATTGAGCCCATTTTTGGAACTCAGGCTTTCTCAGCAGCCACTCGCATGTTCCGGTATTCTTCCAGTCCGTCGTTACCTTCTCATGAGTTTGCTTAGAAAATTGCTTCAAGGTCAATTGGGAACCGGCACTGTTTAAATCTATGACTCGCAGGTAAATACTACGCCAAGGATGTAACAAAGTGGGCGATATATATGCTTACAGATATAGTTGAAATTCTTGTCACCGATGTGGATGCCCTCTGCTAAACCATTAACATGCCGCTGCTCGATATGAATTCTAGACATTGTAACTGTAACACTTAACACATGATGTATTATTCTATTGGTAAATAACTTAAGGATTAATATAAAGGGGATTAAAAGGTCTATTAATGCCTCGCACAAGCTCGAGGTTCTCTATTCTAATGGTCTAAGGCCAATGAAGCGAATTAAAGCTCGATCCTAAGTATATTATCACTTACTACTATTTAAAACTCATACAAAAACTACTGGAAAGCTTCACGACCAATGAAGCCTTAGAAGATTCGATATATTGGTTAGGAATACCAGTAAGTAACCCCTGAATAATTCTGCCAAGGGGGTTTGATATGCAATAAAAACTACAACATTATGAAAATGGTAAATCAAAGCATATATATTCCGACAAGCCCCCTGGGAGATACTTAAGAGCTATTTCATTGGGCGAAGTTAAGTCTGGAACAGTACTGATTAGGAATCATTATCCCGGTAATTTGTACGGCTGAAGATCATGCAGTAGTGTTGTAGCGATCTATTGAGAGCCTATCAACTTCTATGCAGCCCCATGCAAGAAAATGCCATGGCTTCTGATTCGAGAAAGTAAGGCCAAGGAAATACTTCCTAGCACAGCATGACAAGGTGAGGAGAGGCGGGGTTCGGAGTCTGCAAGTGTACAAAATAATCCGTCGATCGTAGGATTTTTACAGTGTTAGATTATTATATCTCTCACTGTGATATGCGGGCATTTGAGATTTGGGGTTGGAAATGGGCCCGTTGCTGCCCGAGTAGCATGTATCTGTAAGTACATTAGACTCACCGAAAGGTTGGGCTTAAAGAATCGTCCAAGTTAGGTAGGATACAGTAGCCATTTTCTTTAATCATCTACGAGATAACTGCGATATTCACCCCCTGAAAAAAATATGTATACGTTTTACAAGGATAGTCTGAATATATTGAAATAGGAATGCTGGTTTCCACAAATAGGGTTGTATGGATCTCTGTAGGATTCTTGTCCTCTGCATCTAGTAATGCTGTGTAAGGTGAGCAGGTGTGTATCAAGACACATATATACAGTTGGCATGCAGTAGGTGCTAGGATTGCATCGTATATGCAGGCAAATAATGAATATCTTCCAATCTGACAGATAGTGAGGAAGTTGGAGTATTATAGAAGCCTGTATTTTTCTTACGATCAACCTGGTTTCTAAAGGAGCAGATGTATCCTGCTGAGGCCAATACAATGATTCATACACGGAAGCATCAATGTCTACCCCAGTAGTTCCGGGTTTTGTTATTGTTCCCGTTGCTGACACCATTGATATCGCCGCGATGTATCCCCGTCACCATACCGGTATTATGTGATTGAGTGATGTAAGTGCCCGCGCTGAGTCTACTCTGGAGCATCTCGTCTACAGCAGTTTCTAGCCATGGGTCGCACTCTTCAACGATGTCTTTGAGCTCTTCTAGGTTTGACTTGCTAATGCCGTTGCATTCCTCCTTGCTGAGCTCGGAAAGCTTTTGTCGGACGTCTTCGGGGAAGAGGTTTTCGAGATCGCTGACTAGTGAGGACATATCCGTGACAAACTTTTCAAAGCTAACCCTCTGATAGAACGCCCACTTAGTAGCTTCAATGACCTTCCCTGCTTTGGCTTTCCACCTACGGACACATTCGCGGAACCTGATTCGTATCTTCTTGAGGTCAGCCGGGACGTATAGCTCGGGGTCGAGTAGCTTCTTGTCGGCCGCCCCAAGTCGGGTCTCTACCCGTCTTGCGTGACGTTGAGCGCTCAAAATAGTGTCTTGGATCTCGCTGAGTATATGATGTGCTTTCGCAGCTGGGTCTGCATCGTCGTCGGACTCTTTGTGTCGGGTAGTTCGACTGTCTCCAGCTTGGGATCCGCTGTTACTGTGGTTGGTGTTTCTAAGAACCTCTCCCCATCGTGATAGACGGACCTGGAGGACGTCAAGCTTCAACTGGTATGTCGAGAATTCTTGTTCAAACTCCCGTGCTAGCTGAATATGATTAAAGCATTCGATCGCGAAATTCAAGAGTCCGATGGCGCTGCTAGCAATATCCATGGTGTAGGAAGTGCCAAGCGCACTTCATGTCACATAGGATGATATTCATATAGATGTCTACAGAGCCCGAAGGGAATACGGGTAGAAGAACGAAGATAAATAGGCGGGAACGGCGGCAGCCTAATGTATTTTCTGAAGCTAGCAGCACTGCCTGAGACTATAAGTAGGTACTGAGCCATACGGAGAATTAGGAATGTGGTGGATCCATGTAATGGCAATGGTTGGAATAATTGTCATCCATAGACCTTACAAGAATGGTTTGCATAAATCTATACCAATAGTTTACTACCTACTTTCAACGTGTCATAGTATTATTCCACCAGCCCATCAAACAGTGCTAGCGCGCTATTGGTATTTATGTGGAAGAAATAATAGAAGTATGTCAACTCGTCTGTTATGTATATAGCCATAATATACACATAGAAAAGTCACTTCCATTTGTAGATACCACTTGTAATTTCTTTCCATGGCGTGCAAGTCGTCTATATATTTCCTATGTGATTATTTTGAGGTCTCTCGTACCCAGGTCCCACTGTGGTTAACCAAATGGTCCGACTCAGGTTTTTCCTTGGGCACTGCTGGGCGCTGAGGGTGATTCCATCTCCGTTATAAGAAGGCGTGTTCGACGGTTTTTCCCCTGGTCAAAATCGGCTGCCTGGCGCCGGCGCTAACTAGGTATAGTAATGCTGTAGGCAGGTAGGGGCTGGGGATGCTATAGGCAGGAAGTGGAGGATCTCTCATATCAAGCGATACTCTAGCTCTGCCTCTCCTTACCTAAGGAGGTGGTACTCTAGACGTCTAAAAGCGCCATAGATGCGCAGCTGTAGCTACCTAGTTTATAGCAACCAATAGACGTTAACGTTCTCATTATCATCATCATCTCGTACCCAGGTAGTGTTGTAGGGGAAGCCCCCTTTGGGTGGATATTGTCGGCGATTAAGCCAACGCAACTTATAGAGCCATATTGACACCTCTTAAATAGCGGGGAAAAGAAATTCAAATATCATCTATTCTAGTCTTATTCATATATCGCTACTATAGATTTTTATCATATAAGCATCAAGTTGCGACGTGGATGGGTTTCTCGACATTGTCTAGAATAGGGGTAACCACAATTTCACAGCCTCACTTTTAGTTATGCCAATTGGTAGTTTCTAAACGCGATCAAATACAACAGGTGAAACTATAAAGTTTCTTTCAAATTAGTCTGATTGCTAATATGTCTCTCTTTTTAATATCTCCTTGACCAACCCGTAGCCTTTTGACCAACCGAGCCCAATTTGACTCCTTGCCTTGACCTTGCAGTTTTATTCTCCCAGACAACACACCACCCGACACCATTACCAAACGCGCATATGTACCATCTTCCATTGAAACGCTCAATTTCTATATATTGTACTTTTCCCTTCACTTAGATCGCGTAAATGACTCCCCCAATTCCAAACTATTGGGCTTTATCGTACTTGGAGTCTGGCCTACTTATTGACTTCGCTGTCCCTATCGTCCAGCTCTATATCGTCGATTTGGAACATGATATCATCATCTGGGTCAAAGCTAACCATATTACTGCTGCTACTTCTCTTCCCACTGTCGTTGCTTCCGGTGGCGTTCTGCTGACCACGGTGTTGCTGGCTACTAAGAACATTTCCCTTACTCGTGGGGGTCTGACTGATTTTTTCGCCACCAGACATCTTGGCTGAATATGACTAGTCTTTTTTGAATGATTTTAAGTAAGATCTTCTGGGAGAAAAGAGACCAAACTTCAGCTGACGGTTTATAAAGTATAAGTATCGATCTATAGGGTCGAGGGTATTCCTATGATTTCAGAATTGAGGTGCGGGGAGAACATGCAACTTTTCAGTTATCCAAAGAGATATTGTAACATCCGTCATGGTACATATATTATTGGTCAGGGATTGATGAATGTATCCTGTGACCGTTCCAATTACGTAGTGAGCGCACTCAAGGTTTTCATCGTATGATTGCGAGCCAAGCACTTCTACTTGCGAGTTCCGTTTATGCTTTTGATACTTAATTGGAAGCTATCGACGTAACTTACATCATCGCATGACTATAAGTGATCCACAATACCCCAGAGTCCATTATAGAGTTGAAACTGCCTCACTCCACATATATTGCCTCAACTTCCGTACCTGACTATCACTGCCTGAACCATACGTCACCTAATGACCTCTTAGTGCGAGGTTAGATTATTATCCCCTTGGCTGGCATAAGACAGCAACTCCATAAATTTCAGTATCAATACATACGGATTGGCTAGAAAAGAAAGAAACGCTCGTGCGGTACTGAATCGACCAATAATATTTATAGGTTGCGGTTTTAGAGACTAATCATAAGGCCTTTTCCTATTATGTTAATGAATGACGTTAAGCCTTATGTACTAATACTGAAAGTTATGGAGTTGCTGTCTTATGCCAGCCAAGGGGATACTTTTAACACCTTTAAATTAAAACTATATGTAATAAGTACCTAACCTAAGTCATCGGCAGTTCTTCTTTTACAGCAGAAGCTTCACTAGATTGACTGCACTCAAATCTCATACTGGTCAAGTTGGGGAAAGGGGGAGTACTAAACGTATAATACATTAGCTTCTAAATTCAATTAATGATACAAAACATCGCCTGACTCCTTTGCATAGATGTGTGAATTTAAATCAAATAAGTTTAGCGCCAGCTGTCTCCTACCCATTTCCAGTACCAAGGTACGCTACAATTCTTCTCTTCTGAAATAGTGGATTAAGAAATTGGTTACGATAAGGCTCAAGAATATTTAGGTATTCACCCAGTTAAATCTCTAATAACAGGTATTTAATTACCTAAAGCGTTGATACGTGACATTGATCTGAGATGATGAAATGAGTGTACGGGTTCCCAAGTTTTCACCCAGCATTCGCAGCCATCAAGCTATACCTCTACTCATATATGTATCGCTTTCCTGATCACACAAAAGTTTCTGTAGGATTCAAACTCATCCTCTAAGCTAGGATTAATGTATCTCAGACATTGCCATAGGTGAGTTCGAAGTCAGACACGTCATCTGAAATTGTATCCTCCTCACTCTCAGTAGTCTCGGTGAGCTTGGTAGTGCTGGGCCTGAGCTCCGCTCGGGGTTCCTTCTTAGTACGACCTCTTGTATTATATTTAATATTGGAAGCCTTCTCGTCCTGAGCAGCGGCTTCTTTTCGAGGGTTCAAAGAAGATTTAGGCTCAGGTTTAGACTCGGAGTCAATCGCGGTGAACCAGTTTCTCTTTTTGCAGAGAATACGGAAGGTTTCCTTAGCTGACGGTTCATTTTTCAACCCTAATTTGGGTGCGACAGTAGTCCAATCTATTTTGGGTTTCGAATGAGGAGGGCAAGCTTGCAAAATAGTGTCAATGATCTCAATATCTCGAGCTGTCAACGTTTGGGCTTTATTATTTGTTTTCTTGGGAGGCATTCTGGAAACGGATACTGTTAGTATTGGCACGGAAGAATATCCCAAAGAGACGAGACATATGTGCTTGGAAATTCCAAATAAGAAATAGAAGTAGCAGCTTACGTCGTAGAAAGTATAGTGCAGTACTTTAATATAGGCTGTATATAATAGGCGCAAACATTAGTAGGAACACTTTGCGTTTACAAGAATTTGAACATAGATGACTCAGAGGTAAGTTAGGGGTTTATATAGAAGATGAAAACTGTTATACATAAAAGGGAATCAAAATACATTGGGTTATATTAAGCGAAGTACATTATTGCAATGCATATTTCGTTAGTATAAGTTAAGCAACCATTATCTGAACATGTATAGGCTTTTTTTACTTTTTAATAGTGTCTTTGCTTTATCCTTTATGCACACAAGCCCAAAGGTGTCGTCGCGCCCTATGAAGTACCACAGATAATGGCTAAAGGTATATAGGATATATATTATATTTTTTACTGCATTACATGCCGAGATTTACATGCCTCAATATAGAAAGTTTCCATTTATATCTAGTTTCCAAGTATTCTATATATTTATATCATGTCTAAGACGTAGATTCTCGTAGTTGGGTTAGAATTCCTTACAGAACAGCAAAGTTGTTTCCATGCTATTTGGTTCCACCTTGCAATACGTTCTACGATACAACTACTTTAACTTTTGACTTTTGGTCTTTTTTAGTTCTTTGCACATCGTGAATTCTTTAACGGGTGCAAGTTAATCCTTGTATCAGCACCCGCTAGTAGGGATAGCTAGACGCCACAATATGACCACCAGTCGCAGGATATATAACGAATCATTTTACAAGTAGGTAGTAGATTATTCACGCCAAATATTACCACCTTCAAATATGCTATAAATAGCCGACATAGTAGGTAGAGCAGAGTTGTCCGGTCTTAAAAGAACTCTAGGTACTACACCCGTATTACGTTGTATATATGGGGTAAGGTTGTGATACCCCAGCCTGTCAACTTCGAGGGCAACTTACAACCTAATACACCCGAGATATCAAAATGAGTCATCTCCATTAGCGGAACCATCCCACCCGAGTATATTTTATGCAGGTCTACAGTTGGAGATCCGATCGTTGATGACGTTGGTGGTTACCAAAACCATGACTGGGACCCCTTCTATGAATAATAAAACTACCTACCTAAGGTAGGTTAGGTAGGCTTTATAGTCGAATAAATCTGGTTTAATAGCGACATGAATTATTCATATGATAATTCATATTGGCCCCCATTATGGTTGGGTGTTTACTTACACCTCGTAGATGTGAACGAGTACATATAATGTACATTAAATGATGTGGTACATGGATAGGTACTACAATGCTTAGCAGTTCTACGTACTATGGGAATATGCACCAGCCTTGTTCCTCGATGGTCCGTGGTACTTCTCGTAACACATAGTTATTGACCCTTCTGGTCGTTTCTTTCTAATGAGGTCTTTCTAATAAGGTATCTTTATGTAAACGAAAACATTATATGTTCCAGAGAAAGCAAGGTAAAAGTTTATGTAGTCCTTATCGTCGTCCTTATCCTAGAGGAGGAGTTTGTGACAACAAAAATATTTATCGTAATATGAAATTAAAACAACGCATCAAGCAGCATAGTTCACCTCGTTAAATACAAGGGAATTGAGGTTAAGTGTGTCAACTAAAAGGCTTGACTATTCAAAGAGGTCAAATGCCAAGACCCGACTATTAATTTTCGCTGAAAGCTGACAGTTGAGGATCGCCCTATGCAGTAGCTTAGGATATGATTGGTGAGAGCAGGATTGTCTGATTGGTCCGCAACTCCTGAGATATCTGCATCACACATACATGTCTACCTACCTATTTATACAATCATTCTAATAGTTAAAACTTACTCTTCTTGTTATAAAGGAGCACTACTACCATAGTCATAAAATATCCTCACTAATACGGTAACTTTGACTCAGTCCGGTGAAGACCGTAGCCACATGTATTGGTATATTCATATAGTTCCAGGAAGATTGTGGGCACCTTCACGATCCTCACTTAGAAAGCTATACACTTTGACAAGACTTGGAGTTTAACCTAAATCTCTCGTCTAATTTGCCATTTAAAAAATATTATTGCTCAAGAGAGGTATTGTACATTACAACCTCTTTCATACTGTCTCTTAATTCTATGGAATCAATAGCGCTAGATAATTGATAAAGCTTGTTAATATGATAAGGAGTATTCCTTGCGTAGAATTTTGATAACAAGTTGCAAGTTGAATCTAGGTACTTGATGGTTTTATGGAGACAAGAAAGGCTGTGAAAAGAGGGGCTACAAGGGGTTGTAAACAAATATGGAATTCCAATTGTGTGCACTTTGCTGGTCGCAATGTTAGCGGATCGCCCAAATCGCCTTAATGAAACAAACATATCAAAGAACCAAAGAGCCTTACATTTCCGAGGCTTAGAAAATCGGGTTTGGTAATGAGCGACGGTGAGATTTTACGCGACTGAAAATCTCTCCGCCCTTGCGAATATTTCTTTAATTTCTCTGTTCGTATTTACCTTCTTGTACTTTAACATTGTACCACCGAGAGAGGCTCCGGGCCGAACACGAAAAACCACAGAAACCCCACAAAACGGCCTTAGGGATGGGTCTCGCATGACGGCAAGAAAAAAAAAAAAAAAGCTTGTTCTCTGATTCCCCTGACGATCCGCCCGGCCCGTCGGCCAAGCCTAACCTCCGGTAATTAGCCGTCTAAGATTAGACATAAGAAGCTTTGCTTACAACAGCTTGAGGCACATCATGATAGTTTACGCGTACCAGATGGCGTCATAGTGGGGCCCCCACGCCAAACTGCGATCGCTTCGAAACTTGAGATATGGAACCGACCACTTCTATTCGATAATACTGCTCTGCGTAACCAGCGGGGGTACGTATACAACGTCTGACATTTCCCATGTCATTAGAAATAGCGCAGAAATAAACAAAATGAAATGGAAAGACTTTTACAATCAGTGCTAGTTTCTAGTTGGGTGGTCCACTGAATTTATATCTAATACTTAGACCAGTCTCAGGCCCACAGAAGCCGCGTCGGCAAACACGATGGTGTGGGTTCTCCCGTAACATAGTTGTAACTACGTAGATATGAAGATCAGGATCTGCTACATAGGTCCACAAGTTGACGAAGAAATGTAATGTATGGTGGATGTGGCTGGCCGATCACTTAGTTTCTTACACCATCGGCCCTTCAGAAAGGTCCGTTTACTTAACCACTCCCTCGTGTCTACTCCAAAAACCTGCTGGTTTCAACTTATACACTTTGGATTCTATTTCTTCTAAAGCGAGGCCGTTATGTATCCCTTATCGATTCTTGTTGGTACTTTAGGACTGCTTCTCAACTTGGTGGCTGCTATCGATGTAGACTGGACGAGTGATTGTAAGACACTGGTGTAAATCATACCATACTCATGGCTTATAGCTAACACTAAAAAGCCTCTATTAAGTCGGCTGCCAGTACTATTGCTTATGGCCTTGTCAAATATTATTCAGGTGAGCCGGATCACTGGATCATACAAAAGAAATTCTACTAATTAGTTTTTCATAGGAAATAATACGGGCGATGTCCCTGGAAACTTACCTGATCCATACTATTGTGCGTGTAGTTCATATCACCAATAAATTCAACTCTGAACTAATAGAGTCTACAGGGTGGGAGGCGGGCGCCATGTTTGGAACCTTAATAGACTATGCAGCTTTCACTGGCGACAAAACGTATAACGACATCACATTCCAGGCTCTCCAACATCAAGTCGGAGATGACGCGGACTTCATGCCTTCGAACCAGACAAAGTCCGAAGGCAACGACGATCAGGGGTTTTGGGCCATGGCAGCAATGACCGCCGCCGAGATGAACTTCACAAACCCGGATCCGGATCAACCGCAATGGCTAGCATTGGTCCAAGCCGTATACAACGAGTACGTAGGACGATGGGAGCCCGACACATGCGGTGGCGGAATGCGTTGGCAAATATACACGTTCAACAACGGGTACAACTACAAGAACTCCGTTTCTAACGGATGCTTTTTCAACATCGCCGCGCGCCTGGCTAAATACACCGCCAACGAGACTTATAGCGAATGGGCGAGTAAGATTTACGAATGGGAGCAATCGGTCGGTTTCATCAACGAAAACTACAACGTGCTAGACGGCGCCGGAAACGCAGGTAGTGAGAACTGCACGCAGCTCAACGGGGCCCAATTCACTTATAACGCGGGATTATTTTTATGGTATGTATGAAAACGCCCCACGTTGTTACTTTCGAGCCATTCTTTATAGAATGGCCTCGAAACTACTTCCCTAAGGTATACAGTGGCTAACGCTCAGTAGTAAGTGTGATTGACGACCCTATCATTTCGACCCAATCGAAAAAAAAAAACCAACGGTGAAGATTCTGGAATCATAGTATTGCAAAGCTAACATGAAATGCTTCCACGCATTAGACGGTGCTGCAGCCATGTATAACCACACCGACGGCGCCGAGCCGTGGAAGACACGTCTAGAGGGACAAGTCAAGTCCGTGGCGAGTATATTCTTCGACGACGGAGTAATGTGGGAGCCCAGCTGCGAGAAGACGTCGGCGAAGTGCAACACAGACCAGCAGGCATTCAAAGGCCATCTAAGCCGGTGGATGGCTCTAACAACAGTCATCGCACCTTTCACGTCCGACACGATCACGCCGCTGCTGAAATCGTCGGCCCAAGCCGCCGCCAAGCAATGCTCCGGCCCCGCATCGACGGATTACAAGGGTCCGGCGGGGACGGCGTGCGGGTTCAGTTGGCTGCAGCAAGCCACCTTCGACGGCATCAGCGGGGTCGGCGAGCAGATGAATGCGCTACAAGCGGTTATGGCGCCCCTGGTCCACCTCGCGCAACCACCCTATACGTCGGAGACTGGAGGCTCGTCCCAAGGCAATCCGAATGCGGGTGCCTCCGATGCCGACAAGATCGAGCAGCCGAAGCCTATTACGGCGGGGGATAAGGCCGGAGCTGGAATACTGACGACACTTGCTCTTGGTGGGTTATTGAGTGGTATGTGGTTTGTGTTGATGGACGAGAAGTAAATTATTGTTATGATGGATTTTTTTCACGTTTGGGTATTTAGAGGGGGTTTATGTGGAGGAGATGGCGTTCGGAGTCCTGGGTTGGGACCACGGGTATACCTATTAGATTTATACCTAACTAGCAGTTGCTGGCTGTTATGATATGTTTTGGTGGATCTACACGAATGGGTTCATGATAGATCCATATATCTAGACTACTTTGTCTATCACATTGAATAGACACATGTACATATTAGTTAATTGTAAAACAGTATAAAGTCCAAACCTCTAAAAACTCATAATCAACTGAGGAACTAATTGTCATTTCTAGGTATCTATCTACCTAGGGCGATGAGTTGTAGTATGAATTCTGAAAGACATCAATTCGTAGTGAAGCTAATTTAATCCGTCTTGGTCCGAAATCGGGTTTAACTTGTTCTTAAATATTCTACTTAGGTAGGTATACAGTATATTGCTTTCTATAACCGGAGCTAAATTGCGCAAATAACGCGGCTACGTTGAAAGAGTCGGATGAAAGGGGTGCGTATACGAGTTAGAATGACGCGTCACCATTTCTAAACACCTGAGTTACCCTAAAATAAGTTAGGGAGAAGGAGGGTTTAAGACATTAGCAATACCAGCAACTTGTTATTTAAGGATACGGACACTTTAAAGATGGATTAAATCAAGGTACCTCACATCTTATATTGATTATCAGAAGGTTCAAATAATAACTATTCTAATTATCTGCTTAAAGCTATAGTTAAATAATTATAATACTTGTTATTTTAAAGGAAGTTAAGCTAGTTAGTGAAAATCTAATACTATACTCGCAAGTAACCAACTATATGGTCTACAACAAGCGATTAAAAATAATTGTTCACGAAGAGGTAAATATAAATCTTAGCCCAAGCTCTATTATGCTACGGCCGGGTATGAATTCTAGCATTATCATGAAGTACCTCTAAATCCCTAAGCTTCAAATACCAACACGACACCGTCATCACCCGCCGTAACAACTCGCTCTCCGGTCGTGCCCTGCACGAACCCGAGTACTCCTCCGCCCTCGCCGTCTCCCCTGTGACCCCTCCACTCTTTTACTAGACTGGTTACCGCCGAGCTAGCCGCGCCTCGGACATCCCACCGGCGAACCACGCCGTCCATACCGCAGCTCGTCAGCAACCATCCGTCGCCGAGCCCCGCTACAAACTCGACTTTCACCACGCTGAACTCCTCATGCGCCTCTTTGATATGCCGCCGCAGTGCGAACCGCCGCGATGTGTCGTATACCGCTATGCTGCCGTCCACACTACCCGCTGCTAGAAGTGGTTGTTTCGAAGAGAAGCTCAGCGTCTCAATTCCGTCCGACTGCGTTTGCAGATCAGCTAGAATAGTACCACCTTGCGCGCTCCCCACCTCCCCGCCTTTAGCTTTGGTTTTGCTCTGCTTGCTAGACGCGGGCTGGCTGTCTACGCCTACTCGTGGCAGTCCTACTATCTTGATCGAGCCGCCCGCGCCACCAACCGCGACGAATGTGGATTTGGGGTCCACAGCAACCGCGTACAGACCACCCTCGACGCCAAAGCGTTGGTCTTGGCCCGTGAGCGATACTACCGTCTGACCGTTGTCGTTGACTAGGTTCTTGGCCGCCGCTTCGCCCCACACGTCCCAGACACACAGTGAGCTGTCCTCCGATACTGTAGCTAGGAATGTGCCGTCGGGTGACCAGGAACCGGCCGTGCATGATGCGGTATGTAAGAAGTAGCTCTGGACGATCTGCATCGGGTTCGCGGAATCGGAGGGGTCGATCGTGTATACCCAGACGGAGCCGTCCGAAGCGCCCAGTGCAATGGTGTTGGGATACTTCGACGACGGGCACGGTGCTAGCCAATTCACCTCGGGCACCTCCTGGGACTCGGCGAGGAATGCAAAAGACGGTTTATTGTGCGCGTCTACGGATAGCTCGTACGTGCGCAATCTACCATCTAGACCTCCCGAAACCAAGAATTGCCCGTTGGGCAACGTGAACGCAAGCGTATTAATCGAATCGCTGTGGCCTTCAATTGTGAAAACCGGTTTTAACTCGGTGCTTTTTTGTTGCTGTGATGATGGATCGGCATTGTAGCTAGGCGGGAGGACAGGTCGACCAACAACTGGGCTGGTATCGAAAACGTAGCCTTTTCCCGGCGCATCATCCCCTTCACCTTCACTACCACCAGTTGCGATGAGCGAAGGTTGGGTGGGATGTTGAGCGATGGCGAAGACAGAGTCCTTGTGAGCGTCGAAATAGGCTATACTGTCGTTTTGCAAAGTGATCTCTTCTGGTTCGTCGTCCGAGTCCATAGCTATATCGCCTTCAGTATCTTGAATTTCCTCAAGCGCATCCTCTGCGTCGAGCATCTCGGGCGTATCGTCTACATCGTCTCTGTGAGGGGCAGACATGATGAGGGGTAGATAGGTAGGTTTCGCGCTTGGGTATCCTAGTAATTTGAGGTGATAAATTAGCAAAATTTGCGAAGGGAGACAATAAATATAGCGGACAAATAGTCGCAGCTTATAAACGACTTACAGATTATTTGGTAAATGTGTAATAATGTAGAAAGAAGTCGACGCCTGCTTGATAATCAGTTCAACTTTTTACTTTTTGGTGGGGCAATATCCTGCCGGACCCCGCCACGCCTTATAAGTGGAGATCGTTTTTATATAATCTGCCTCTGAACGTCTACCCTGAAGTATTAAATAGGGGCCTCATGCACGTAATAGTGCGTTGACCTTCTATTCTTAGTAGCAGTGAACCACCCAACTATGATATTTTATATTTTATTTAGCAAATGCCTGCGTGTAGATACATACTCAATATTAGGTAGGTATGTCAGTACCTAACTATTGAAATAAAGTACAAAAATATTCTCTATGAATAAATTCTATCAAGCTGCTTCATGGCATATCCATGTTCATCGACAATTATATGAAGTATACACTGATAACTGCTTAATTGCAAGCAGGCTAGAACAGAACAAATTGTAAGGATTAGAGCAATTGCATACAATTTATATTCAATCCCAACATCAAACAACGCTGGGAACCCAAATGTATATGTACAATGAAACAACCCTATCCCAAACTCCTACAAATGCAGAAAGAAAGTAAGAGATACTGAACCCCTAAACATGCGCGATACTAGTTGAGGGTCTTGGATCTATCTCATGATCCTTAAAATCTATAATCTTGGGCGGGATAAGTCTCCTAAGTTAATGTGCTGTTACGGTACCGACCAAGTTCATCCCCAGGCATACGACCATAACACATCCGCCGTAGATAGACAAGGCAAGCGCCGCCCCTCTTAAGAACTTGGGGTTAATATGCTCCATATCCCACCTCCACTTCCTCCGCCAGCGCCATGGAGACTTCGTATTCTTACTCTTAGCACTAGAACCGCTGGCTACGCTGTGAATACTTTCTACGCTTCTCCCCAGAAGCCCTTCGTCCCCGTCTCCCTCTTCGGAATCAGAGCTGGGGGGAGACAGCACATCGTCATCTTCTTTAGTTAGGCGTTGCTGGTGGATCGAATTCGGGTCCGAGATTTTGTAGTAAAATAGACCCGGAAGAATGAAGCTGATGCTCGTGCTTCCCGTGGAACCGACATAAGCCAACATTCGTTCCAACGAGACCACAGTTAGGGAAACGATATAAGCTAACACTATAATAATCGTGCTTAAAATGGCAAAGCGCACGTCTGACATAGGCGCGCTCGGTCCATGATCTGATCGTGATTGAGCGGGGTTTGGGAGAAGCGGTCGGCCGCCAGGGGAATTTGTCCGCCCCTGAGGGCGAGATACATCTTTGGGTCGCCATTTAAGAACTGCATCTACAGATGCTCGGCACGGATGTATTTGTAACGGGATAGAAAATGTTACAAGAACGACAATAGCCGCCTTGGCGATAGTAGAGGCAACCGATGCGGGATCTAGCGTAGAGTCATTAGCTTAATCGCGAATTAGGGAGAAGGTAAATTAGATGACATACACATGGAGACAATATTGCCTGTAACATCGTTGCCGAAGGTCAAGTATCCAGTAATAGCGACCAGTATATAGACACCAGCAGCAGAACCAATGCTAGAAAAGATGATACCCATTATGCTATGACCCTTGTTAGTGTGGTATCACGAGTTTTTAGTGCTAGAGAAGCGTACCTAGCGGGGGAATTATTCGAGACCTCGTTGAGAATAGAAAACATATTTTGGTGGCAGGTGTATGCATAAACAACCACTGGTAAGCTGGCGAGAGCTTCCACGGGCCCTCCCCACGAGACAAACCGGATTTTATCTCTAGGTGCAAGAACATCCGAAGCGAAGTGATAGACAACTAGCACGATCAAATACCCTATCGAAACCAGGGCAATAATGCTGGTGTACTTCAGAGAATCTAGGCGCCTCAAGAAGCTTAGAGGAATTATAACGAGCATAAAGACGGTGATCCAAAAGTTACGCTCCATCAAATATGGAATATCAGCCGCTCTGCCGTCAAAGCCTTCCACCACACCTGGCATTAAGTCGCCGATAATAATTATATATGATACACTAACTCCGAAACACTTTATGGCAATCGCAGCATCGAAAATAACAGCGGCGTTGGGATATGTCATTTGGGATAAGGCGAAGAACGATGAGGTGCCACGGTCGAGATATCGTGCGCATCGGGACTGAAGGTATAGACCGAAGGCAGATGTAAACCCTGACCATAGGATTACGATAACTCCGGCTACCATTCCGAAGTGTGACATAGCCGAGGGCATCGCTAGTGTGCCAGCGCCGATAACTATAACGCCACTTACGTTAGACTTAGACTGACGACATCATAGAGGGATATGACTTACTAGTATTAAGAAGGTTAATAACACTGCTAATCATGGTGGCCTGTCCTCCTCCAGTGTCTTTTGGACGACCGCGAGCCCGCTTTTGTCTGTAGAATAATATTAGTGTTGACCGTTATTATTAATGATATAGGAATCGCAGCGGCTAGCTGTCGAGGCTACGCTACGCACCTTGTCATATCGCCGGTGGAGGCGGAGCTCTCTCCAGAAATGGTTGAATAATTCGGCATAGCCCAAGGGGGACTCTATAATCCCTATTGATATCCTCCTCAGCAGCAACTAGCTGCGCTGAAGATCTGTGTGTCTCAATCTTGCCTCACTGCTCGAGTAAGACAAGATGGGTTTCTTCCTGGCTGACCGCTTTCGTTCATACGCGACTTGCTTTAGGGCCTCAGTATCCTCGATTATTTCCACGCGCTTAGCGGTTAATGAATAGGATATACATTTATTGTATGATATAGTCGCAGTATTAAGTCGATGACGCTCCTTTACTTGGTGGTTATATTCGTATGATGATGAGAGGGTGGAAAGTGATCGTTACACGTCAAACACTAGAGTAGAATTAGATTTAACTGTGACTGCCAGTTGTCGTCAAGGCCATTCGCAATCTCCCCATCTGGGGACTACGTCTGCTGACAGCTATTTCTGGCCAATCAATTAAATCACGTATTCCTGGTTAGGCTATTAGCGGCTAGCTTTCCGAGCCGGGATCCCGAAGTTTCCCAAAAGACCGGGGAACTCAGCCTAGATTAGCTCAGCCTTATCCTTATCAATCTTTTATAGAATGCATCAAAGAGAGCTATCTATTGTTCTACAATTACCAATTAACATTAATTCCTTCTATACTTTACTACGAATAGACACTCTTTTAGACTTTGTGTCATTTATGACGTTTGTTACCGATTCGTTAGTTATCAACCGCTCAATAAGTGCCCAATATGGACACCATGGAATCAACTCTAGACAACACGACGCTCTCTACGATATCTCTCCTCGAAGCGCGACTCTTGCGCATTGAGCATTTACTATATGGCCACACAGCTCAGCAACCCAAAGTATCGGCCATAAGAAGTATGCAAGAGCTGGAGCACCGGTTTGCGACTCTCCTCCAACGAATGCGCGTTTATGCCGAGCTTCTTAAACTCTGTATGTTTTGTTTTCCCTTCTTTTCGCAAACACTATGAGCGATTCAACTAACTACCCCTAGATAAATCCCAGCCAACTCTCTTCCAACCACCATCACCGTCCCAACTACCCTCCGAACTCTCCCCTGAGGCCTTGCGCGCTATTGTTCTCGCCGCTGCGTCTTCATTCCCGGCTACAGCTTCCGCACTCACGGCCATATCCGACACGCCGATTCCAGACCCGGCGCACACGGCTACTCTAGCTGCTCTATTACCAAAGATGAAGGGAATCGAAGCGACACAGATAGCACAGGCGGCTGAGATTGCGGAGCTGAGAGCCCGCAGCGAGGTTGTCGTGCGCCGGTGGTACGAGCATAATGTTATGAGCTACTCGAACTTTGTGGCAGGCGTTGAGAGCCGTGTTGAGAATGCCGAGCGCGTCATAAGAAGAGTAGAAAGGGCAAGAAATGAGGTTTGAGGCATGTGATCTATAACCATATGCCTTGGAACATAGACATTCCTATGGGGGATGGAATACTATTCCGAGTTACTATTAACCTATCCGTGCTCCCCGTGTCGCTTCGTCCTCGACACTATGGGTGCTACTTGGTTTGTACACGGCCCTATGAAGTCAGAGTCGATTTGTACTGCGAACAGACGCAAAGTCTCGCGCCGGCAACGAAACTAAAGAGCCCTAACGTCACCGAGGGTTAATATTAGGGGGGGACTTAGAAGTTCCTCAAATTAATGGAACCAAGCAATAAGGTTCGCTTGCTACAAATATTTTTGCTGGTTTGTAGTGAGGTGCTCCATTTGTTTGGTTCGTACAGAATTTCCATACTATAACAATGTTCATTATGGTTCTGATCAGTCTTAGTATGGAAGATCAACACAAGAGGGGCAATGACAAACATAGCATACCCCCAAAAGTATAGGAGTATAAATCATGTTAGACTAGACTTAGTATTCAAATCTAATATTATGCAGATGGATGTAAATCGAAATAACATCAAGATATCCTTAACAGGTAGTGTATTATTAAGTCAAGCTTCAGATGAATACATATTCCATCTAAACAATACCAAGTCCTTATTGAAGTAGCAGAAGAATAACGATATACTAGTAACTATGAGAGACCTCGGTGTTCTAATTAGGGTAATGCTGATTTGGTCTAGGTAATTCAATTTTCGGTGGTGGCTGAGTACAAGAAGTCATTTCCTAACGTTCCATTCTTATGAATACTAAATCTCACCTGCATATCCCTCATCCATATCGCCGCATGGGAATTGATGCAGGAACAAGCTGTTAACTCTTTCTAAGCCACGTGTGGCAAGTGCGATGGCCGCTCTAGTTAGAGCCAAAGCTCAAACGCGCCGGCTCAGACGGGATCGGCGGCCTGACACGAGCAGTCTTAAAGCTAATGCAGCCCTTCGGGACCGCACTTATAATTGAGTTCCGGGGACGACGCATTGGCCATTGACGAAGATCTACACTGCGTCCTTTGGATATTAATGTAGGTACTGTTGTATAAGAGGGTCGGCCTCTGGGTCTGTCGAACCATTAGAAAGTGGTCTCAAAAAGTGTGATAAGCATATCAAATTATCCTGAGCCTCTTATCACTTTTGCTTAAGGTATGGTATGCATGAAAAGTCGCAATGAAGATCAAAAGGCCCAGATCCAGGAGACTTTTTGATCCGCTTAGAAGAAACACATCCAAACTCGGAATTGATCTAAGCTGCAGGTGCAGAGCCTCTTGGCCTACTAAAAGGAAGGTCTGTGCCGTCTGCAATGATTACTAGAGTAGGAGTTAAAGGATGATACATGGCATATGCACACGTGTATGTGATGCCATCAACTTCTTACTACCGGAAATCGGTACGGGTTATTGATTCATAACTGATGCAAAGGTGGCTTATGATCAGTCTTCATTGATCTTGATCAGACCATACGTAAGAAGGTATGAGCTCAAGATGGAGTTTTAAAACTACGTTTGGCGTCATTCTCTTTATGGTGTTTCTTGAGAGTATGTGTATTAGATCCATATCAGATCCATTTTGAAACGTGTCGCAATGCAGAGCACATCGCTGATGTAAATTCCGATATCGTTCAGACGATAGAAGAATATGAATACTACTAGTAGAGCCTTAACCATACTTACATCATTGCAACCCTCCACTATGGGAAGCCCTGTAACTGCGGGAGTCTGAAGAGCGTCGTGAAACTTCTACCGATTCCGCCCCTAGAGGTATGTCACCATCTTATGTCTGCCTATCGGAAGCCATCACTAACTACGTACTCTTAACTTGCTCTGCACTGGCTACCCAGAGGGGAATCACAGACGCCATCGGGAACCAGCCGATTTCATCTCCTGATCTAATACGTACATGCAATGCAGCTGTTATTATCCTCACCCAAATATTAACTAGCCCGAATCTATTAGATTTGTAGTCATTAAGGCTAAGAAAACGTATAGATTTGAGCGGTGAATACATCATTCGAAGGATCAAGGCAGGAGAAGGTTAGGCTGGTTCTTCTATATTTTAACATGTCAGATTTTCACCGAAGTAGCAAGTCATCCAGAGGTCCCGAGACCTTGCATCCCCTTCTTCCTTGGCAGACGCCCTTAGATCCTAGCTAAATCTCAAACACCAGTCGGCCAGCATGCAACTCCGTCTTCCCCAACTCACGGATCGCCCAACCATAATCAATTCAACCACTGCATTCCACTACGTTGCCGCCACCTAGTAGACTCGGGATGTCAATTCGTCGTGTTCCTGCTTTAGCGCCCTAGGTTACGAAAAGGAGCGGATCATCTCTTACGTCGTCCATGTGTATTATATATTTCTTTACTAACTAATAAGAAAAATTTAGTAAGTATTTGGAGATCTTTTAACCAGTAAACCTTTTTCGACGTCAAAACTGCTTGAACGTTGTCTAGTATGTAATTACCTTGTAAGAAAAGTTGGATTGGGGCCAAATGTAAATGGCACATTTGAAAGATACGTTGTGCCTGAGTCCAACAGGTCTGCGTGTTCAAGGCCAATGATAGTGCATCTAAGTCTAGCTCATTGAACTCCCTGGTCAAATCAATCTGGAGGACTAGGGTGAAATGAGTAGATGCTAGGTCCACCTAGGAGACCTGCTAACTTTAATAGGTATCAGCTAGGTACCTGACCAGGGGAATTTGCGTAAGCCTAATTGTCCCGTTCAATTAATTTAGTAGAGGGCCTCCTGTATATACTGTTAGTCATAGTACGAAACCTAATTACATCTAATACAAAAGGATTGTATGTGGATACTATAGCTTCTATTAGTACTATAGATATAACTAAGTGGGTATCTACTTGTACCTTCTACCCTTTCTTATACCATGCATTACATTCATTACAGCAGTTCGTCAGGAACTTAGATTGCGATTCTGTTCAACACCCCCGGGAAGATGCACGCTCCACTCATCCAACTTTACATCCCCCTTCTCCAGCCGATTTGATTGACTGGCTGAATTTCCTTGAACCATTTACCACCCCATCCCTTCCCTATTCCTTTCTACGCTTCTTTTGCCTGTCCCTTCTTTCCCCCTCCAATTCCCTCCAACCCCGTCATCGCGAAGACGAGCCTATTCTGTCAATCATTTTCTTCGATTCTCAGCCAGGCTTTGCAACCGTGGGACGATCCAACTTCGCTTCTCACGACGTACATATTGTGGCCGGTGGTTTCCAGTGAAGGGTTATTATAGCGCTGTCAGGAACTGCGAGGAGAAAGGGGTTGTTGCAGCTTGTGCGTTGTTTGCTGCTAGTCGGGAAGAAGAAAAAAGAGAAGGACATCCAGGTCGCATGAAAGAAGAACCAGAAGATAAGAATAAGGTCAACTCTAAAATATCTCGCCCTCGTCCACATTCTCGATCCGGGACCGTAGCCGATATAATACTACCCGCCTCATTTGTCGCCTTATCACTCGATAGACGTTCTAACTCGGGTCAATTCGGTATTCAAAGTCAAGGACTTCTACAGCAATAAACTCTCTCCGTGCTTCAACTATAGGCTTTCTCCACCCTCCATCCGACCTTTAATGCTTTTAACGACTGGACTCTGGATCGCATATAACAGAATTGACTTCGATTTTTTGATTTCTTTTCGACGTGGAAGATACTCCGAGCTAAGTTCGCAAGGGTACGCGGTCGCATAAACCTCAAGACAATCTATTATAGCGCGCGACGACATCTATCAGCACGTTATTTTAGCGACTATCCGACCAAAAAAAAAACACCCCTTCCTACGTTTTATTCAACGGAATTTTCCATTTGTTCGCCCTCTTTAACGATATTCAAGCCTATTCGAAACTCCTACTCTAGTCACTCCTTTGTAGATAATTTTACCCAGCCGACATCTCGCCAAGCTTGGGGTCCTCACAATCAACCATTCAAACGAATCACTCAAAGCACCAACCAATTATTAAATTTCTAGTCTCCGCAACATTTCTCAGCACAGCCACGTTCTATTCTACGGGAGATCGACAAAGTCCACGACTTGATAACACTTGCGTATTCCCTTTGCGCCGCACGCTCGAACAACCAATTACGATTCACCAGGTTTTGAATATTGATTGCTCGATTGAAGCTCAAAAGCTTTTTCTTCTTTCCTTATGCCCTCGTACGGCTCTCTGCATTCTCCTTCGCTGCGCAAAATGGAAAATTCTAGGGCAAGTTATCGCCGTAGGGGCATGAATATGTCCAATGTTATCGGTGATCCTTTTGCTCTAGCAACGATATCTATCGCTTTGGTAAGTCCTGAATCTGTTACTTTTGGATATCTATCATATTGATTCAAGCGCCTTTTTTACTAATTGCATTATTATTTATTAGCTCGCGTGGGTCATCTCCTTCATCAGTTCCATTATAGGTCAAATACATGCAACTGTCAGGAATCCTTTCCCAGCGTATACATGGTTTGCAGTTGTTTTCATGTTACCTTTAATAGGCGGCATATTCGTTGTAATAGCATCCGATTCTATTCAGACATATCATGTCGCGGTCGTCGGTTATATATCTGTCGGCCTTATCGCTACAACCTCTTCTGTTACTTCTCTGGTTTATTCTTCTGAAGGGGCTAGGGAGGCTGCCGCCGCGGGTTTTATTCTACTCTCCATGGTCAATGTGAGTATCCAATTCCGATCATCCCCACCGCATAGCCTTTCAAGGTGTGAATGCAAAAATTCACGCAATCAGTATACTAACTCATGTTGTAGATCGTATGGCTTGCTTATTTTGGCTCTGCACCCTCCGCCGTACCACGCGCCTACATCGACTCATTTGCTCTAGCCAAGGAGTCGTCAATGAGCCGACAAACCATGAATGGAGGATATGGTGGCCGCCCCGAAACATCTACGTCTGTCCAACCTCCGCAGATGTATACTTCTGCCCAGCTTAATGGGTTTGAAAATCCATCTCCCGTCGGAGGATTCAACGGCAATGCCACACGTAATTCGGGTGGTGCTTCCGGCTTCCCTGGCGGTGTTAACAAAACGCCATCGCCCGCGCAGAACGAGCCAGAAATTGCTCAACCGACGGAGTACCCGTACCGTGCGAAGGCTATCTACAGCTACGAAGCTAACCCCGACGATGCTAATGAAATTTCCTTCTCAAAACATGAGATACTCGAAGTGAGCGATGTAAGCGGTCGATGGTGGCAAGCCAAGAAAGAAAGCGGCGAGACAGGCATAGCACCCAGCAACTATCTCATATTATTATGAGAATATTAATACGCTGGTGGACTTTTGCTTGGATTTATTTGAATTAGGACGCAGCCGTTTGAATGATATATCCGGAATCTTCCCTCCCATACAATGAGGGGAAGATCGCTTGTATTTGAATGGGTTTTAGAGGCTGCGAACGAAACGCTGGGCCACGGACACGCGTTGGAGTAAAATCGGGGGTTACCAACATTACCGGATGTAGCTTTTCCCACTTTTGCAAAGCTCTTTTTTTTTACTATTATTCACACGATGGCCGGCTAATTGTTTATTGTCTTTTTATTTTATTTTTCTTCCCTTTCCACATCTCTGCCGATAACCGGGTCGTTCCTGGTGCGGCACACACAGAGAAACACAAACCTCCTTCATTGCCCTGCGAATGACTTGCGGGAGAAACGCTCGTTTTCGGCGCCCCTTCGGAGCATATACGTATATTTAGTTGAGAATCGGCGAAATTAAGGGCAAGTAGGACGGAAGCCTTGTGGACGAAAAAGGGATTTTTAACGAACGTCACGCCATTGGTTCACGGATTCCAGGAGATAGATGGTTAAGCTCTGGTGTCAATCAATGAAAGAACACTATTAAAGATTTGTGTGTGCGCATTGAAGCTGCTGCTGCTGTGTACAAATACCCCCCCGAGAAATCTGTTCCGAAGTTTTTAAGCTATGGGGCTTCCATCTATAATTCAGGATTAGGTGGAATCCTAAGTATAAGTGTATTAAAAATGTTGTCATATGTACTAGGCCTCGGATGAATTGTAACATTATGTACTACTATGGTATCAAGTTCAGTGAAACTCTTTAAAATATAGAGGCGATGCTTAGGCCGTTGTTAAGAGGTGTGGTTTTTTTTTTGTGTTCGGTCAAACTAACCACTGAGTTACCGATAGTCTTCCTCGACGAGTGACAGTACAAATACCTTCTTCCACTTCTTCCCTCAGATAATATGTATTTCTGGGTATCTCTTCAGTTCCCTACATGACTAGAATCCCTCTGTGTCGTTAATTTCCCCATCGCCAATGCCTGGTACACGTACTCTAATACAGAAGACCAACTTAACTCCTCGCAATCGCAGGGAGCCGACATAGCGGACAAGTGCCGCGTACCATAATTTCCCCCCTCCGTCCTATCCCGAGGTATCTGAAGCGTGCCAGATTCAGAATTAGTCCTAAGGGATCATACCCACTCCTAGTATGTATCTCGCGGCTCTTCCGTGCGTGAACACGACTTGGCCCCCTTTTTCAAACGGGACCGTAGTTTTTGTTACGTCCTCGTAGTACCATCTCACATATCTTTACCATGCTATTACTTCGTCATACCGTAGAACGAACATAAACTCCCCCAGCTCAAGTCGCCGCATCCAGCCTCTTCCGCAGCTCACGCTCCTTCTGCAAGACCTCGAGCTCCAGACGCTCGACGCTGTACTGCAGGGCCTCCTTCTGCCGCGCCTTGATCTTGCCCTCGGTTTCTGTTCTCCGTCTTGAGGCTCCGCTGCTGCTCTTCCCTTTATTGTTGTTGTTGCGCGCAGAGGCAGGCGTCGGGTTGGAAGTGGTGGAATGCATTCGTCCCTGCTGCAGCTCGGACCGCGCCCGTAACGCCTCGATGTGGCGCTCTGCGCGCTCGATGTGTGCGTCGGCGCGGTCGAGCAGGGTTGCTATGGCGGGGCCGATTTCGTCACGGAGAGAGGCTTCGGCGGCAACGAGGGCCGGTTGGGGGATTAGTTCGTAGTGCTATTTGTTGGGGGCTGTTAGCTACCTAACCTAGGTAGGTAGGTGGTAGGGTGGGAAGAATGGGGGGAAACGTACGCGGACGCTCTTGAGCACGTTGACGAGGCGAGGGTAGTCTGCGACTCCGGTGCCGAGGGTAGAGACGGAGGATTCGAGGAAGGAGAGCGAGGTGCGAAGCGCGGCTACGCAGTCCCCGTATGTGGCCGCGTTGGTTGAGGTTGTTGTGGTCGCCATTGGGGGTGGTAATTAGTTCGAGCAGATAGAAGAACGTAAAGTCTAAGTTGATGTCTAAAAAATATGGAGTAATTAGGTAACTTCAGTTGCGCATGCGCAATCGCATAGTTGTTGCTTCAACTTTTGATGCGTAATAGTGTTGACTTAGTACAGATTGACAGGTGTAACGGCAACAATTGCGGGGCGGGACGCAAGTATAGTGGGGCTTTACGGCTTTTATACTGGTGATGCAGAGTTTAAACTGACTTCGTTGAGATTCATGTCTTATACTTTTGTCTTACACAAGCTACTGCACATAAACTATAAAATTACGCCACTTTAAGTGTTACTTGCTAAGAATAGTTATACGTATTAGATCCTCCTATCAACTTATCCAAGGTTAATCATATATAACTACCTCCTATACGTGTCTATTGTTCTAGCTTCTTAAGTTTAGCCGTTTTATCAAATTATGCTATACTATAACATAATGCAAGCTAGTATTATAGCGTAGAGGAAACATTAGCTTAGACGGGCCATACTATACCTACTTTAAGACTTGAGAGTCGAGTGCGGAGTGGACGATGCTACCACAAAATAACATGAAAGCCAAAATAAAACCCCCTATCCCAAAGCCACCTTGGACATCTTGTTTAACAACGGACCATCCCACGGCCACTATTAAGCAAGCAAAAAATAAAGCACATCCGAATATAAAGAACATGAAAGAATCTATGCCCTCGACAAACTCGATTCCCCATCCTACCGACATTCCTGTCACTTGACACGGCGTCAACTTTTGTCGCAGTTTCTTCGGTATCCTTTTATATAAATCCGGTAGTACGCTAGCATGTGTCGGGTTTTCGAAGAAGTGTACTAGCATATTTGGTCCGATCGGGGGGACCAGATGCGCAGGCATTGGGTCGTACTGATACTGGTCCTTTAACTCCTCAGGTGGTAAAGCTGGTTTAGAACGTACCGCCGCAACCTCTGACCGGTGCACATCGAACTATAACAAGGGGGGGCATTAGCGTAGGTATTCACTAGCTTGATCCTTGAATCTCGTACCTGAACGAAGTCGATGCCCTTTACTCTCCTCATCCAAGATAGCGAAAGTCTACGGCGGTTATTGTGGTATAACATCCGAAGCAGCGAGAAGAAGTCTTGGTCTGAAAGGATCGTGCAAATCTCCTGTTGGTGTAGCTTCGAAACCCATCGTCCGAATGGGACGCAAGCGAGAAGGTAATTGTGCTCCTGTTCAAGGCTCGTTCCAGGCGCCCGACGACATTTCCCGGGTTCCCAGTAGTCTTTCCTCAACCAAAATTGCGGGAGTTTAATGTCGAGAGTAAAAGAACGCCACATGTTTGACAGCCCGCCCTTATTTGATTTGATGTTTGGTGGTGGATTATTTGATTCAATGTCACCTGAACCCCCCGACCGTGTGCCATAGTTGGATAAGATATGTTCAAGATGATCAAGAGCGCCTGATTGAGTTTCGGTATAGTCGTCGTATATTCGAAGACCGCAGCTCTATTTCCATTAGGACTTTTCAAATCTCAGACTAGAATATTCCTTACACAAGTCCAATAAAGTCTTCTCATCCCCGGCAGGGGGGTTTTGCCGTTTATAAGTGTTATCATGTTGTCGAAACCGATCCGCATGGAACCAAGCCAGGTAGCTTGTAGAGGACTGGGAGAAGACTGCTCAACAAAGATTCGTACATTTTCCTTGAAGATGCAAAATGGTTCTGTCTCGAACAAGAATGACTTCAAGCTGATAAACCGATCAACGTCCGGTTGTTGATCGTTGTCCGAGTCGGACTCAACATCAGGGTCATTCTCCGAAGCATCATTTTCACCCATAGGCTGACCGACTGCTGACAGGGGTAACCAGAACTGTTTATAAATTTCTTGGGACAAGTGATGTCTCTTGCGTCTCACGAATTGACTTGCTTTTATTTGCCGATTTGTGGCGTCTTCTGATATTTCTTGTTTTCGAGCTAAGCTCTGCAAGTCTAGGCTATATCGCAAAATTAATGACGATACTTCCTCCTTCGCTTTCGCCGCGGACGGTGACCGGAGGACTACCTGAGGCCATAGGTCTTGAAGGTATCCATCGTATAGGAATCCATCTGCAAGATGCTCGAGAGCTGTCAAGGACCCAACTGGGCTGAGAGATGTTAAGCTAGATTCCTCACTATCATCAAAGAGAAATGCCTCTATAGAAGAAAGGTCATCGTCGGAATCATCTTTGCTCCTAGAGCTAACACTAGGTTTATCGCTTTCCGTAAGACTAGAATGCGTCTTCGAGTCTGACCAACTTCGATTTATAATTGGAGAGATCCCGTTTGAAGGGATTTCCCGACGTACTGTATCTTCTACATAGTTAATCCTCGACGGACGAGGTACTTTCTTGTGTATACGACGATCTCTAGAGGCGGTTTGAAAATTATTTACCCTCGTATAGTTAGGATAAGTCGAGCTTGATGTTTCCTTGGCTGGGAAATCCGAGTTGGCCTTTGGATTATCTGATGATATAGTGTGTGTTTGGCACGCATATCCGACGAGAATAGTCCGTGTCGTTGTGTGATGTCCTGGCCGACCATAGGCAGGACATTTATCTACTGCATGTTGGTAATATATACAACGACAATCGGAATATAATTCAACGAGCTGATAGCACATTGCGTCACCCGCTGTGGCTATTGAAGCTAAAAGAATAAATTATTTAACTACTTAGAGGGAATACTTAGAAACGCAGAGGCCACTCGGAATATTTATTTAGAAGTCCAAGCTTATAATGCATATTGGCTACTTCTAGTCTGTCTATATTATACCTTCGTGGCTTAGTAGAAGCACAGCCTCCATGTGAATGCAGTAAATTTTGCAGGCTGTATGCCAACTTACCAGCAGGCTGTGCAGGGTCAGAATCCTACGTGTGAATAGAACCGACGAGTAACAACTCTGACAGCGCTTCTCCGTTCATCGTGCCGTCAACATAGCACTCGCCGATAAGCTGGTAGTAGGTGTAAAGATCGCTCTCGAATGCCTACTAAGTCAAGAAATTAGAGTAACGGACTAAGTGATAGTTTGACTATTTGTGCGATTAGGAATCTGCTGAAGGCGAGATTCGTGCCTCGATGATCTATGAGGTATGCATATGACATGCAAAACCCAAAAGGGGTTTTCCTTGAATCTCTAACTCTCTTCAAGATGATTCTTGAAAGTCATGGTCCATCCTGCCCTCCTGTTTTAGCTAATTACACAAGATGCCAAATTTGGCTATGACAACTGTCTACTTTGGTCGTCTGCAAAAAAAAAAAGCAAAATACAAGGGATTCCTTCGCTATGGGTCGCAAACGCCATTTTCATGCAATCGTGTCCCAAAAACATGTCGAAGGGGAATATTAGAATTGTAAAAATGTTCTACATAATGTATCATTAAGATTGTCCACCACCAAGGAATTTCGGTATTGACTTCCAAGCCTGTTGGTCGGGGAGCTTGACGCGGCCAAAATTCTCATCAAGGTCGAGGATGATCCTGAGGGCGTTTCGGCTGCGAGCGTGGGGCGAGGTGACATCCTTCTCTTTGATGGTGTCTACAACTTCTGCAACGCCAGTGTGGACTTGTTCTGGCTTTGGTTTTCCGGGGAATGGCAAGACGCTCTGAAGAACTTCGTAGGACGCAAGTGTGAAGCCGAATTGAGGGGACGATCGCAGGATACGAGCAGGGCCACCCTTGAAGAAAGCTCGGAAGCCTTCCTCCTTCATAATTGTGACTGCTGCATGTCGGAGGCCAGTATAGTTTGTGTCGCCTTTACGTGCTTCAACCTGGAGACGGGTCTTGATCACATCGCATGGTGTAGTTAGGTAAGCAGCAGGCATACCAGCGATGGCACCAGCTGTGAGAAGCTGGAGGATTCCAAGCTTCTTGGTGCGAGATTCGCCAAAGAGATCTTTCTTGAGGTGGTTGTATGTTGGGAAGTAGATTGCCGAGAACGGTACATCGCGAAGTAAGCAGGCTGAAGCACCTTTATAAAGCCCTGCAAGACCCAAGTTCTTAACAATCCACATTGCAGAGCGCTTCGGTGCACCTTGAGTGGTTTTCGCAACCTCTCCCTGAACTTGCAGTCGAATCTTGACAATCTCGAGAGGATTGGTGAAGACCTATCGATTATATATTAGCAAAGTTTAATAATATGAGGCTATGGAAAAGTAGTAGAATTAAACAAGGTAAACTCACAACTTGGCAAGCACCAGCAGTACCACCTGCTAGAACTTCGTATCCCCAAGGGATATGATGCGTCTTTGGGTCCGTGAAAAAGCCGCGGACGAGATCATTTACTGTAAGCTTGATAGCCTTCTCCGGGGCAACACCGACTAGCTGAGGCAGGACTCCAGAGTAGAGACCACGGAAACCCTCGTTGGCGATAACCTTTCTGAAACAATCGACCGAATTCTTGTAAAGCCTCTGTCCAGGATCAGCACCTCGTTGGTTCTGCATTCGGGTCTTGACTAGATCAATAGGATACACCACGAAGGCGCCAAAAGCACCAGCTGCACTTCCTAAGAGGAAGTTATAGCCAGATTCAGCAACTTGTAGGAGGAAGCTTTGCGTGTTGGTCTTAGCCTTTTGCGATCCTAGACCCTGAGACTGTTCTGTGATATTACGATATCTCCATAGTGGATCTAGAACCTTGGCAAAGTCGATCAAACTTAATCGGCCAGACGGTTCATCCAAACTAGCGAAGTGGAAGAGGATATCTGCCTCCATCGGGGTGAACAATGAGAATCGAGTGATTTTTGCTGCCTCGTTCAAGAACTCGGATCTGGTAATCTTCCCATCGCCGCTCTTCTTGCAAGCTTGACGTATAATCAACTCCACCAAGTCCATCTCCATGATCACGTTCTGGAAAGCTCGAACGTTGGCGTATGAAATTCTGCTGCCAGTGGATATGTTGCAGAGGGAAGTAAGGTTGTCCAAGAGATGATCAGACAGTTTGTGTTTTGCCGTCTCCAGGATAATTCTTGCGAAGTCTTCAGGCTCGATGTATCCATCTCTGTCCTTATCAAGAAGCTGGAAAGCTTGTCTAATTCTCTCACCCTGAAGACCACGGAGCATTTGCGAGAACTCGGAGTATGAGAGGGTATGGCGCTTGGACTTGTCACCAATGTAGAGCTTGGCCCACTCACAGTCCCAGTTGAAGGGAATGCTGTCAGGGCCTTTGTTGTTCTCATATAGACGCCGAAAGTCCTCATACTTAACGCTTCCAGTGCGGCCAATATCAAAGAGACGGAACGCAATCTCATATTCGGCATCGGGTTTCATCAACAGGTTCTCAAAGGCGGCCCAGTCGTTAATCGTCACTTTACCAGTGTCCTTGCGATCGGCTACGCGGAAGAGGAGGCCATATTGATCACGGCTAATCTTGTGCTATAGAGAAGAGAAGTATATTAGCAATTGAGAGTTAGGTGATTAGCTTAGAATATTTTAAGAGCATACGTAGTCTTCACTCGGCGGCGCAATAGCCTCAATGAACTCCTCTGGTCCCATATACAGTTCTCCTGTATGCTCATCCTTCTTGGCATTCTTTAGGAATAAGGTGCGATGCGATGCAGAAAGATTGGAGTGCTCCTCGGAGCCGAGGAGGCTCTCTTTGACCGCCTCCTTCACAATTATAGTTTTGGACATTTTGTCGGTAGTTGATTTGCGACACAAAAAGCACACCTATCGGTGGTGGCAGATCACTTAACTAAGGAATGAAGAAGAATGTGGCTTATCGATTAGCGCACGGAGTTGATAGATTGGCCAGGTCTAAAGTAATAATAAGTAAAAATTCACGATCATCGATTGTGGAGCGCCGATGTAAGGAGCGGACGGGCACGGTCAATCCGGAGAACCTGGGGTTCGGACAGGCGGAAGTATTAATGTAAAATAACGAAAGTGAAAGAAACGACGGAGCGAAACGTCAACATTGACGAGGAACGCAGTTAATTGGTATGAGGCCGAAAAAGACGAGGTAAATTTTGCCGTACAAAAGTGAGGATTGCAGTGTCGTCTAGAGAAAAAAAAAGTTCGCAGAGTGATTTAATTTTTCTAGATGGCGCGTGAGATCTGCGAACACGGGGGTAGGTACCAATGAACAAACGTAGGTAGCATGACTAGTCGCACCTGCTCCAAAACTTAAATTTAGGTGCTTAGGTGCAGGTGCTTTAGGCATTGTTCCTGACCGTAACTTCAGGTAAGTATGGTTCTGATCGGCTCGGATTGCCGCTGTAGGTAAATTTCCGGTGCTGTATGTAAGTTCTTATTCGCTTCATTGTTCCTCCGATCGATAAGCCATGTTGGCAGGTGTTCAGGTGCTTATCGCCGAAACTTTCCTAAACATCCTTCTGCCCTACGCAGCTTACGGGCAACGCTAAAGCTGATTTCAGTTAGGTCTTCTTAGTCCCGCATCTTACAAAGAATGCACCAAGCCGAGACAAGCCAAAGAAGGATTCTCAGCCTTCATTATCCATGACAGCTTATGGGCAAACTTTCGTTCCTGACGATCACCCCTAGTTCCCCCAAAAAACCTCCTCTGGCCCGATCGAATGAACGAGTTGCTTCTAATGGGGTCAGTGCCATAGTGAGCCTTCGGATCTAAGGATGGGTTCAAGTTTGTTGGGTGACAAGTTAGGTCTTAAGAATAAGTCATCGGGAATCACCGCGTGGAAATCCAGTATGCCAACGTTCCTTGTTGCGGTTTGTTGTATTGACTGTAGAAAGCTGTAAGATAGATTCCCGACCGAGCGACATGGTCGGCTGGGTATATATATATACAAGATCAATTGATTGATTAAATAAGCCGGGGGCTGATGTCAATCCTTCCTGTGATAGTCAGTGGAAATTGTCAGTTTGTATGCATTTGATACAATAGTTTGTTGAGTATTATGGAGCTGAAACCCGTTGGGAGAAGAGCGCTGCCAGGAACCTCCGAAATAAATCTCAATAATCCAATAAATCCCCGCACACATTTTCTTATTGAACATAATCGGACTTTATATCGGACTCGGTGAAACGTCTGAGGTAGGACAAAAAACGAGATAAATTCACCAGGACAAGATATTAAACCGTGCGTAATGAGGTTTTACAACTTCTTCTTAACTGGTTCGTTTTTTTGAAGAGTTAAGTTTAAGGAGCTTGCTGTTTTTAATGCTACGCGGCTGGTTCATATATCAAGCCGCCTATGTTACATTTCTCAAGAACCTCTTGGCGGGGGACCCCATGTGTCCTCGGCAAAATACAACCGTCCCCAAGTCTCACGAGCAATGCATATTACATATGACATGCATACGATCCTCGAGCGGTTAACGGCAAATTAGCCATACCATCCAGCACAGTATAAGGTGATTTAATATATACAACAACGGCATATACCTGTAAAATGTGGTCGTCAATTCGGATATGACCTATGAGTGGATGAAACCCCCTTTTTGTCTCTTAGAAAGCTTCATTAGGTAACTGACATGTGAACGGAGATGACGATTTGAAGAGACGATGAGTGAGCGACAGTACAATCCGATAAGATCGTCGCTGAGCTTCTCAATTCATTTTACAGTGCATATATCGTATGAGATAGGTAAATGTTATTGCCTAGATGCAGCATACAATATGTCTTGAATATTTTAACTTGGGCTATAAGGCAGGCCGCAAGTTATTCAGTCAATGACTTATGGCTGTACTTCAGCCAAAATTTGCCTAACATAATTTAATACAACAAATTCTTCTGCATAACATAGAAGACTGTAAGATTTATACGTCTAGTTTCGATGTGCTTATTATGTGACTATTTAGTTCTTATAGCAGCCTTCAACTACTGAATATGAGTAGTATTAACGGCCTAGTAAGAGCTCATACAGGTAGTGCCGCCTAAGTAAATACCTAGGTATAAATTATCTATATGCGTATTTTTAATATGAAAAGAGAGTAATCAACATTTGCTCCAGTGCCATCAATAAGGATAATTACCTCCCGATAAGAAAGTTTAGGTCCATAGACGTTAACTTTAAGAGTTTGATAGTGTATTCATATTAATTTTATATTTATTTATTCTGATATGATGATGAAATAAATCCTAGGCGCTTTGTTTCTTATAACCCTATCCTGGAATCTAGAAGTCTCCAATAACCTAAGGTAGGCCAAGTAGTATGTCATGTCAAGTAACACAACAGATAAGTCTATGTACCTCATGTTGGTACAGCCAAATATGCAGTGTTTGTCTAACCCCGCCCTTCTCCTCCCAAGCCACTCAATTCATGCTATTGACTTCTCTAACTTAGTACAACTAGGACTGTTATAGAGAGCATTCAAGAGAAGACAATGGCTGCCCGTGTACAAATCTACAAGTTGGGCGTTAAGCCATTATTTGATCATCTATCCGAAAAGGAGAAACTTTATAGTCACTATCTATCAAGGTTAATTAGTCTCAGCCTTTACTTCATTCCAAAGTGTATTTATATTATTGATACTAATGTCTATTTTAGGGCAGCATGGTCTGGCACAAGAATTATTCTACGTCAAGTCTCTCCAGAATCACTTGGTATCTTTGAATTTATAATGGAGCTTTATGAATCATGCGGTGGCGATTGGAATCAATTTTCAACAGATTACGGAGTAGCTGTAAAGGATCTTGAAGCATTCCTCGAGTTTGCGGCTACTTTCCTGTCCAACATCGGTAATTACTATGTAGGTTATTCCCAAATCTCAAATATGTATTTAGAAGGTAAGAACTAACCTCTCGAAGGGGTCAGGAGACCAGAAGTTTATTCCACGGGTGCACCCCGGTACAATAGAGAAACTTGCCTCTCGATCACCCAAGCTCCTAGACCTCTATAGGAACATAGAGGGCTCTATCATGGCAATGCCGCCTGTCACCCTTGGATATCCCAGTACCTTGGCTCAAAGTTCTTATTACCCAGGAGATTTAATGAGTAAAGAAGAGATCGCTCTTGTTTCGAGGCACATGGATGCCCATTCCATACTACCTGAGAACACCAGAGTGCGAAAAACTGGTGAAACTTCGTTCGAGGTCCTCCAGGCTTCAATCATATCAACGGACCAAGCAAAACCCTTAGACATTACGAACTCTCCCGCTAGCGTAAGTCTAGTCCGTGGTGATCATGCCGAATACTTAAAGAATATTTGCGAAAACCTAGCAAAAGCTATGGAATACGCTGCGAACGATACTCAGAAGAAATTCTTGTCTCAATATATTGAAAGCTTTCAAACTGGCAACCTCGAGACGTATCGGGATTCTCAACGGACATGGATTACGGATAAAGGACCTAAAGTTGAGAATATTTTCGGCTTTGTAGAGCCATACCGAGACCCGGCTGGTATTCGCGCTGAGTTTGAAGGCCTGGTTGCGATCGCGGATGCCGATGAGACAAAGCTCTTGTCAAAATTGGTTGAGAACTCCGACAAGTTCATTCGGCGACTACCTTGGGCGACCGTCGAGAATAATGGAAAAGGGCTATTCGAAAAATCTCTCTTTGAACCGCCTGATTTCTCCAGCATCCATGGTATGAATCATCTACCTTTGCTCTTGGTAATTTTGAAGACTGACAACTACAGCGCTCGCATATTGTTCGAGTATAATTTTCCCTGGAATCAACCTTCCCAATGTAGGGTTTTCATCGTCAGTTCCTAGCTTGCATTCGCTGAAATTTTAATTTCCAACAGTATAATGATATCCGTCAAGACGTGGGATTTAAAAATGTCATCATAGCAAATCGTATGATAGCTGAAAGTACTGCGATGCAATGGCCGTTCATCGACGACTCTGAAGTTGAGGTATTTAGGAAGCACAAGTACCCTGCGTACTACTGGTGGGTTGTGCTTCATGAGCTGCTAGGTCACGGCACAGGTAAGATGATGATTGAAGAACCTACCAACAAGTTCAACTTCGACTTTAATAACCCACCGATCAACCCCCTTGACGGGAAACCTATAAGAACTTGGTACAAACCGGGTCAGACATGGACTGGCCAATTTGGCGACTTAGCAACGACACTGGACGAGTGTAGAGCCGAGCTTGTAGGGGCTTATCTTATGGACGACCCAGAGCTACTGGCTCTCTTTGGCTTCACAGATGAATCGACTATTCGATCTAGCGATTGTAGATATACCTATACCTACCCTTTTTCAAGTCCACCACTAATATCCTTAAGTGACCTATAATCTCTACCAGCAGCTCGGGGTTGATGGTCTTCGAGCTCTATCCAATTATAATGTCGATGGCATGGTGAGTTATCAATGCAGCAGAGAGATTCCTCGTTAACTTGACTTTATAGAAATGGGGACAAGCTCACAGCCGGGTACGAAGATAACTCAAAATTTATCTTAGGAGAAAACTAATAGGTCGCAGGCTCATTTCGCTATGCTTAAATGCTTGCTCCGGTTCGGTCATGGATGCATCAATATTCATCATGACATCATTACCAAAACGCTGAGAGTACTAGTCGATAGATCAAAGATAGCCAGTCATGGAAAGAAGGCGCTTGGTGAAATGCTATTGCGCCTCCATATATACCGCTGTACTGCCAACGTTGAGGAGTGCAGGAGGTACTATGAAGAACTATCCTATGTAGACGAAGAGTGTCTCAGGTGGAGGGAAACGGTTGTTGAAAATAAACCACCCCCATTATTGAATGTACAGGCCAATACATTTATTGAGGAAGGAATAGTTATGTTGAGGGAATATGAGCCCACCATCGAGGGCATCATTCAAAGTTGGTATGAGCGTGGAGTTTAACTCAATGCAGAAGAGGAACGGATAAAACTATCATTATCGTGAATACATCACAAGTTAGCTTGCCGTAGATCTATTGCTAGCTGTGTAATTTGAAGTACAACCTGAAGAAACGCGAGTATCAACCCTAGTCCACCAATAATGATGACTGCCCAAAATGTTAACCATGATGCCGAATCGCGGGTATCTAACCATAACTCTTTCCAAGACCTAGGCTTCCTATCATCTAGATATACACTTAGAGCGACAAGTTGTGCTCTCAGATGTGGAAAATCCCGTGCTAATTCATAACTATCACGCTCTTCAACCCCTGGCAGTGAATCTGATCGCTTTTTCCCGCAGACTTCTGAGAGGAATCTATCATGACTGTTCTTCGGTATCTGTTCAAAAGGACGCAGCTTTCGAAAAGCTTTCCGCGATTTCTGGTCTTGCCCAAATAAGAGTCTGTAGGAAAGAATAACCTCCCTGAGCAGTTCCGTCACATCCTGTGGCGTTGCCCAGTGGTTATTGTTAGGGACATCCGAAGTGCAAGAATGAATCGTGGATCGACCGCTACCTCTTGCTGATTGGCCTCTAAGGCTCTTCATGCAGAATGATGGATAACGAAATATATATAGAACACGTGCATTCTTGTCGAGTTCTAGATGACAAGCCAAGCAGTCGGACCAACTTATAGTGATGCCGCCAATAGTTTTTAAGAGATATGCGTTCAAAGTTGACGGTTTAACAGACTTGAGTCGATTGAATGCTTTGGCCTCCTCGGTATCCTCGAGAGTATTATAATTCCGCGGAGTGAGCATTAAACCGAATCCTAAAAGGAAATCCGAGAGTCTTTTGCTCTTGCAAACGCGGAATTGCTTGAGACAAAGATGACAGTTACTTCTGTGGCCATTCATTTCGTCTGCAATACAAAACTCGGATGGCGGGCAGGATAATATATCAGGACGATAAAGCATAGTTTGCCAGCCGATAATCGAAAAAACCAGGTCAGTGGCTGACCTGAGTTGCCGGTCCTCTGATACAATGATACCATCGACCTCCGCCAGCTGTTGAACTATGTCGTCGATACTTAAGGCCGCGTTGTTGGTAATTATTTCTGAAACTTTCAAGTAGATTGACTTTATTTCGTGAAATGGGATATCTTCGGATTCGTCAACAAACCCTCGAACACAAGCATATAGTTGTGTGGGTTGTTGGTAAACTTGGGTCCGAAGCCACCAGTAATACCATGGTAAGATGCCCAGATAGTGTGTGCTTCGAAACGCATCCTCTTCACCAGCCATTTTAGCCATATTATTAAATCTAAAACAGAGATGAAAGTATCGCGCGAGGAAACATAATTACCTAGGTAGAAAGAGACACCCACAAGATTATATTGATTCAAGTCGGTCTCGCAGAGAACCCAGTCTGACTACATGGGAAATTCGCCCGAGCTTTAGAATGCATATGCAGAATAAAACTAAATATAAAATATTAATAGCTGAGTAGTAACTCTAGAGGCGGCTAATAGAGGCGTTCGGGGGCTGTTGGCTGCAAGGTATGTTTGTCTCATGTCAAGTCTCCAATTGGTAGACATGCCTCCCTAGGTGTATGAAGTACGGAGTTGTAAGCCAACCACTCCGATTTCAGCTCTGTAGGTGGCTTCATTATGACCCCTGGGTATGGCTCACTATCATGGTGATAAAGGCGTTGAAGCTTTCTCGGTTATGTAAAACCGGATGATACTACATGTAAACTTGTGCAGTACTCAAATACATGCCTTATTTGTAACTCTCACCGAGAGATAGGCGCCGAACGATTATGTGCGGTCGTCACACAGCATATTTAGGTAGGTACCTTAGGTCTAGGTACTTTATGATATATCACTTTGCGTTGGTGTATTATGTTATACAAGCTCTGTAGCTGAAACCCCGCATGGGTTGGAGAATGCTAGAGACTCGACAACTTGGTTGTTATTGCTATTAATTTATTCCTCGCTTCCAATAGGGCTCTACCATAAGAATCCATTTCTACTGAAATAGTCGATTGGCTTTGGCAAATCGTTAACAGGATGGAAAAGTAAGTGCAATTCTGTAGAACGAGTCATATATGTCTAAGAGACTTACCAAGAAAAGGACAACCGAAAGTAGAAGTCCTCTGTGGCATCGAGCATTAGAAAGGTATCGGGATGAACTAGGAGGCAACGAAGATTATCGAGCGGTACATGAAGTACACTCTCTTGATGACCTCTTAAATCATGTAAACACTCTTCAGACTACGCCATCTCGAGACAGGCAGGCGTTGGCGTCTATGAACAGACTTGCGCCGAAGTTCAAATTCGTAGACGACTTCTCGGCTATCATTGCGCTAGCATGCGGAGCAGATGCGACATTAACGGCAGTGGTGTGGGGGAGCATTCGCCTTATACTAACATTAGCTTCCTCAGCAGGAGATACTCTTCAAGAAGTATTGGACATACTGGAAGAGCTTAGTTTGACCTTACCGAGGTTTCGGGTCTACGAAGACACCTTGCCAATGAGTCGCCAGCTCGAGACTGCCTTAGTCGACGTATATACGGAAGTTATATGCTTCTATGCAAGGACTATACATTTCTTTCGAGACCATCCCCACGTCCTATTACGACGGAATGCATGGGAGAAATTCCATGCCGACTTCTCGAGGACGACTATGCGTATCAAAAGAATCTCTTCTATCGTTGAAAGTGAGGCCGACCTTGCCCGTATGAGGCTAGATGAGCACAAATACAAGGAGGTAATTGAATTGATGGATAATCTTACTACTAAAAGTGATGAAGGTCAACGAATCAGATACCATCATATCCCGTTCCTACAAAATAATAGATTCTCAGGTCGCTCAACACTCCTATCCACAGTCCATAAGGCCCTTAATCCCGGACAAACACCATCTTCGACTAAGTCAGTAGCATTGTTTGGCATGGGCGGAGTTGGAAAGACACAGGTGGCATTAGAATACGCCCACCAAAACGTAGATATATATGATGTTATCCTTTGGGTAGCGGCCGATAATATCATCACGATTGGGCAGAACTTTCGAGAAATAGCCCTTGGCCTACAACTTTACCAAGATTCAGATGAGATAAAAGACTCGGCAGCAGCAATTTGGAAAGTGAAGAATTGGTTAAATAATTCATGTATGTTACCTTGGCTTTTCACCTATTAATGAACGAGAAGCTGATAAAAGTTCCAAGCACTCCATTGGTTAATAGTGTTCGACAACGCTGATGATCTCCAGGCCATTAAGATAGCGTGGCCTGGGAGCTCTCATGGCTCAATACTTCTAACGACGAGGGATTTCGATGTTGCAAACAACCCCGCAGCTCAGTGTTTACAGGTGGAATCATTTGACGATACGGAAGGCTCTCTAATGTTGTTAAGACAAATTGGACTAGATTCATCTATTGCAGAAAACATAGAAAATGCGACCGCAATCACCCAAACCCTTGGTGGCTTGCCCCTTGCCCTAAGTCAGATCGGCGGCTTCATAGCACAGAGAAGATTGGGATTGAAAGATTTTCTTTCCCTCTATGAGCGCAATGCCACAAAGATTGATGTGAGAAAGACTATCAAAGATGACTATGAGTATACCTTAAATACTGTCTGGGATATATCCTTTCAGAAACTCCCTGCCAGTTCTACTAAATTATTGAACATGCTGGTTTTCTTCGATCCAGACGCGATAGACGAAGCCATATTTCTGGAAGGATCACAGACAGAGTTCGGAATTGAAGCGGATTTTGATTTTGTGGCGGATGAAATGGAGTAAGTTTATATAGCATAGGCTTATCGTTCTCCTAAAGGACCCCCTTTAAGTGCTAACTAGAGCAGTCTCGGAGATGCAGAACAGTCCCTGTTACAGGCTGCGTTGATCAATAAGACGATGGATCAGCCAGTACTTACTGTACACCGATTAATCCAGTCCGCTGCTATTCGAAGATTACCAAATTCAGATCGGCCAAGATACTTCGATACAGTGATTCAACTCCTCTCCTGGGGCTTTCCTGATACTTGGAGCAGAGATGTAGGTCATCAAATAAATGCCTGGAAGAAATGCGAAAAGTGCCTACCACACATTGGGCATATTGCTAGACTATCCAAGAAGCATGATATTCAGCCAACGAATGTGCAGCAATATGCAGAGCTCCTCCTCCGTTGTAGTTGGTAAATAGCTACCTATAAAATAATAATACCTCACTAAAACGAAAGCTAAACAAATCGCAGGTATCTTTATGAGCGCGAAACCTATGACGTCGCGCGAAGTCTGGTAGATGCCGCCGTTCAGACGTTTGAGGATAAATCGACCCTGGCATATGCAAGTGCTATTGACCTAGCTGGGCTAATCGATCTAGACTTATGCCAGCCATCGCTTGCACTCAAGCCATTTAAAGAAGCTCTAGAGCTTCGTAAGAAGCAACTTGGGCCAGACGATCCGTTCATTGCTTTTAGTCTGAACAATTTAGCACTTGCGTACACTGAGATGGGAAACCTAGAGGAAGCATATTCTACACATCAGCAAGCTATAGAAATCAGGCTCCGTACAAACAGCGATAGGATCGGTAACTCATACAGCAACATGGCCAGCCTACTGTTGCGAATGGGTAAGCCGGACGAGGCCGAAGAGATGCTTGGGAGGTGCCCCTCTTTAAAAGACTTCACAGATGAGACTTTCTTGAATACCGGTAACCCACGTTTCTCTGGTGACATGGTGCTCCTGTCCCGTATTCGACTTAGACAAGGGCGCGTAGACGACGGACTACGGCTAGCATCCAAAGCACTCGCGTTTCGTCAGAAGCTTTTAGGTAACCGATTGAAGACCTGCGATTCATTGTACGATGTAGCGTCTATATTACACCTACAGGGGCATTCCGCCTCGGCCATGTAAGTGTTAAGTCTTTATTTCCAAACTGGAGTGCGTTCGTCAGCTAATTTCGTCGAAGCGAGTTTCTGAGACAACTGGTAGACATTTCGGAGTCTCTGAACGAAGGTAAAGGTCAACTTGCTCGTGCTCTGTATAAACTGTCAGTCTTATACACAGAAAAGGGGGCGGTGTCAGAGAGCCATGCTTGTAAAGAACGGGCTTTGGAGATCAGGGGGCATTTGCGACCGGAAGATAGGGAGCAACCCTTCGAAGAGGAATATTTTTCTAAACTGACGCTATGGATGCTATGGTAACCATAGACTCGGAGTTGGTATAGTATAAAGTAGGTAAATATGGCCCAACCATAAAACTTTTTGGATATTGCCAAAGCCGTAGTAAATTAGCGTATAAACATGGCTGAATTTAGGGAAAGGGTAGTCACTGAGGGCTCGATAATTATGGAGTGACATGCCCCTATATTTGCTTGGATCGAACAGATTAGGTACCACCTACCCATTTCTCTTTTTTTCAGCTAGAAAAAATATGCATGAAAAGCAAGCATTGCGGTCTCCCATGATTTACTTTGTATACTAACTCAACTATATCAATGAGAATAGATGAAAACGATTAAATTACATTCCTAGGAAGAAAAGTCCTAGGGCCCAGTGTCGAGATACTATCCCATAGTTAGGGGCTTATACCAACTTCCAGAAGCCATCCTTGATTTCAATCTTGATCTCTCTGTCCTCATCTATACTACGCCGACCGGCCTCTAGGATGGCTGTTGTCGCAATTGTGTTGTTCAGCGTTGGAAGTCCTCTCGCATCCAGATCAGCAGGCTTGAGTGCCCCTGAGTTCACCGCTCGGCATCCATCTACAAACTTCTCGAAGGAGATATAGCCGTATCCGGTCTGGCCTCCGAAGTTGCCCTCTTCGTCGGGTGCGTATTTCATATAGAATGGGTTGTACCACATAAGCTGACCTGCACTATCGTCCGCGACGTCGTACCCACGCTTAGCCTGATTAATACGAACCTCGCCACTTGATCCCATGTAGTGGAAGTATTGGTTGGAGTGTACGCCGGCCTTCTGGGGTGCAGTCCAAGATGCTGTGTAAACCCCCGTAGCAACTTTACTCGTGTCACCTTGTTTCTGCCAGGTAACCATAACCGTGATGGTGTCCTCGGTGGCCTCGTTGCATCCAAGACTAGTAGCAATACCTTTCGCAGCTGAGGCCGTAACCTTTATTGGAACAAACCCGAGTTGTGAGACCATCGAGTCGCAGATATCTATGTGGTGGCTGTTAAGATAGTATGAGATATCCGAGTCGACACCAGCCCACGCCTTAAAGGTTTCTAGTTGAGACTTTGGTTGCGACATGTAGCTATAAAAATAGTTGAAGTCGCCGAGCTTCTGCGCCTTGTATCTAGCGTCTGAGTACGCTGGATCAAATCGCTTATGGTGTTCGATGTAAACATATACATTATGCTTCTTAGCAGCCTCTATTAGGCCTTGGTGGTGTTCTAATGTCTTCACAGCAGGCTTGGTTATTAAGACATGTATTCCACGCTCAATTGCGTATAGAGCGATCGGATAATGCGTCGTATCTGGGGTGAATATAGTAATGGCGTCACCTGGTTTCAAGGCATCAATAGCAGCCTTGTAAGCATCGGGGTCCTTGACTTCGTTCTCCGGATAGGAGTCGAAGGAGCAGTCCAAACCATTGTAGATTTTGGAGATATTAACATCGAGATGTTGTCCTACTCATATTAGTGCCCATTCAACTTATTGATAGCCTCTTCACACTCAGCCTAGGATTAAGGGGTGAGCTCACTGATAGCTGGGAATTTGGTCCCGTTTGTTCCCACCATGCTCAGTTTAGCCACCTTTCCCCTCCTTCGGAGATCAAATAGAGTCAAGCCGACAACTCCTACCTTCTTATCCGATCCTGAAGCACCACCACCGACAAACCCAGTGGTATATTCGCCTGTTCCGACCTTAGGGCACGTCAGTTTCGAGCAAAGATCTGCTAAGCATATACTATAGTGATACGCACCATCAACACATTTAGTGGCGAAGGGGAATTCGTCGGTACAATAGCCGACTTGATTACTTCTGCTGCCATTTCGATGGTTTGTCTTGCAGGTCAAAGGCAGTTGAATAAAGGCAGTAATGGGATACCCAGAGATTCAAGAAAAACTTTGGGATAGCTGAATAAAATAAGAAGATAGATTAAGATGAGAAGAAACGGACTCTCGTATAATTTACGTAGTCTTATAAACTTGGGTTCATGTAACTACCTCCTATTTAGGTATCTTAGTTACGAATGTCTTGTTAAGCTTAAGCTACCTAAGTACCATACCTACCTCGACTTGAAGAGAAACTATAGACGGAAAAATTGAGGGGCAGTTGGAGAAATGAATCTTCAGGGTCCGACGTAGTGCTTGCATGTAACCGTTCGAGATGTATCAAAATGAGCATAAATAAGAATGGTGAGCCGTCATTGTAGGGTATCAATTACGTCCCTTTACTAAAACTCGAGGAGGAAGTAAGTAATTGTTATAGAATCTATCATATAAGAGATAGCTTAGTTTGTATAACTGGATAAATTAAGTGTGTTCATTATGGTATATGAATGTGTACGAGGTAAATATGAGATACTAGGGGCATCTTTCTACACTATTGACCTAGTTAACCTAACCTAATGGGCATATCCATGTAAAATCTCGGATTAACTTTGAAAAGTTTACTGCTAAGAGGCCTTTTAACCTTCTTGGATATTTCATCTAATAATACATATTTAGAGGTACCCCGCCCCCACCCGCTTGGCGGCATAAGCAAGAGCCCCGCCTCCCCCCACTAAACATTTGCCCACCGGCTACGTGAAATTTGATTGCCCCGCGTTTGGTGGGGCAACTTCTCTTTAAGACAGAAAACCAGTGGGTGTCGGTCCATCATTGGCAAATTCAGCGAAGTAACAAATTTATCCTCTTTTCAAACTCAAAAGTCCAAACGTCAAGATAACAATACAGAACTATCTAAAATCAATCATTATTAATCCTTTTAAATACAATATACCGCATTCGTTAAGAAAGAAAGAGAAAAGTACGAAAAGATATAAACAAAAAAGATTACTTAGGTCGTTAGGAACTGTTGGGTCCGTAAGGTACGTAGAGTCACATCCTTACATGGTTACATCACACAAAGATCACCAACAACAGTAAACGTGGATTCTGGAATATTGCCCGAAGGTGGGAGAGACAGAAGCTTTCTAGCCTTAGTTCTAGCGTTGGTCTTGGCTACATCGAAGCATCTTACTATCTCTTCACTGGAGGAAAAACTACTAATATGATTATTCCGCCGTATCTATACCACATTCAGCCTGGCCTGCAGAAGAATTCAACTCGAGTACATGTAGGTGGCTACCCCAGGAAGTCCAGAGAATGGAAAATCAGCAGTTTTACCTTTGAACTGCTTGTTCATCCAACATGCCAACAGGTCAACGACTAATCGCTGTCACCCTCCAACCTGAGGTACTACCTACCTCATACTATATGCTGGTAAGGTCAGTGGCCTTTAGTCCGAGACCATCCAACGGCCTATTCACTTACATACACATACACATACACATACACATACACAGATACCTACCCTGTAAGAAGTACCAATTATCCATCTCAGGAACCTATCCAATCCTACCTACCTACCCATGTCCCGGATCTGGAGACGACTTCGTGTGCTCCACAATGCGGCAACCCTTTGCTCCCTTCTCTCTAACCTAAGGCGAGCTATTTCACATATCGACTAAGCCCCGCAAAGGCTACCCTCCAACAATCCCTCGGTTCTGCCAAGTGGACGGCATACCTCTACCCATCTTCTATCTATTGTCTTCTCCAAAATCTCGAAGCTCCCTCCCGGGGCTTTCCTTTGGAGGGTCACAAGACGAGTTGGCCAGCGCAAATGACGTCTTCATCAACTATGTCAGCTCTCAAGCACAACCACGATCACTTCGACAACTCATCATTCGTCATAACTCTTTTTTGGTTTGGGGTTTATTTTATTTTTATTTTTACTTTTATTTTTTATTCTTTGAAGCCGCGCAAGACACGGCTTTCTCGGCTCTCTTAGTTACATGTAATCATGTGCTTTGGTGATGATAATGCCCCTCATCAACCATCCTCAATTTCTACCGGGTCCTGATCGACCCTACTGCAGATCCTCTCGATTCCCATCAGCCCAGTTTCTACACCAATTTGGACATGTTGCTTAGATTTAGCCAATCATAGCATGGCTATAAATGCCACCGCAGCTAATCTCCCACAGCATGAAGTTACGTAGCTGTCTTTCAACTTATCCTTTGTATGAGCAGCTGCCGAATAGGGCGCAATCTCTCCTCAAGGGAGCATTCAACCGTCTTTAGCTCCTTGCCTTTTCCCCCAGTTCCCAATTGCACTCCTGTGAGCCATGCGGCCGAAATTCGTTGGGTAGCTTCATAACAGCCCGACGATTTTATGTGTGGAACTGTATAATTCATGGCTGTGGATTATCTGCATAGCTCCCATGATCTATCTACGATATATTACCTTTGATATAACCCCGAGGTGCATATGACCCATCTGTCCTAGGGCCGTTGAAGAATTCGGCTCATCCACAATCCACTTCGTGGCTTTTCGATCCCGTAGACATGGGCTCTTTTACTATTCCGTATCAGTCCGTTTCCATTAGCTCCTTTTTTAAGGGGCATCTCGGGTCCAAGAGGTAACCAGTGTCGCCTTCTTCGGACCAATGTCGTTGCGAGCAAAACACTAGGAGCTAGTAAGACGTTGCTGACCCACACCCTACAAGGTATTGATTGCATGCAACTTAGAGGATAGAAGCCATTATGTTATGAGAAGAAAAAAAAAGAGAGCATTTCGTTGCCGTCCGTCGAGTATTATTCTTCGGATGCTATAAATATAGCTACGCGTCCCCTTTTCTTTACTGTCGGTTTTCTTTTCTCGGCGCCCTTTTTCGTGGTTATCCTCTCTCTTTCTCTGAGCCATCTATACTCGGTATATATCGGTCCGCAAATTTAACAGCGATATTATCATTACTCTTGCTTCTGTCTTTTGCTATTCGATCCTTAAACATGACTGCCCCCAACAGCGCCGAGGCCAATGGTCACACGACCATCAGACGACCACTACCATGTGGTATCTATGCTCCCACTATGACCTTTTTCGATCCCGAGACCGAAGAGCTCGATATCCCTACTATCAAAAAGCATGCCGAACGTTTAGTTAAAGATGGACTAGCTGGCTTGGTCACTATGGGTTCCAACGGGGAAGCTATTCACTGCACACGCGATGAAAAGGTAGCTGTGACACGTGCCACCAGAGAAGCTCTGGATGCCGCGGGTTTCACTACAACACCAATCATCGTCGGAGCTACGGAGGGTAGCGTAAAGGGGACCATCGAACTCTGCAAGGAGTCTGCAGCAGCTGGCGGGGATTACGTATTACTACTACCCCCAAGCTACTTTCGTGCGCAAATGGACGAGGAGGCTATAGTCGGTTATTTTACCGCCGTAGCAGACGGGAGTCCATTACCAATTGTCTTATACAACTACCCCGGCGCAGTTGCCGGCATCGATATGGACTCGGATCTCCTCATCAAGCTTGCCGAACACCCCAATATAATTGGAACAAAGTTCACATGCGGCAGCACTGGCAAACTTACTCGTGTAGCATTGGCCACCAATGCGAAGACCCCTACCTCGGAAGGTAGTGGATATATGGCGTTCGGTGGCATATGTGACTTCACAGTCCAGACACTGGTATCGGGAGGAAGCGGAATTATCGCAGGCGGTGCAAATGTCATGCCCAAGCTTTGCGTCAAGGTATGGAATCTATACGCCGAAGGGAAGATAGACGAGGCCATTGCGTTGCAAAAGGTGCTCTCACGGGGTGACTGGTTCTTGACCAAGGCGGCGATCGCGGGAACGAAGCAAGCGATTCAGTCCTATTTCGGTTACGGCGGTTACCCCCGGCGCCCGCTCAAACGTCTCGAGAAGGCCAGAATCGAGTCCATAGCGGAGGGAATAAGGGAAGCGATGGAAGTCGAAAAGTCATTGTAATGACAGGAAACGGGTTACCGGGATCTTGGTCTGAAACCCGCAGGGACTGGCTATAAGCCGTCAATATTAGCCGCGTGGCCGTTGATCCCCTATTCTTGGAAAGTGCGGGGTTTGAATCCCGGGGTGACGGATGAGGCTCTTGGAGGGTGGAAAACCCTTAAATTCCCAATTCTCTCTGGGCCGACCAGGCCACTAACCACTGACCACTGACGTAGGTGTGATTACACGTACGCATACATGAAAAACACATGATACGTTTCACAGAACTTAACGTCTCTCTATGCAGCTTTTTCGGACATTAATCAAAGCCCTGGGAACGTTCTTTAGTCCTAACGAACTTCTGTTTCTGATGAAGAACTACTAGTTCCCTCTATATTTACTAGGTACCTATTTAGCAACCGTACCCTATCACGAAACGGGAAGGGAAAAAGCAGCTGGTCACCACTGGCTGACCAAACCTACTCTTGTCCTGCTACTACTAGCTTCAAGTCAGTCTTGCTGGCCGTGGGGCCAAGCAAGGCATCTTTTCTATGTCTTCATTAGCATAGCAAATGCAATATCAAACACATTAAACCATCATCATAAAAAGCGTCTTCAGCGAAGACACGGGGTAAACATAAATTTACAGTATATGCTGCCCAACTCCGTTAAGCAACCGTTTTGAAAGCGGGAAGCGAAAAGCTTACATGTCACATTTTCTATTTCCCATGGAACTCTGTAAACGCCGCCTACGTACGTGGTACGTATTAGCCTCGGGAGGGCGTAATCTGCGTAGCATCTTGCATCTCTCGCTAGGACGTATGGCATGTGCGCACGTATCACATATATTATTCGAAGGAGTGACGTATGACACCCCCCTAGCCTAGGGTACCTAAGCTTTTTTATTTTTCCCGGGGTCCCATCCCTTCATGCGCCTAGGGTCCTAAGGGTCCCAAGGGTCCTCGGGGTAATAAGGAGGAGGAGGAGCTAAGGTTGCATGTATTTTGGGCACCACGCGCGATATACCTCGCGGCGATCCGTAAGGCACCAATCCCTGGAAACGCCACCTACCCCACGGGGGTTGTTGTTTTCCCACGATAGGTACCGGGGGGTAAAAAGCCCTCCCCTCACCCACCTGCGCTCCCCGCGTTGCCAGCTTGTCCAGGCGTACAGTACATGTACCTCCCTTTCGCGGCTCGGTCCGTCCCCCTTCGTCTAGATAAGATCGGTCACCTGCCCCCTATGTGTCTTTGTCTTGGCGGTGACGGCGGCAATGAGGTAAAATAATAATAATAATAGTCTCCTTAGTATTGTAGAGTTGAGGGTGCTACACGCGCGAAGCTCTAATAATACGTACGTAAGTAGCCTTTTCTTCAGGTCTTAAGTCGGGAGCACATACTTTCTCCCCTCTCCTCCAAACCCCACACATGCAAGCGAGATAAGCTAATTATGCTGTACGTCTTAAAACTTGTTCAGCCTCCCCCAAGATATGGTGTGTACCTAGATAGGTACCTGATGTAGGTAGGCAGGTTCAACGTATCATGCGGGATGTACTAACGTTATCCCTCTCTTAGTCTCTCGCTTCGTGCCGGTCCCTACACACACTCGCACACCTACTTCCACGCACGAGCCCAGGGACGAGGGAAACGCAAACCCCTCCCCCTCAACTCCGATGCCATCACCCCACGCATCTTGTCGTCATAGTCGCCCCACGTGTTTCTTTTTAGGTTGTCCTATTGATCTTTCTTCTTTCCTCCATATCCCGCACCGTCCTATCATACCTTGAATTTCCTCGGGTCTAGCTCCGTAATATCAGCACTCCTGGCCTCTCCATCAAAGATAAACTCGCTCATGAGCTTGCCTGTCGCCGGACCGTTCTGAATTCCCCAGCAAGTATGACCCGATGCTATCCATAACCGGTGGACCGAGGTACCCCCGATGAGCGGCGCGCTCTCCTTGCCAAAGCGCATGTGCCGTGGTAGGTAACAAGCTTGTTTTGCAGCAATGGACGCAGAGCCTAGCAAGGGGCTTACGGTACCAATATACGAGATAAGATCGTCACACTGGGATTCGTCGCACTCGACCTGATCAGCGGTTGCTGGCAACGGTATTATCGAGTCCGGCTCGCCGCATGCATATACCTCTCCGCCCGGTCGCGCGTAGATCTCGGGGTCCACGTTGCCCTTGTGCTTCCGCTTCTCACCCCGCGCCGCTCTGTGCGCCGGTACCCAGTCGTTCGGCAGCGAGATATCGGTGAAGACAGCGTACGGGCTTACGTCTGCCGCGAACACGACGCTATGCGCCCTTAGCCCCTCTACTTTAGTCTTTGGCCAAAGACGCCCCGTCCACGGACCCGCGGCCACTATAACATCTGTCACGCCTTCTAATACCCGCGTCTCGCCCGTGACACGATCTAGGTATTCAACACTCGAGACAGCCATCTCGGACTTGTTCAGACCGATGCTCGTAACCATACTATTAACGCGTATTTCAGCTCCATACTCGCGCGCCAAGGCTGCCATCGACGTTGTGAATTGGTAAGGGTGGACTTGAGCCGTCTCAGTGAAACCCGGCAGTCCCATCTCGGCGTATTCGCGCACCAAACTGGGATTAATCCAATCGAGATCCTTTGGTAGTATGGAATCGTGGAGTAAAGAGACTGCATTCTCGTCCTGTTTGGGTAACTTTTGCCATTCCACCTGGGTGTCCGCTATGGAGTCGTCTTGTTCGTCTTGCTTCTTGATGACGCCGCGACTAGTTCTTTTTCTCGTCTTGGTGAAGCCGTTCGGAGGCTTCTTGTTCCCCACCCTCGCCGTAAGTTGTCCGCATCCGAGTCGCCTATATCCCCATCTATCGGTCCCACCGTGTTCGGCTGCGAGTTCGGCATGAAGGCGATAGGAAAGTGGGACCAGACATGTTGGGTAAGCCCAAAGACCAAGGAGACCTCCGGCCTTCCCAGATGCAGCAGATGCTATTGATGTGGCCTCGAGAAGAGTAATATGATGAATCGAAGGGATATAGGAAGGATGTCGGGTTAGATAGTAGGCCGTAGTTGTGCCAATAACGCCACCACCTTAAAGATCTACATTAGTCATTAAGTACTACGATATGCAGTAGTAGTGCGCCTCTCCAACGTTGATCATGAACTAATCAAGCTAGGATATTTACTTGTGTAGTATGTATTGAAGGGTCCAACCCAGGGGCACGGATCCAAACCCGAAACTATAGAAAAGTATCCAAGCAGGGTGAGCAGGGTGAGACAGACTCACCTATGATCACGACATGTCGCGGTTGAGGTATACGAGTGTCCATAATAGTAAGGTATTTAACATGACCAAGCCAATGATGATTCAAGGACTAGGAAAGTTGATGAAAGTTGGAATTAGACTTTCTTAAGTGACCAGGATTCACATGCTATAGGATAATAGAGGGTAAGAGTGTTACCCTCAAATAAACTCGCAGCCTGTAGACTGTAGACTGTAGACTGTGGACTGTGGACGTGGAGCTTCTTCGGATCTACCCGTCGATTGGCAGCGGCTGCTACCCGGGTTCTAATAGACGCAGCACGTAGTATATGCAATACATTCGACTAACGAGTATTAATTTATTAACTTTTATTAATAAAAGGTTTAGTAAATAAGATGGCTTGAGAGAAGATCAAATGCTCTAGTGGCGAGAAACATATGACGTTAATGATTAATATTGATGATAGAATAAAACGTAGCTTAAAATGCAACTTAAGAATCGCTCCTTACTTACATGTAGGTACCTAATTCAGAGAAGTACGTACCTATAATATAGTGGATCTACCTCATCTTGATGAGACCACCGGGAAAACAATACCTCCGGAATACGAGGCCCAAGCTCCTAAAAGCTCCAAATTATATATTTGATTGGTCCCACGAGCTTAGAAGACCCACCGCATTAACCCGCATTGACTTTCTGCCGAGGCTCCAAACCGTAACTGTTACGTCAATTGCATGAGCTTTTGTCATTATCAGAGACAACTTTCAACAAACCGAGGATTAAAAAGTCACTAGCTCAACAATTGCTTTCCACTAGCAAACGAAGAAGATTGAACAACTTAAAATATTAAATAAAAATAATTAGAGGTATTCATGAGACAAATCATTATAAGGAACTGGTTTCCAATTCATCATCCAACTTTTAGTAATCATATCTACAAAGTGATCTCATTACCATCATCTAGACTACACGTACAAAGAAGAGCTTTGTCATCTATCGTCCAATTAGTGAATTTCAGATACCCCGCCAAAGAAGCTACTATCACGAGTCGCGCCATCTTAACTTCGGCTTCGTCGGCCAATTTCCCGCAACTTCAGAAAAAACAATTTTCCAAAGTCAATATCAACTCAATTACCACAATGGCTTCCGCTACAACATTCTACGACTTCAAGGTCAAGGACAGTGCGTAACTTATAGACTACAACTTATAACGTAACGAGAATATAAACTAACCATTGTTACTTTACTCCAACAGAGAAGGGTGGAGAGCTATCCCTAGACAGTTACAAGGGCAAAGTTGTCTTAATCGTCAACACGGCGTCCAAGTGTGGTTTTACCCCGCAGTACGCCGGGCTCGAGAAGCTATACAAAGACATCACCGCGAAGCACCCGGATGACTTCACCATCCTCGGCTTCCCCTGCAACCAGTTCGGCGGCCAAGAGCCCGGCACCGACGACGACATCCAGAGCTTCTGCCAGATCAACTACGGCGTCACCTTCCCGATCCTAGGCAAGACGGACGTGAACGGCGACAAGGCCGAGCCGTTGTTCGAGTGGATGAAAGCCGAGAAACCCGGCCTCCTCGGCATGAAGCGGGTCAAGTGGAACTTTGAGAAGTTCCTGATCGGCAGGGATGGCAAGGTCAAGGAGAGGTGGGCCAGTACCACGAAGCCCGAGAGCTTGGAGTCGCACATCTTGGCTGAGCTCGAGAAGAAGGCGTAAGTCTCTACTCGTGCTTGGGAAGTCACCTTTCTAGCGTATTGTGGCTATTCTATATGTGTGTACGTGTTGACGATTCGCCCTTAGCGTGGCTATGATATAACATGAAACGATCTCCCTCTTCAGGAAAACGTGAAAAAATACGACTTACTTGCTGGTGACAATTCGGGTTTTCCAGTTTTATCAAGCGTGTAGATGGTAGAAACGCATATATTTAGAGAGCGTTTTTAGGATATCTACTTACCTTACACCACTACGGCATCTGAAGTTATCCTAGTAGAAACTTCTCTATAGAACAACAATAGAACACGAATATTCATGTTACCTGAGAATCCCGTATAAGTCATGAGCCAACATTTTTCGTTCTGGATATTATAAACCTAAGTACACACACACATACATATGAGCCTATTTCCGTTCATTAAATCGCCCAAAGCATCTTAGTTTATAAGTCTGTTTGCTTGAAGCAACTCTACCTACCTAATCCCATGTCTTCCAAGACCTATTCCACGTTACGGCTTCTAGACAACATGCCCAGAAAATTGTTGTAGTTTGATGTTATACCAACCAGAGGGTAATTGCGAAGTCAATATCTCCGAGTTATCTCTACCATTATTCATACGTCTAGATACCAAAATAGTCTACAACTACATCAGGATTGAACTAAAATCTATAATGATATATGAACACAATTAAACTACAATGCATTTGTAAGTTTTGTGCTTCAAGTCCATGAAATTACCATAAATCTATCAAATGATTAAGAGGTCGTACCTCAGGTCTATAGTTGATACTCTAGAGGGCACACAGCTAATTAGTATTAGTTTTGAATGTCAAGCTTGATTGTATCATGTATAAAAGGAGCATGCATCCCAGCCTTCATTATTTATACAGGCTTATTAGATCCCTTATATAATTACAGCCCGGATTACACTTGTTGCTCCCCAAGCTAAGTATTACAAGCAAGCCGTTGTCAAGTGGCATATCCTGTTTCCCGGTTGCTAGGCATCCATAATACACATAAGTAAGGTTTTAACAAACCACTCTTCCATCCCTTATGACAGTTGCTACGAAACCAAATGGCCATGGTGGAACAGTCATTCTGAAGTCGGGCCATGAAATAATTCCTCGGGGAGTTTTTCGTAGGGCTTGGGTTCGATTCACTCGCAGGGCGACAGGCAGGCCAACTGTTCAGGTCAAATGCGAAATGAATCGATTCCCAGGACCCGAGCTTTTTTGTTTTTCTTTTCCATTTTACTTTTCTAAATATTTTTTTTTCTTTCTTCCCCTATTTGAATGTTTTCATTTTCACTACTTTGTACCCGCCTCTCTTCAAACTTGATGTTGTTAAAAAAATCAATCCCTATCTTAGCTTCTACCACAAGACCAAAAGGTTAATAAGGAAAGCGATGTTGTTTTAGGGAACCCAGAGCATCAAGAGTCATACAGCAAGCGGCAAGGCCTTATATACATGAAAGACCAAGATGCCTGACTCCTGACCATGACAGCTTCCATGTATAATTTCTTTCTATACCATCTTTACTAGTTTAAATTATGGCTAGAAAATAAATAACTAGGATAGATAGTATAACTAGCCCTATCTTTCTATTAATACTGATTAACTATTGCTTTTATTTATACTAAAACAATATTACATAGGCTGATGATGTATAGGTTTTTAGTAAAAAGATATCTTCAAAATGGACTAGTTAGGAGAATACTTAAGTAAGGTATTGTCCAGTAAGCAAATGAGCAGCAATAAGCAGATTTTATCTTATAACCTTTGTAGCTAGTGAGGTTCTTTAGTTATACGGCCTAGAGAATAAGATGCAGCATGCCTTCAGGTCTACCATCCTAATGTCAATAACCAAAGAAGTAGCTAATCCTATTTACTGATTACTTTAGCAAGAGACTATTATATTGTATACGAATATTTGACATGATAGCATTCATACTTGTGAACTAATAGTTTTGATACAATAAACGAGTTGAAAAAGCCATGGGCCCTGGTGAACATCTGGCTTATATCTGAGACGAACAATTACTTAGTCTTCAAGGAGCTATAGACCTCGATTGCGGTTTCTTTTCGTCACTTAAGAAGTCTTCATTACTAATGGCATTATTCTTACTATCGACTACCATCGTCACAAACAAGCCAATCACTTCTCACAAATATCACCCCCAATAGCCTGGTAGCCTCTTAGTTGATATTAGGTTTACCATTATCGCTGTGGTATATCTAATTATAAACAGGGCTATGCTGGGCATGATACACTACTCAGTTACTACTTAGACATGTTTGGTTTTTCTACGAGTTGAAGACCGGCCTGTCGGCCATGGAGTTAGGAAGGTAAGGAAGTATAACATCTAATTCGTCGGATTTATTGAATTAGATCCAACAAACGGCGTTACGACTTCCCGCCAAGTGCTTCCTTCATTCCGTGGCAGACACAGCATAATGAATGGCATTGGAATTCAGTACAGGAGCATCAGTCTTTCGCAGGTGTTTAGACCCAGTAAAGATTTTTAGCTAAGAGGGCACGAGTTAACTAAGGCGGATGCTCGGAGGCAAGGCAGTACGCATCATCGACAATTGACTATATTCCTAACCGCTACTCTAACAGCACTACGAAGCTATACCGTTTCCTTTTCACAGCCATCACGCGTAGCCAGTTTCCAGGGGAGTCGCCAACAGAGACAAGGAAAAAGAGCCAAAACTAGGATAACAGAAATATCGTCGTCGTCACCAACTTCTATTCTCTCGGACTTAGCTAGACGCGAAGAGCATTCGACTATGCGCGAACCGCAGCTCCACTGACGCTCGGACAATAGCAACCCACGAATCTCCAGAATAGAAAAAAAAAAAAAGCCCAGCAATGTCTTCCTTCCCCGCCACGACGATGACAAGGGATCCGGCAAAAGAAGTACCTACTAATGTAAACAAAAATGCATTGTAAATCCATTTCTCCTCGTGCGTGCCATCCCTCCCCTGCAAGAAACCACGAGGGAAAAAAATAAAATAAAACAAAAGAACATGGCATCGTGGTCTGCGCAGCACAGAGCTATTTTTGGGAAGTCTTGGCTAACTTACCCTGAGGTACCTAACTGAACGACCAACGGGTTGCAGCGAGCGGTGGACCGCATTTGAAACCCCTAGAGTGAGCCTCAATTCCATCCTTCGAGCCTCCCAACCCCAACCCATCAGCCGGCGTCAGCACCGGCGAAAGGGGAAAAGCAAGCAAGTAAGACAAAAATGGAAATTGTGGCCAGCGTCATGCAATTTCAAGCCGCCGCTTGAAAAAAAAAAACCGCCGTTAAGATGCTTTTCTCGCTAGATCCTACAAGGC